AATAATATATTGATAATAATACCAACTACCACTAATTGGTCATTGTATTAACCTTGCCTCGGTCTCTCTCTCTCGCTCTCTCTCTCTCTCTCTCAGTCAGTGCATGTGTCCTGCGGAGAACCCTGCCTGTAGAGACAGGCCGTTCACCGTTCTGTACCGTCACATGGACCTGTCCTCTGGCCGGAGTGTTCCTGCAGATATCTTTCAGATGCAGGCAACCACCCGCTACCCAGGAGCCTTTTACATCTTTCAGATCAAATCTGGCAACGAGGGACGAGAGTTTTACATGCGGGTGAGTGGAGCTCGGTGCTTTCGGACTGAATTTAGGAGACTTTTGGACTGAGCACAACTGCACTCAATCGATACGCTGCCCCGGGACGCCTAGCTTTTCAATATGCTTTTAATAAATGAGCATGTTTTCTTTATCAGTTCGCAGTAACGTAACATATTAAACAGAAAACTGTTCAGCTCTTGCCAAATTGCAAAACTGAAGCAGGACTACTTTGGGAATAAAGCCAGTGTTGTGACGTCACTGATCAGCACACAAACAAAAAGTTTTGAAATGAGCTTTTAAAGGGGAATTCCTCAGGGCCTTTTACCAAACTGTGTCTCATCGTAATGGATGCTGAAAAGGAATTTCACAGATTGTTCAAAATTCCTACATAAAGCAGTCATTGTAGATGTAAACAAAGTCATTCCGAGTGGTTTGATTTGGAGTGGCTAATTGCAGAGAAACTTACTGTCTTAAATTTCTTTACAGTGGTGGTGATAGGAACCAGGGGTCGCCATGACTACAACACAAATATAGACACTTTATTTACTATCCAAAACCACCAGTGAACCTATCATAAAACAGTGTCTCAGACATAAAGCAGTGAATTCATGACCATTTCATGTAGTAACTTTCTGTGAGGGAGCTTTCAGAGGTGGACGTCTGGTTCCTATCACCACCACTGTGAACAGTTCTGACTCGGTAAGTTTCTCTAGAACGGAGCATTTCACACCAAACCACTCTGAATGACTCGTTTAATGAATATTGAACATTATATAATGCAGAATGTGTATTGTCAAGTGTTTAGTGCAGCTGTTATATACATAAATCCTGTGTATTTGTGAAATATGGTCAGCAGAGGGAGCTGTAAGCATGTGAAAATGTGAGATACTTGAATTCACAACTGTTTTTCCTCATTCATACCTGAACATTCATCAGGCTTTTCAGAGTAGGAGTGCTGATTTAGGATCAGATCTCTCTTAATTATTACGATCTTACTGACAGAAACAGATCCTAGATCAGCACTCCTACTCTGAGAAGCTTTATTGTCCCTGGGTCATCTGTTGTCTGGATGGTGTAATATGCGCTACATGTAACCAGAGCAGACGTCATATCCAATGCAGTTTTGCTCAGGAGAACAATATATTATCGCTAGCCTATTAAAAACTCACATTGGTAACTTTACAGGAGGAGAAGGGCATATTTCATGGAAAATCAAATTTTTCTTTTTTTTTTTTTGAGATGAGAGAGTAAGTAAAATTCAGAACACATTATTTACTCCCCAGTCCATGTATTGACACTAAACAGCAAAAACAGCCTGTTTTGAAATTGTTGTTTTTGTGATGTCAGAAAAATCCAACATGTTTACATATATCTGCCATTTCAGCCCACAGCAGTTTAGCCCCGCCCATTCATGTTGAAATTATAAGTGTTTCAGCTCAGACTGCTTTTTGGTTGAGAATGTGGGGCAGCCAATCAGAACGTGGGTTGTTTACATATATCAGTTGTAAATGTACAGCCTTTTGAATTCTAAAGGATAAATGGAGGTTGTAAAAAAAAATAATAATACAAATAAATAATTAATAAAAAATTAAGCGTTAAGAGTTATGACTGATTTTGGTAAATAAATTCACACAGTTATCAGTGGAAGTCAGGGAAAAAAATAAAATACAACAAAAATATGATAATTTATCTTAATTTGTGTCAGTATAACATGGATTTTGGTTCATTCCTGATGAAGTCATGACTCACTTTGACAGGACAGTGTGTAACTGTGTTTGTTTCGTGTTTAATACTTGTTCTCCTTATTCTGCCCTTTCATCACAGCAAACCAGCAACGTCAGCGCCACGCTGGTTCTGGCTCGGCCGATCAGAGGACCAAAGACAGTCGTTCTGGACCTGGAAATGGTTACGGTCAACAATGTCATCAACTTCCGTGGCAGTTCCATCATTCGCCTCACAATATTCGTCTCCGAGCACCCCTTCTGAGACCCCCCCACCAATGACCTCCTGCCCGTGCCCCTTACCTCCATCATGGACTTCCTGTTACTGCATTACCCATCAGGCAGCTGTGTTTGTTCATATCTGTTCTGGAATGTATTTTACACCTTTTTTTTACATCAACCTTTCCTTCGTAGTCTGGACTGTAGTGTTGCACCAAATAGTGCCTTTTACCAAACTGTGCCTCTTCATAATGGACGTTAAAGGGGAGTTTCACAGACTTTTCAAAATTTCTACATAATTCAATGGTTGAGATGTAAACAACGTCACTCAGAGTGGTTTGATGTGAAATGGTTCATTGTAGAGAAACTGACCGACTCAGATTTCTTTGCAGTGGTGGTGATAGGAACCAGGGGTCAAAGCAAATATATGTAGCAACGCACCATTAACAGATTAAAAAATATATATTTATCTTGAATTTATCATAAAACAACATCTCAGGCATCTGCCAGCATATTTGTAGCCATTTCCAGCAATACATTTATGTGATATAGCTTTAAAGGCAGACATCTGGTTCCTATCACCACCACTGTAAATAATTCTGACTCGGTAAGTTTTTCTAGATTGGAGCGTTTCACACCAAACCACTCTGGATGACTTTGTCTATGCATTAATGGTTAAATACATATTTGAAAAGTGATGGAACTTCCCTTTAATAAAAAAGGCTGCCTTCTGTAACCTCCATATCCTCCACATTCACCCTCGTACATCCACTCACAAGGATATTTATGTTTTTTTTCTTTGTTCTTATGAGTTCATGTTTGCATTTGTGTTGTGTTTCTTCCTCCTCGGGGATCATTTACAGAAACAATAGAAGCTCACAGTTTCCTCATTCTTAAAGAGGCCTTCATTATTCTCACCCCGGCGGTCTCTTTGTTAACCCTTTCCTGCAGTAAACTGTGAAAGCGAGCTTTACTAGTGCCAAAATTTCAGCCCTCAGTCTTTTCCAGTCTTCCAGTGCTTGTATTCATCATCACCATCATCATCATCATCATCATCACCCAATCATTAAGCATCACAGCAGTGTCTGAAGCCCCGAAAGCCTACCTATGTTTTCTTTCTGTCCAAAGGTCATCTATCCCCTCGAATCATCTGTCGTCTCAGTTTTTTTTATTTGTCAGTGTAACAAGAGAGCCTGGTCAGTCAAATAAAATGAACTTGATGACCTGACAGCATGTTTGACAAATGTCATTTAATGTGTAGAGTGGAGATAAGCTGCACTGCGTCCTAGACTGAAAAAGCACATTTACTCTAAATTTAAAGGGTCGTAAAGAAATTGCTTCTATTCAAAATGAAAAATAGATACAGGTTAAAGTGCATTTGTGTATTTTGTTGACAAAAATCTATAATATATAATATAATCTACATATCTATAATATATAATGATTATAATATAATCATAGTTACTGTAAATGCTAGTTTATTTATATACTTATTTATTCATTTTAAATGTGAATGTCTAAAAAGAGATACGACCCAAAAAGTCCATCCTGTAGGGTGAGCACCTTTTTTTTTTTTTGCAAGATAAATAAATTAAAAGTTTTAATTCCATTTAAAATGATCTTTTCATCCTACTCTGATTCCTTTAGAGTGGTAGTTGCCAAGTCTACAACACAAGTATAGCCTTTTTACTATCCAAACACATAATATTTGTAATTTTATTGATGGTAAAACAGTGGAAAAAAAGTATATATAAATATACATATACATCTACATATCTGTCCATATATATATATATATACATATATACCAATCAGCCATAACATTATGACCACCTCCTTGTTTCTATGCTCATTGTCCATTTTATCAGTGCACTTTGTAGTTCTACAGTTACAGACTGTAGTCCATCTGTTTCTCTGGGTACTTTGTTAGCCCCCTTTTACCCTGTTCTTCAGTGGTCAGGACCCCCATGGACCCTCACAGAGCAGGTACTATTTGGGTGGTGGATCATTCTCAGCACTGCAGTAACACTGACGTGGTGGTGGTGTGTTAGTGTGTGTTGTGCTGGTGCGAGTGGATCAGACACAGCAGTGCTGCTGGTAAAAGGGGGCTAACAAAGTATGCAGAGAAACAGATGGACTACAGTCTGTAACTGTAGAACTACAAAGTGCACCTATGTAGTAAGTGGAGCTGATAAAATGGACAATGAGTGTAGAAACAAGGAGGTGGTCATAATGTTATGACTGATCGGTGTGTATATATATATATATATGATATGTATGTATGTATGTATATATATATATATATATATATATATATATATATAATATATATGTGTGTGCATCATAAACTATCTCAGGCAGAATATTATATAACTATATAAAAATCTATAAAAAATATATATTGTAACAACTTTCCATGAGGGAGCTTTCAAAGACACTAAATGCTCGGCCGTCTGGTTCTGTCACCACTATATAAGATAGGTTTCTGTAGGATTATAAAATTTTTCATCATACGATTTTTTTTAAAGTTCGTGGACTTCCCCTTTGAGATGTAACCTGTTGGATAACGTTGCATCCATAGATGTTTATGCGAGATATGCAGCTTATTGAAGCGTAGATCTCACTAAAAAGCACCAACATTGTTTAAAAAATGAAACATGTAAAAATATCAGTAAAAAATCATAGATTTGATCTTTAAAGTTATGATCCAGAGAAAGCAGCCGGAATGCAAATGAGATGCAAATCTTCTGCGTCACGTCACGGTTTGGTGCGGCGCTGAGGGCTGAATGGCGCTGTGAGTCTGAGCTCTGAGGAGAAGTTCCTCAGTATGACCGTCAGCGCAGACGCGCGGGCTGGACCTTCGGCAGGGCTTCAGGCTTGACCTGAGAAACAAAAACTAGAGAAGAAAGATCCACAGGGATTATTCTGAAGACAGCATGGCGACGGAATGTATTAAAAACTGCTGCAGGTTTTTTGTGACCAAGGAGAAAGAGCCGGACCCTCAGAGTAAGACCCTCAGACTCAGCTCTTCTCTGTCCCTCTGTGGTGCTTTACTTTACTGTGTTTTTTAGTCGTAGTATTTTGCTTTTAGTCAGTGAAGCTTATTAGTTCACTCAGTTCCTTCAGGGAAGTTCAGGTGTGTGTGTGTGTGTGTGTGTGTGTGTGTGTGAGTACTCCCACGCTGAAACCTGATATACATGATATATGGGTTTCAAATGTGGGCTATACATTTTTAGATGCATTTCCCTTTTGGCTAACTTGTTTTTGTCACATATGGACGTATATGTGACATATATGCCAACTTATTTTCAAATATGGGACATCATTTCAGCCATATGTCAACATATACAAACATATGTGTAACACGATATATGATAGAAAACATTCATAAAAGAATGGAATATGTTACTCATATATGTTAACTTTACGTTATCTATAATATGGTTTGTATGCCTCTTTGTTTCTTCCACATATGTCCTAATGATGTAAAATGTAGTGTAATAGCTGCATAACTAAACTCTAAATACATGCACATTGTAAGCTTAGTAGTAAAATCTTTAAAGCATTAAATAAATGAAAAGCAAGCAGATGACAGTTATGACAGTAATGGGGTGCATTTAACCATATATGTTTGATCCATATATAATGCAAATCGTCACTGTCCTAAGAAAATCAAGTGTCTCCAGATCAGTCATAGGAGAGGGCACAAACTTTCTTTACATTCACTTTAAGTTAATGCAAAGAGATTTCATTCCAAGCGATTTTGGGGCATTTCTATTGGTCCATTCAGCATGAAAATTCACACAATGTTAAGGACCTATATATATATATATATATTATATATATAATGGGAACACTTTCTGATATGTATGCATATATGGCCATACATCAGATTCCCATATGGGCTTTGCTGAAAATGATGCTGCTTTTTACATGACAGTATATTTGTGAAAATAGGTTTTTCCTCAGTTCCATTTTAATCATTTTGGGGTTTTATTTAATTCTGTGGTGTTGCTTAAGCTTCTGGACTGTTTTCTCACCCCTCACCTCTCACTTTGGAGCTTTAGCCTGTTATTTTTTATCTAAATGTACCAAAAAGAGGAGAATAGAGCCTAATAAGCTTCAGCTCCTGTCCTGAGATGCTGGATGTACTAAGAAATGTTGCTGCAGTTCTATATGGAACCCAACTCAAACGTTTTTACATACTTTTTTTTTTTTTACTAAAGTTGGTTTCTTGTCTACTTTTACTACTGCTTGTACTTGGTTTTAGGCTCCTCTGGTCATTGCTCAGCCACTGATAACGTCTTTATTTCCCTGTGGTAGTCATTAAAGCTCCGGTCCCTGGAAAGGCAGTGAGGGAGAGCGAATGGAAGAAGAATGTGGGTGTCTCGGAGGATTATCTCCTCTCCAAACTGCCTCCTGATGGCAAAGAGGTCCCCTTCGTCCTCCCCTCCTTCAGACCGTCTTACATACAGCCCCGAGGAGCTGCGTACCCCAACTACCAGAGTGAGTAACTGCCCTGCTTGACATGAGTTTGCAGACACCTGTTCATGCAGCTTTCACTAGATGTTGGAACATTGCTGTGAGGGTCTGATTGAGCATTAGTGAGGTCAGGTACTGATGGTGGATGGTCAGTTCTGGATCACTCCAGCTCATCCCAAAGGTATTGGATGGAGCTCCATCACTCCACAGCCCAATGCCAGGTCTGGGCTAGAGGGGTATAAACCTGGTGACCGCTGTCCCATTCTACTGGTCAGTGATTTTCTATAGAGATTATACATGTATATCTGCAGTTGAGCCTCTGTATCAGCAATGAGTGTCTGGATACTTTTGGACACTAAAGTTTTTCTTCACATTGCCGATTTATCCTTTCATATGTGTATATATATATATATACATATACATATACATATATATATATATATATATATATATATTGTCTTTCATTTTGCAGCTTACTTCAAATTATTTGATGGAGCTGTAGAGTACAAAAGTCAGAAAAGTAATTCATTTTTGAATTTTTCAAAAGATCTCTCTGAGGAGATTAGATATAAGACAATCCATGTGCATGAGGAAGGAGAAAGTAAAAAGCAAATAACTGAAAAAACATGAGGTTCCAGAACTGGAGTTCAAAAACTGATTAAAAGCTACAGAGAAAATGTGCCTCCTTACATCCACCTGGAAGACCTGGTCGACCCCAAAACTGCCCCCATCAGATAAACAGCACTTAAAGCTTTCATCTCTGAGAGAGAGGAGAAAATCAAGCTGCTTCAGATCTGAAAACATCCACAGATGTTTCTGTCCATCCTTCCACTGTGAGAAGACGACTCAGTGCTATGGGTCTGAAAGGATGTGTAGCTGATCAAGAAGAACCTCACTGAGAAAAGGAGACGGACACATCAAACAAAGAAGCTGAACGATGGACTGACCACCCCAGAGTCCAGACCTCAACACCACTGAATGTGTTTGATTACTTCAGAAAATGATCAACCAGCTTCTAAGACTGAACTTTGGAGGTGTGTCTGCAGATTCTTTGAGGAGCTGAAAGTGAGTCTCCTGAAAAGAATGGAAGCTGGAATAAAGGTGGACACAGTAAATACTGAACATGTGACACTATATTTTGTTGTTGAGGCTTCGACAGCTTCTGTGTAATTTTCTGTTAAATGTATGTTTTATGCTTTTTTTCTGACGTTGAAAAATGAATAACTTTTATTGGAAATAAAATAAATAAAACATGGTTTCTACCTTTGTCCTGTGCTGTAATCCTGAAGCTGGACGCACTAGGTTTTATGCTTATTGAAGAAAATATATGAAATATACGGTGTCCATTAACACTGATAATAATAAATACCAATGCACTGCACCAGGTTCTGCATGGGCCACGTACATAGAGAGGAAGGCAGAGCTTGCTGCTGCTGGACAAATCGTATATGACCCCAATGTTCCTGTTCTCCCGGGTCATGTGATCAGTTTTGTGTCGCCGGGGTCCGTGAGACGGCCCATTCTGAGAGGCACTCTCGGAGGCGGTGCGTCAGGTAGGCCATATATATTTCTACACGTTGTACACACCTTACTGCCCCCTTTAGAGGCAGTTTGGGCTTGTTTAAATATGAATCTGATGCAGAGGTGCAATCTAGGGTTGCGCAATATATTGTTTGTCAGTCATTATCGTGAAATCAACCTGAAGTCTGCAATATGCAAATGAGCCTATAACCATTAAGTGATATTTCAAACTGATATTTCACTGCTGTCAGAAGAAAACCCTGTATCTCAGTTTTCGACATTTTGGGGTTTTTGACATAATTTAGAAATAACTCTTGTCCTTTACATTGTGTGTAAATTTCATGATGATTGGACTAAAAGAAATGACGCAAAATGACTTGAAAAAATTCTGGTTCCATTGACTAACATTAGAAGTAAAGTAGGTTTTTTCCTTCTCCTGTAAAGTTATGATTTTGGAGATACGAGGTTTTCTTCTGACAACAGCGATTTGATTTAATGAATTGTGCTAAACTGGCTGCAGGTAATTCATTGTACTGCATTTGCAACCCTGCAGATATAAATGTTGTAATTCTCTGCAATGCTAATCTAAGCACATATGGTCTAAGGCCCAATCCCATTTCACCCCCACCCAGTACCACTAAGCCCTTACCGCTCCATTTTGCATGTTCACATCTAGGGGTAGGGTGTCCCAATTCTTGTTGAGATAGAGGGGTAGGGTAAAGTGTTGGGGCTACATGACCCTCCAAATGGAGGTTTTTCAGAGACTCCAAACAGAGAGTTATGAGAAAAAAAGAAACACTGGCAAGATGGCTGAGCAAGAGACCAAAGAAACCCACAAATGGGAGTATTTTCTCTGTTAAAAATTACGATGACCACTGTATTATCTTAGTTTAATGTCATTTAAATGTGTTATGGTCCTTTTCTTCATAACAAGAATAACATAACTGATGTCTCGGTAGCTAGCTAGCTAAATTCTCTGTTCCACCTTAAATGGTGGACCTCCAGTTGGAAATTGCATTTTGTGGCTATTGTGAAAAGGGATTACCTTGATACAATATAATGAATTGCACAATATGACCAGGTAAAGGAACTAACAAAGTAAAAAAGGTCCATTTTGATGTCAGGCTGACTTTAGCCATGCCCTGTCAAGGGTGTTTTTAGTCTATTGCAAGGCCAAGACCAAGACTTTTAGTAGTCAAGTCGGAAGTCAAGACCTAGACTGGGACACATTGAGTCAGAGTCAAGACCAAGACTTTTAGTAGTCACATCTGAGTCAAGACCAAGACTTTTCGTGGTCGAGTCCAAGTCAAGACCAATACTTTTAGTAGTCAAGTCCAAGTCAAGACCAAGACTTTTAGTAGTCAAGTCCAAGTCAAGACCAAGACTTTTCATAGTCAAGACCGAGACAAGACCTAGACTTTTAGTGGTCAAGACTAAGACCTTTAGTAGTCAAGTCCAAGTCAAGACCAACATTTTTAGTAGTCGAGACCGAGACAAGGCCAAGACTTTTAGTAGTCAAGACTAAGACCTTTAGTAGTTGAGTCCAAGTCAAGACCAACAATTTTAGTTGTCGAGACTGAGACAAGACCTACACTTTTAGTAGTCAAGACTAAGACCTTTAGTAGTCGAGTCCAAGTCAAGACCAACATTTTTAGTAGTCGAGACCGAGACAAGACCTAGACTTTTAGTAGTCGAGTCCAATTCAAGACTAAGACCTTTAGTAGTCGAGACCGAGTCAAGACCAACACTTTTAGTAAAAAAGGTCCGTTTTGATTTCAGACTGACTTTAGCCATGCCCAGTCAAGGGTGTTTTTAGTCTATTGCAAGGCCAAGACCAAGACTTTTAGTAGTCACATCCGAGTCAAGACCAAGACTTTTCGTGGTCGAGTCCGTGTCAAGACCAAGAATTTTAGTAGTCAAGTCCGAGTCAAGACCAAGACTTTTAGTAGTCAAGTCCAAGTCAAGACCAAGACTTTTAGTAGTGAAGACGAAGCCAAAAACAACATTTTTAGTAGTCGAGACCGAGACAAGGCCAAGACTTTTAGTAGTCAAGACTAAGACCTTTAGTAGTTGAGACCAACTACTAACTTTAGTAGTTGAGACCAACTACCAAGACCAAGAGAGAGCTGAAGTGCCTGTTGTGATTGTGTTATATAAGACAAGTCAAGACCAACATTTTTAGTAGTCGAGACCGAGACAAGACCTAGACTTTTAGTAGTCAAGACTAAGACCTTTAGTAGTCGAGTCCAAGTCAAGACCAACATTTTTAGTAGTCGAGACTGAGACAAGGCCAAGACTTTTAGTAGTCAAGACCAAGACCTTTAGTAGTTGAGTCCAAGTCAAGACCAACATTTTTAGTAGTCGAGTCCGAGACAAGACCTAGACTTTTAGTAGTCAAGACTAAGACGTTTAGTAGTCGAGTCCAAGTCAAACCAACATTTTTAGTAGTCGAGACCGAGACAAGACGTAGACTTTTAGTAGTCGAGTCCAATTCAAGACTAAGACCTTTAGTAGTCGAGACCGAGTCAAGACCAACACTTTTAGTAAAAAAGGTCCGTTTTGATTTCAGACTGACTTTAGCCATGCCCAGTCAAGGGTGTTTTAGTATATTTGCAAAGGCATATCAAAATATAATGCAACATAATATCAGTGTAGTGTTTTGTCTGTGTAATTCAGCTCTAATTTTAACTTCCTGTTTCGAGGACAGTTCAAGTTTGATCACTTTATGATACTGTTGCATTAAGGAAGTATAGACTCGACGAGACTCTAACATTGACTAACATTGACTAACATTGACTCATTCCTTAGTCCCATATGGTGCCTTTTATCTTTTATCACCTTACAGGTTATTGAGAAGGAATCTTTTTCCAGAAAGTAAATACAGAGTGTCACTATGGAGATGGTGTAACTGCGTTAATCATATAGAGTTTCCTCATAACATGTTCTTGCACGCTATGTTCCATTCAAATATTTGCCCTTCTATTTTCATGGCATCCTCAGACCTGGAAGGCCATTCCTCAACATAAGTCCTCTATTGTCCATTTCAGATGTCACATGGCAGTGCCCCAGTTTTCATTGTTGAGTGTCGCAGCTCATGGTTTTGTACTGCTACCTATGTGTTGCATTGATTATGAAGGTAAAGATGGCTGTGAAAACAATCAGACTTGTGCTTGATACACATGTTGAGAGAGCTGAAGTGGCTGTTGTGATTGTGTTATATAAGACATACAGTGAATGAATTAGTCTCATTTGCCATTCTACTGTTTGCATTAGTTACATGTGGAACACTGTGTTTTATGGGTGTTATTGATTGACTGATTGAATATTGTTCATCTATCTACTATCTCAGTATACGACAGCTGAGTTTGTTGAATGTAGCTTAGTATCTAACCCAAAGTTAATCTTAACTCTCTCCTACTGTCAAGATGCCTAGAGCCGAGTCTGAGTCAAGACCAAGACTTTTAGTAGTCAAGTCCAAGTCAAGACCAAGATCTTTAGTAGTTGAGTTCGAGTCAAGACCAAGACTTTTAGTAGTCGAGTCCGAGTCAAGACCAAGACTTATCGTAGTCAAGACCAAGACTGGGACACATTGAGTCTGAGTCACGACCAAGACTTTTAGTGGTTGAGACTGAGTCAAGACCAAGACTTTTAGTAGTTGAGTGCGAGTCAAGACCAAGACTTTTAGTAGTCAAAACTGAGACAAGACCAAGACTTTTAGTAGTCGAGTCCGAATCAAGACCAAGACTGGGACACATCGAGTCTGAATCAAGACCAAGACTTTTAGTAGTTCGAGTACTGAGTCAAGACCAAGATCAGGTTAAATTTTTTTTCAGAGTATAAAAATAAAGATTGTTAAATAATATATAGCCTAGAACGTATTATATATATATATATATATATATATATATATATATATATATAATATATACACACATATATACATATAATATATATATGTAACTGGAAGCAAAAATATGTTACAATACAAACATTTAACCAAAAGTAATTTTAAATTTGACAAATATTGGTGATTGCAAAATTAAACACTATGTTTATATCAAGCTCATTGATCATTCTGGCACAATGTTAGCTAGTTATGTTTGTATTTTTCCCGACAGTTCAAATTCTGTTTGCAGCTTTCCTCTCTTCAGCCTGACTTCCAGCATTTGGTAGCTACCAAATCAGCTTCTCATTAGGAGAGTCAGAAAGAAATAATCTGATTGATTTAAATTCACGGTTGTGTGGGCCGCGAGTTGCAAAACTTTTACGAGCCCCTGATGCAGAGAAAAGTCTATGATAGATATATTATATACAGATGGAGGCATTGCTGGTCTCGACAGCAATTTCCAACTCCATCTTACCCCAAGACTCAGACAAGAGTCCAAATGAGGTTGAGATGGACCAAGATTACTATGAAATGTCTTTAATTTACTCTAAGGTTAAGGATGTTTTCGGTTCTCCTATAAATGTACTGTTGTTATGAACTTTTGCTATGATGATGTCATCTTTTAATAGAAGTAGAAAACATGCAGCGGGTTTATTTCAGTTCTGTTTTTTCCACAGCCTGGGATCAGAATGGGAAACAGAGACTCAGTGCCTCTATGTTAGACCTGTCCAGCCCTCACAGCCACATTCAGGTGAGTTATATGTAATAATAAAATGTCACATATGTTTTTATATATGTAAGTATTATATATAAGTATTATATATTATATATATAATTATTAATTATATGTGTGTGTGTATATATTTGGCCTCAGTATATATATATATATATAATGAGACCAAAACCGTGATCCAAACGTCCGTGGTCTCGTGTCACCATTCTGGAAGACAGAACTGCGAAATGTATATATATATATATATATATATATATATATATATATATGTGTGTGTGTGTGTGTGTGTGTGGGTGTGTGATAATATGTCCCCATATATGTTTTAAGTGCTGTCATTGCATCTATATCTTGCAATAAGTAAGATACTGTTAACAATGTTTCTAAAAATAAATGTACACAGTTGCGCACGTGCCCACATACCTGTACTCCACTACTTCCTTAAAGCACATCAAACCAGAGTAGATGGGGTTTTAATTAACAGTATAGTACGTTTACTCAGCTGCCGAAGGCCACAGTCACGTTCCATACTTTCAAAACAAAAGTGTTTGAGGAGAAACGTGACTTCATCAATAATAAAGGAATATTACACCTTCAAGTAGCTGTCACACTTCATACTTCAGGTCTGTAAACGTCCTACAGGAACGTGTCCGTTTTCTCTTTCTTGTTTTCTTTGGGTCTGTATTGTTTTGCTGTTAGGAACGTGTTTCTACAAATAGAATCTATTCACTTATTCCGGGATGGAGAGCGCATTGCCATGAAAGAAGCCAAGTTTAGCTGAGAGCATTATGAATGGAGAATTAATCACATTGGCATTGAGCGTTTAACACAAAGCCAGGTGACAAGGCTGCTTTGGGCGAGGCCTCTTTTGTTACATTAGTTATATAAACAATATTGAGTCAGTTTGTCGTCAACAACCCATTAGCGAGAGCGGATATTTGATAGCGTTTCATGTCTTGCCCAGTTCTCTACAATGCACTAATGTCTCAATCCAGCTGCAATGTCGCTACATACGGTTGGAATTCCAGTTTGAAGTGTAAGGCAGTGGATCAGACTGAGGTGCTTGGACCCCTAAAGCTGGGTGAGCTAGCCAATGGGGTGTCCAGGTTTTTTATTTTTTATTTTTTTAATGAAAAAAAAAAAACTTCATAAAGCATTACATGACACTATTGACCAACACAGGGCTTTTCCACTTTACTAAAACTGTTCGAAACAGTCTGTTGAGGGGCTTTATAGTTATGTATGACTAACACAGATTTCTTTTACAATGCAAAAGCATCAGGTTTAGGTAACTAAGCAATTGTAGAGGATCGTGTTCTATTCAGCAGGTATAGTGAGACAAAGGCTATGTTTACACAGCAGGTAAAAGTGGCCCAAATCCGATTTTTTTCTTCATATGTGACACAGATATGTGGCTGTGTGTCAGTGTGAACAGCAAAAAACACACTGAATCTGACATTTTCAATTCGGATTTGCGCTTTCATATGTGGTACTAAAATCCAATATGCAGCAATGCGACTGAACAGCCAGATCGGAATTCATTCGGCTTTTACGTCAATCCAACTGGACATTCATCCTAATTTCACACTGCTAGGGCTCATAAACGTTTGGGAGAAAAGTTTGAAATGGCCGAATGCGGCCGTAGGAGAACGAGGCTGCAGCGTCAAAGAACAGTTAAAAGTTTGAAAGCAAAGTTTAAGTTTTCCGAGGACGCGAACCAAAGAAGTGGCCGTGGCCGAATAACATGCCCTTTTTACGGCTCTAACACATTCTGGGTGATGAGTCCAGCTGTCAGTCAGTGAAGCTTCATGATGGCTCCTGTGATGCTGGTGAAGATGAAGCTGAACCTCCGGGAACGACTGGCGTTCGTTGGCAGTCGTGATTGTTTACCTCTGGATGAGCCGTGAAGCAGCGTGATGCTCTGTTCTTTTGCACATGTGGGTCAGTTTAGGAGCTGATCTGCTCAGACTGATGTCGATGAGCACATTTAAAAGATAATGTGAACAGCCAAACAAAAAACTCGGATTTGGTGAAAAAATCAGACTTGGGCCACTTTTACCTGCTGTGTGAACGCAGCCAAAGTGTACACCATTTTACCCCTATAGTCGACCAGCCAAGTGATGTGTCTTCTTTAGTTTTGCACTGCGAGGCTAATGTTGCTAACAGATAATGGAAGCTTATACCCCACCAATTAGCATTGTTTATGCCTAAATAGTCAACACAGTTGCCTTAAACTGTGTCAAATTGTTGAGTAATGTCTAATAGACTTGCCAGTTTCAACAATGATGATGAAACTGTGGATGAAACTGCATCAAGCAAATCATCAGTCTACTGGTGGGTGATATGGAAAAAAATATAATATTGCGATAATTAAAATCTTCAAAATATACGATATGTCATTATATTTACTTTACATCTGATCAGTTGGAGCTCAGAAAATAGAACCGGCAGTGCTACGTTTTAAAAATTACTATCGAAAACTGTTAATACAGCGATTTTTATTAAGTATTTTGCAGGCTGTGTTGCACTAAATCCAGTTAAACTGACTAATTATGCTCTCTTTATAATAAAACATGCAGTTGATCAGTGTTCAATAAGTACTAATGGCAAAAACAACGTTATTTAAACAACGTGTTAGCATTATATATCGTATTGTGCATAATTTATCACGATGATGATATATATTGTCACATTGCCCAGCCCTACATCGGTCAGGCATGTTTTCTCTCTCTCTGTTTCCTCAGCGCTTTGACTCAGTGTCCAGCATCCAGAGCAGCACGTCCTCCGTACAGGATTCCTTCGGGAGCAGCCGTAGTCTAGGTAACACGTTTGTGCCTCAACCACAAACACACTCCATTCATAAAGAACTCGCAAGTTTCCTGTTTAAACAAACCCTCTTGAATGGTTTGGGTCTGGAGGTGTTTTTGAGGTAAATGTTCACCACTGACTTGTACAGCGAGGTCCAAACGTCTGAGACCACATTGAAAATCTGGGATTTTTCACTTATGCTAACCACACTAGAAGACTTTGAAAAGACTTTTAAAGACTGAAGTCTGACACCCTCTCACATCCAAAGACAGTGTCACGGTTTTTAGTCACATACTATGATTTTGCAAAGACTGGGAATCTTGCAGTGTCACTATTTACAAGACTGCAACTAGATTTCTGAGATTATTTCCCATCATGCACCCGGTGGAAATTTATAAGCAGATAAACGCTTTTCCTTCCACTCTATGGTGGTGCAGATGGGAAGATACGCTGGCTGGGCGTGTAAAGATCTGGAGCTCAGCCCAGTTCACTGTAGAGCTGTATACTCTGGCAGATCATCACCCAGAATCTTTAATTAACCTGTAAAATGTGCAGCTACTTTTTAAATTTGACAGAAAGCAAAAAAAGGGCTTGATGATTCTTCAATAATGTCACTCTGTCCATTTCCCTCATTCCTGTTACAGGCCCAGTGAACCTGAGATATTAAAACAGCCAGTTTACATTTTAAGTTAATATGATTATTGTATTAAAGCAGATTTGCCTTTTTACGTGGATGCATTTTCTCCTTTGCGCTCTCTCTCTCTAACGCTCGCCCGCTTGCTCTCTCGCGCACCCCTGGCACATCACTATTTGCATGAGCCAAGACTTAAAACTTGCGATAATATTAAACACGGTTGATTTTGTCGCAGCGTCAAGACGAGAAAAAGACTGACCTAAAACAGCCATCCTGACCACCTCACACTAAACAATCGAGACGGTGCGAGCGCGACGCGACTCCAGCAAGACTCTCATGATTTTAAATTTGTCTGCGACAGTGAAATCGCTTGAAAAATGGTTTGGTGTGAGGCCGGCATTAATCTGGGAAATAAACAACAGAAAGTTTTAATATTTCGAAAAAATTAAAGCAAAGAAAAGTGATGACAAGTAAAATAAAGAAGAAATATTCACGATTCTGCACTGTTTCTAGGTCACTGTTCAAATTTAAGGAAATTTGTGAAACTGACCCTTTTAAGGCCTTTGTACTAAAGGGTCAGGGTCGGATTTTTTGAGTATAGCTCATGTTCGGATGACTCTGGGGTGGGTTTAAACAGCTGATCAGAGGCTACTTTCACTGTTAGTGACCAGAGTCTGGCACACAGTCATTAAAGCAACAAACACTAAGAATTCTGAAATTTGTGTTAAAATTTGAGTGATTCTACTGGTCACTCAGATTGTTATGCTGATATTATCATTTGTAATGAAAAGCATTGATCAAAGAGCAAAGAAGCATATCAAATTAGAAACAAATGCAAAACAGAAGCATTTTCACTAGTGGTCTCAGCCTTTTGGGCTCCACCGCAGACGTAAACAGTGCTGTGCAAAAGGCAATATTGTTTAATCCATTTCTCTTGGCAGGAAGTGTGTTTTGCCAGTAAAACTACCATATATCATTAGAATAAATGCAAATAAGCGTAAATGCAGTAAAAAGTAAAACGATTGTCTTGTTTTTAAAAAAGTAGTTGATCTTCTGAGCCAGTAAGAAGAACAAAATTTAGTTTTGGGTGTCGCCTTGATGCCCCCAGCATTGACTTGTTAAATAATCATCAGCACACCAGTTTTAACTCCACAAAGCTTTGATTAGCCAAAGCAGGTATTGAATGATGAAGGCTGAGAACACACTTCTGCTTATTTTAATGCACAGTTACTGTTTATATGCTTATGTAAAAAAAAATAAATGTGGCCTGTGCAAAAGTTTGCAATTTGTTAAACAAATAAATAGAAATTATGCAATAAATGTTGCAGTAAAATGCCATATTTGAGTTTATTCTCCATAGAGGATGTGTCAACTTATGTAATATAAACTTTTGCATACAAATGCACCCAAAATCCCTGCTTACTGTAATAATGTTTGAATTTATCCTAATATTAGTGTGTTTCTGAGCATTACAGTCCAGATAAACAGACTGTTCCTCTGTAGAATCTCCTCCTACTCCTTGTTCCTGGTCCCTGGTAGTGGTAGTGTATGGAGACGTGTAAATGACTGTGTGTGTATGTGTGTGTGTAGAGTCCATAACGCTGTCCGGTGACGAGCGGGAGCTGGGGAAAGTGTGTGTGCTGTTGAGCTATCAGGAGGCGGTGGAGCAGGTGTGGATCACCGTGGTGCAGGTAAAGTTACAGCCCAGTCTAGTGGAGCCTCAGTGGGACACAAGGAGACCTTTGTGTCCGTCTGTTCCTTCTTAATGGAGCCTCTGTCCCAAAACCCTGAGAGAGCAGAACTATCGCATCTCTCCCCCTTTTCATGCATTTTTCTCTCTCTTGTTTCAATCTCTGTATTTACCTCAATCTTTTCCTTTCTCTGCCTCTTTTTCCTCTTCGTTCTGCTCTTTACTCCATACTAAAGCAAACTCACCTGTTACTGAAAGGCCACATCAGGCCATAACTGCGTTATTCACTTACTGCCTGTTCATCTACACCAGAACATATTGAGTCATTGTGTCATTATGCTTAACATTACATAATTAATGCAAATCAGATTTGTAGCAAAGTGTGTTTCCGCTTTCCAAAACATGTAAAAGAGCCCCCCAAACAATCTGCAAAAGGGGAATTCCCAGCACAAAAACATCAGGTTTAAAATCTTGTGTAATTTTTATACTGTTTATACTGTTTAAAAGTAATTACATGTTTAGACAATTACAGTATAGTATAATTATTATTTTGTATAATAATTACATAATTATACAATTACATATTATGTAATTGTACAGTTACAGTATGTTACATAATTGCACAATTACAGTTATATGCATTTTGGATACCTACACAAATACAGTAATATGCATTTTAGATAACTACACAATTACAATTGTATGTTACATTATTACATAATTACAGTTATATGCATATTAAATGACAACACAATTACGATTATATGAATCTTAGATAATTACATAATTTCAATTATATACATAATACACAATTAATAACACAATTAAGTTGCATAATAAATGTATTATGTAATTTAGATTTACATTCTGTGTCGACAAGTTCAGGTCTGCACTTTTTTCAGTTTATTTTGTCAAAATGACAGAAACGTGAGAAATGTAAAACTTACATTTTTTCTGTCCACAAAACAAGCAGACAACCTTGTCAATAATGCTTCGTCCAATTCAAATCATAATGAAACATCTCCCCTTCAACTTACACACACCAGTGCGATGCGGATTTAAAGCGTAGAATCTGCACTGTCCTCACAGTTTCTCCACTCAGTGAGCTACGAGTCAAAAATTCGTTGGCACTCAGGAAGGTTAATGGTTAATCAAGGGTCAAAATCTTTGACCGCTGAATAACGATTCTTTAAGTACGATTTAGAAGTATTATCAAAAGTACACTAAATAAACTGGTTACACAATATAGCCAACACAACATACAGACCTTCACAACAACACCTTCAGATGCATCCCCACGGTTAATCTTTCTTTCTTTCTTTCTGTGTCTCTCATTTCCAGTGTAAGGACCTGTGTGTTTGTGCAGAGGGACCAGAGCAGCAGAGGGTCGGGATTAAAGGGGTCATCACCATGGCGAGGCCTGTGCAGTTTAAAACTTCAGTAAAAGACGCAACACCAGTGAGTATAGCCCTGCTGTTACACTGCACACACAGAACACACCTAAACACCTCCGCTCACTATGCAGAACGCTCTCTGCTCCTCAATAGACCCATTCGGAAGCATTTACACTACTGTATTTGCTTCAGCAGTGCAGGAATTCTTTTAAAAGTGACCAGAAATTCCAGGAAATAAGGACACAAGGCTTTAATGCTGATTCTGAGTTGTACTTGGCTACTCTGAGGGTGTGAATTGGATCATGCTAGCAGGCCAGCACTTCCTTTCATTAATTATTAGCCATATTAGCTTTCATGGGTGAAGGATTCTTTAACTTTAACAGAGTCAAGGCTTTAAAAGCAACTTGTAGCTTAGGTGGGTTTAATGTTAAAAAATACTATATGGCCACATGTGTCTCCTTATATTTGATAGAGTTTGATATAAATGTCATACATTTATATCACAGTGTTATCAGATAATTATTTACATATTTATGTAACAATGAATATACTATTCTATATTCTCTGTTCTGCCTCAAGTCAAATGGCAGTAATCTTGTTCAAATATGTGCTTATATATGAAATATTAACCCAATTTAAAGCAATTCTAATCATAATGCACACATATGACCGCGCATATCAGTTGGCTGAGTTATTAAAAACCATTGTACAGTTCATGAAATAGTACATTATGTTGCTAGGCTAAACATAGCCTACACTCTTAAAAAAGATGGTTCTCCAAGGGTTCCTTAGTAAAGAATATGGTTCTTATATATATAGGAGCATGAACACTCCTAGAACACTTTGTATGATTAAAGGGTTCTTTGCATCTTGAAAGGGGTGTACAGGTTGTTGGAAAATGTGCTGTAGATGGTTCAATATAGAATCTTTTTGAAAAGGGTTCTATAAAGCACCAAAAAGGGTTCTTCTACTGTTGTGATATCAACCATGTTGCAATAGAAGAGCCGTTTTTGGTGCTATGTAGAACGTTTTTCAAAAAAAAAGGTGCTATATAGAACCATATAAAAACTTTCTTTGCATCGTGAAATGGTTCCTCAGATTGATGGAGAATGTTTTGTATATGGTTCTAGATATCAACCTTGTTACAATAGAAGAACCCTTTGTGGTGATATAAAGAACCTCTTTCAAAAAGGTGCTATATAGAACCATATAGAAACATTCTCCATCAATCTGAAGAACCATTTCACCATGCAAAGAACATTTTAATCATGAAATGGGTTCTTTGAATGTTCGTGGATGTGTGTAGAACCAGTTTCTTTACTAATGAACCCTTAAAGAACTATCATTATATTATTAATAAGAAATAGTTAATAATATTACTTTTTGTATTTGTATTTTGTATTTTTTTATTTTGGGTTGCCTAACAACACCCTGTTACCATGGCACATCCACTGGCTTATTGCTTTATTATGCATTTACAGCCGTAAACAAACATGTTAACATCTCTTTTCAGATTGAATTATTGATGTTCTCCGTGAAGAACAAAATAAGAAACCTAAATCTGGCACAAGTTCTGTTTAATTGAGTTATGTGATTTTAACATATAAAAAAAATTAAAGCATAAAATATATAAAATATATCTTTTTTTTGCACAGGCCACATTTTAGGTTTTTTCCCAATATGTTTAATTAATCAAATAAACAATGATTAATAAAACACATCAAAACATCTAATATTGCCAAACCTTTGCACAGATATTTTTGTACAAGGGCCACAAAAATGACATTAATATCGAAGTAGAATTGGAGTATAGTGGTTCCAGACCAGACGTCACCTGGCCAGCCAAACAGACGGTGGCCCTTAGCCTGAGGACTGAGACTGTAACATATGTTTAATATTTAATACCCCTATGAAAACATGCTTTTACACAATAGGTGTAATTATAGCAGATATCCATGATACACATGATGTTCCTGATTAGAAAGAGAGGGACGTGGTTCTCCGAGCTCTGGGCGTTTCTCTCGTGTGTGAGACTGTGCGCTTATCTAATTACATAATCCATCTTTGTTCTGCCCTCTCATTCCACCCTTTATTGTTAAGTGTTAAATCATTGTGGTCACGTTTGCTCGAGTTAAGTAACGACTCGTGCAGCACAAGCAGCTGTCTAATAGCATTCATATACGTTTTTGTTTTACGTTTACCAGAATGTTTGGTGATATCGTTTGTTTGCGTGGTTCACCTGCCTCCAGCTGAAGGGTAAACTATAGTGTAGGCGTAAACAAAACACCTGGCTGGGGTTAGGGGAAGTACGCTGATGATGTCATGGACTGGAAAGCCTTTGAAAAACTCCCTCTAGAGTCAATGTCCTTTCTTCAAAAGACTAATTCATTTGATGGCCTAGAGGACTTTAATGCCAAAATAAACCCTAAACTGGATTATCTAGCTCAGAAAACAAGTAGCCCACTGAGTATGCAAAAACATTAATGAAAGATACAGTGTTAAAGGGGAATTTCACCAAAATTTCTGAATCATTTAGTTGTTGAGATATCGAGGAGAGACAACTCATATTTCTTTACAGTGGTGGTGATTGGAACCAGGTGTCTACAACACAAATATAGCCATTTTATTTACTATCCTAAACCACCAGTGAACCTACACGAGTCTTCTGAGTTTTATATGGAATGTTGATGATGGAAAATAGTGATAAATCTTCAAAAACTCTCCACCATTAATGGATTTAAAAAACAAAATTTAGGCCAAAATCTTCTAAAACTAGCACAGCAGTGCTGCTATAAACTCCAGCAGCACTGCTGTGTCTGATCCACTCGCACCAGCGCAACACACACTAACACATCACCACCACGTCAGTGTTACTGCAGTGCTGAGAATGACCCACCACCCAAATAGTACCTGCTCTGTGAGGGTCCATGGGGGTCCTGACCACTGAAGAACAGGGTAAAAGGGGGCTAACAAAGTATGCACAGAAACAGATGGACTACAGTCTGTAACTGTAGAACTACAAAGTGCACCTATATAGTAAGTGGAGCTGATAAAATGGACAATGAGCGTAGAAACAAGGACATAATGTTATGGCTGATTGGTGTATAAGCAACTTCAGGGAAAAGCCCAGTCTTTGGAATGTGGGTGTGTCCATAGGATAAGCCCCGCCCACTCACCACCCACAAGCAGACTCAAACATTTATAATATAAAACACCCAAAAACAATATATAACAGATTAAATTTTAAAACGCCATGCTTTGATATTTGAGCCGCTCATATTCTGTCTCTATCTCTCTCTCTCTCTCTCCCTCTCTCTCTGTCAGGACATGGTGTTTATGGAGACGTTTGTGTTCTCTCTAAGCCTGGAGCAGTTGCGCAGTTCTGCACTTCTGCTGCGACTGCAGACACACACGCCACGCAAGCGCACACTGGGAGAGTGTGTGTTGTCTCTCAGAGCGCTCAGACCGCAGGAGACCCAACACTGGCTGGACATCAGACCGCCCTGCAAACCACGCGTGAGTCAAAGCTGATAACTCCGTTCTCACTGCCCTATCAAATACACACACTCTTACACTCAGACTCCACTGAAGGGCCACAGCTTTTAACCCTTGTGTGGTGTTGATGTGTTTGTTACTCAGTGGTCTGCTGGACCCACCACATTACTGTCTTTTTAAATCAATACAGCCATAACAGTTTATGTAAAAATACCAGATGTTTAAAATATCACAAGTGTCCAGCGTAGGGTTCTCCTTTAGCAGCTGTAGCCAGTCAGCAGCCTGTCCATGTTGTCCACCCTCACACAGACACACATATACAAACACACACGCACACACACACTAACAGCAGGCCATGTAGGAGGAGAACAGAGTGAAGGACACAGCACCTCCACACTTTTACTCCCTGCAGGTTCAGCCTAACACCACATGTGTACTATAAAGGTGTGGGGGGTGAACAGAGTGAAGACACTGAAAATGGGTTATTTTAGATGTTCTTCACAGAAAATGAGGAAAGGCCAAAGAATCTGAGGTTGAAATAATAATAAATCACATCATTTTTTCATTGAACATTGAAAATGGGTCCCACAGACCCCAACACCACACAAGGGTTAAAGCCTGCAGTAGCTTTACAGCTCACAACTGTCCTCAGCATCAGTCTCATTCTCTCCTTCGGTAAAAATTCTCCTGCTTAGTCTAAGGATGATCCATCCCCTCAGATTAAGCTCACCTCTACAGAAAACACTGTTTCCACATGCGAGCAGGACTTTGGGGAAAGACCAAAGAAACTCTACTGAAGTAAAAGTATGAGTACTTTTCACCTGAAATCAAGACCAGCGTCCAGACAATGGTTCATGTTTTTGTTACATTGTGTACATTTGATCTGATTAGTTTTGGTTTCACGTTGCAATTTAGTGACAGCACTAAAGAACTGACGCACCTGTGTCCTGCCGTCATCACCTGCGTGGGGTGCGTCTCCCTGTACTTAACACTGACTGGTTTGTGGAGGAGCGTCTGACGTTGGCGTGGTGTCAGTTCGGCAGGCAGCCTTTTCTGTTTGAACAGAGAAAAATTATCCTCCCTCTCTCTCTCATCCTCCTTAGACAAAAAGATATACATTTAGACATTTTTACGCATTTTTTTCAAGTTTTGGACCAAATTACAGTTAAATTTTCCATCTCCTTCTCTCTGGTTCCACGGCTCATATGCTCTCCTCAGTTCTTTTTCTTCTTCTGTTGTTTAATGGCTGTTGATAGCCTCCCTCAACTCGTGTATTTGCAGATGAACTGACCCGAGACCATTTCTCTTGGTCAGACCAAATTTTGGTCCTTTGAAGAAAATAAGGACTGGAAAAAAGAAAACACTAAAAATGCTGGGAAGCTCCATCCACAGTGCTACAATATCTATCATCATTATTATTATTATTATTATTAATAATAATGATAATAATAATAATAATCGTCATCATCATCATCATCATCATAATCTGTATTTATAGAGCACTTTTCATGTTGGGGCAGCTCAAAGTGCTTTACAGATGGGTAATAAAGCTAACAGTAATAGAACAAATTATGAGTATTGAGTTAAAATCATAAAACCGACAGATCAAATTGAAAATGTAAATACCAGAGGGATGTAGAATTTTAATTAAACGCTATAAACGCTAAATTTAAGGGATACATTCTCAAATGTTTCTTAAAAGCGTGCACTGAGTTGGGTTGTAATTGAGTTCCACGGTTTGAATCACATTATTTTAGACCTCGTTGTTTCTGCTGTTTGAGAAATCTGAGAACTGACAGTCGTATCGGTCAGTGAACTGCTGTGGAACTAAAACTAGTGGAGTCAGTTTGAGTTTTCACAAATTCTGTTGGCTCATATTATCAATTACAGCACAAACTTTACACTGTTGAAACCATATGAGTGAGAGAGTCAGTGAAGGAGAGAGGGGGTGAGCCGGGAAGGGTGGAGGAAGAGAGAAGGTGATAGAGAGTGAGAGGAAAGAGAAAGAGAAAGCAACTCGGGATGGAGCTCATAAAACAGCTCATTCGAAGCAGCTTGCTAATATGCCTCATGCTTAGCACAGATTAGCAGCGATGCGAACAAAAACCTTTGGCTCTTTCAGCTTTTGTTTTATTTGTTTGAGTATCAAGGTGCTTGATTTTCATAGTAGTGATACATTACGTTTTATGATGCACATTGTGTTACTGCAGCCTTATTTGCCTCTTGTCTGTTCCTGGATGTGCTGACCCTCCTACAAAAGGTATCAGGTGTCAGATATCTTAACAATAAGCAGTTAATGAGGATTATTGTCTCAACCGGAACATCTCGCTATGAAATTCCCACATTGTTTTATTGTTTTATATTTTTATGGGTTTAAATTGTCCTCCTATCATTTTTATTGTTATATAATGCACGGCTGGCTGTTGTAAATTAAGGAGAGGCTTTTCCTGGCAGTGATTTTTTACTGAGTGTATATGTGTATATATGTGTACAGTACTCTTAATCTAATATCCTGTCAAAACATATGTGTATATATATATATATATATATATATATATATATGTATATATATATATACACCGCTCAGGCATAACATTATGACCACCTCCTTGTTTCTACGCTCATTGCCCATTTTATCAGCTCCACTTACTATATAGGTGCACTTTGTAGTTCTGCAGTTACAGACTGTAGTCCATCTGTTTCTCTGATACTTTGTTAGCCCCCTTTTACCCTGTTCTTCAGTGGTCAGGACCCCCATGGACCCTCACAGAGCAGGTACTATTTGTGTGGTGGATCATTCTCAGCACTGCAGTAACACTGACGTGGTGGTGGTGTGTTAGTGTGTGTTGCGCTGGTCTGAGTGGATCAGACACAGCAGTGCTGCTGGAGTTTTTAAACACCTCAGTGTCACTGCTGGACTGAGAATAGTCCACCAACCAAAAATATCCAGCCAGCAGCGTCCAGTGGGCAGCGTCCTGTGACCACTGATGAAGGACTAGAGGATGACCAACGCAAACTGTGCAGCAGCAGATGAGCTATCGTCTCTGACTCTACATCTGCAAGGTCGACTGACAAGATAGGAGTGTCTAATAGAGTGGACAGTGAGTGGACCCAGTGTTTAAAAACTCCAGCAGCACTGCTGTGTCTGATCCACTCATACCAGCACAACACACACTAACACACCACCACCACATCAGTGTCACTGCAGTGCTGAGAATGATCCACCACCCAAATAGTACCTGCTCTGTGAGGGTCCATGGGGGTCTTTTTTTTTTAATAGAAAATCCTCAACTAATCCAACTAAATATAATATCTTTTTCAGTATTTGGTGTGTGCACTCATTACCAGAAACTTTCAATTTCTCAAAGAAATCATCAGACACACCTCCAGATTTTTAGGTAAAAGCTTTTTAACACTAAATGGTCTTAAACGCTGGAGTTAATGTATAACTGCTTATTCACCCGTTAACCCTGAAGGTTGGCATGCAGACTGTTGGTCACATAATGTAGATAACAATAATGTCAGAGAAACTGTCAAACACCAAAAACCTGTGAAGCTGAAGTCAGATTCTCGTTCGCCAGCTTTTTGTTCGTATTTTCACGTTTTATCTTAAATGGAGCAACAGTTAGCTAAATCCCACAGCTAGCTAAATTCTGGCATGATTTAAGGTGGAACAGGAAAATTCGAACAATAAGCCGGTAATTGAGAAACGACTTCAGCCTCGTAAAAAGTCGAACGTTGAGAGACATTTTACAAGAAACTGTTCTACTTTCGTGGAAGAGTTTCCTGCTGGAGATGCGAGAAAAGTGGCTATAGCTGAGCTGAAGCTTAAAGCAGAGCAAAGTAAGTCTGCAATTTCATTTATATTATATTTTTAGCCTATACTAGCACATCAGCACATACTGAGACATATTTACAGCCAAGATGGTGAAGCTTTCTTTCTATAAAATGGACATGAAATGTGGCTCCAAAGGTGGTTAGATTTTTTGTTGAAATTTGACAGAATGACTCTTCTTAACATTTGGGTTGCCGACCCCTGATCTCCTTTTCTCAGTGAGGTTCTTCTTGACAGCTACACATCCTTTCAGACCCACAGCGCTGAGTCGTCTTCTCACAGTGGAAGGATGGACAGAAACACCTGTGGATGTTTTCAGATCTGAAGCAGCTTGATTTTCTCCTCTCTCTCAAAGATGAAAGCTTTAAGTGCTGTTTATCTGACGGGGGGCAGTTCTGGGGTCTACCAGGTCTTCCAGGTGGTTGTTAGGAGCCTCATTTTCTCTGTACCTTTTAATCAGTTTTCAACTCCAGTTTTAGAAACTTTTCTTCACTCATTTTTCGTTGACTACTCCTTCCTTAAGTGGATTATCTCACATCTAATCGCAGGAAAAATCTCCCAAAAAACGAGTAACTTGTACCTAATTACTGTTTTGACTGGAAATGAAATACAAGGTGGTCTCTGACTTTTGCACAGTAATGTGCAGGTGTACTTGACCTGGGAAACAGAAATTGGAAAGGAAATAAATATTTTGGAGATTACAGTTTACGGAAATAAGCGGGTGAAAAGGGGATATAGATTGTGGATTGGTCAATAGTGAATGTAGGCCAGTGGATTGAGTTCTTGCTGAAACTGGTTTGCGTCTCTAGCTTTCAGAAATCAAGTCTGTCTGTGTGTACGTGCTCACAGCAAGGGGCTGTGATCCAGGGTGCCCCCAAAACCTGCTTAGAGCAATCTTATACAATCAAATACAATCAAATACAATTCTGCGGCCTATAACAAGAAGGTGGCTTTCATCATGCTGTTTCATTCTCCCTCTGTTTGCCTGCCTGCCTTTCAGAGTTTAGTTTTACTTATGATGTGTCTTTTAATAAAAAGTTTCTTTGCGCCAGCGTTAGATACTATCCACCTTCCACCTGCAGTCTCGGGGAAGGTAAACATGAAATTAGCACAAAATACAGAATAAATACAGTACAAATACAAGATATGATAAACTCTCCGTTTATAAAGGGAAAGGAGAGCATTTATTGCTTCATCCTTGTGTTCTGGCACTGATAGTGTCAGTGTCTGTGTTAGTATGTGTGTTGGTTTAATTTAGTGTAACACTGCCTGCGTTGTGTTTGTCTAGGTTTGTCATGCTGAGCTCCAGCTGGCTACGTGCTTCCAGCCGGTCAGCAGCCGGATCCAGCTCCAGATCCTCAGTGCTCAGAATCTACCATCATCATCCTCACTCCTCACACAGAGTGAGTCACAGTTAACACTTCTGCGCCCTTTAAAGTGATAGTTTGAAAAAGATAAAGACAGATTCAGCCTCAACTCTCTAAGCTTTGGCGCTATCATCATGAGATCTTGCGTCATCCAGCCATCCATCCACTGGTTGGGAGTCCAAAAGATCATGACTGTCCTCGCACTCTCTGTGTAGGTAGGATGGTCCTCGCTCACCCCAGTCTTTCAGCTCAATGATAGCCAATGTAGGCATCTGTTAGCATAACATAATAGAATTAGCAGTGTTCTCTAAGAGTGTTGAGCTCCAATGATGTCATGTTAGTGACAGTTTAAAAAGGATGTGGTGGAGCTTCATGTGTCTCTGAGGAAGCTCCTTCTAGCCCTTACCTTCCCAGCTTGGTAGCATCGTGTGATAGAGGGAGAGCTAGGTAGCTTTTTTGATTTTTTCCCACTTTTCTCCCCAATTTAGTGGTATCCAATTCCACCCACTCGTTAGGACTCCCCCCTTATACCACCATGATACCACGAGCGCTAGAAGGGTGAAAGCTAGCACAGGCTTTTTCCGCAGCCTGTGAAGCTCCACCACATCTTTTCAAACTGCTGCTAACACAGCGTCATTGGAAAGCGCCAACCGCCAGTTCTGTTACATCAGTTAACAGACGCCTGCGCTGGCTAGCATCCGCTGGGTGATGGGGGGAGACAAAGGGGTCATCCTCACTCAGAGAGGGAGAGAGAGGCCAATTTGGACTCTCTTGGACTCCTGGCCATGGATGGCTGTACCATCAGCAAGGATCAAACTCCGGACTCGCCACTTGGGAGCCGTGGATTGGATATTGGAGTAAAAATAAATACATAAATAAATTGACACAGTTTTCTCACTTACCACAAATGTAATTGATCGGCCAAGACATGCTTGGTATCATGCTTTTTTAGTTTTGCACTGAAGCTACTAGGCTAATGTAGCTAACAAGTAGGGGACATGTATACTTCACAAACTGCATTCCTAAAACATCAGTTATTATATAGTTTTGTACTTTTTTATAGATAACAGTATGTCACACTAGAGCTGGTCAGTATGACTTGTTATCGTGATAAATTGCATCACAATAAATGGAATCATCAGTACTTCAAAACTACATTCCAACTGCATGTTTGATTAAAATAAGAGCATAATTAGTCCTGTTTAATTGGATTTAGTGCAGCACAGTGGGCCAAATGTTGAACTCAATTAGTTGGATTCATAGTTTTTAATAGTATTTTTAAAATGTTGCACTAATTTGTCTGCTATAACTTATCAGATGTCAGAAAAAACAGATATGCATCGTGTATCGTATAGAAATTTCTGCAGTATTGTGATTTTGCATTTTGCCATTTTGCCCACTGCTGTGTCACACAGTGACAGAAATAACATAAATCAAGCAGTACTTTTGTGATCCAGGCCACATATGTAGTGTTTGCTTAGCAGTCCTGAGCCACCCTGAGTTCACCTTCTCCAGCCTGTAGCTCATTTCCTGTTCAATGACTTTCTTAAATAGTAGTCTATTACAGTGTGGGAGGATCTGAATTTTCTCTTCCTGGTGGCTCCTGGCAGGTTTCTTTGTGAAAGTGGAGATGTTTAGCGATGGACGCTTCATACTGAAGAGGAAGACGAAAGTAGTGAGGTCATCTGGAGGTCAGGTCCAGTGGGGGGAGTCGGTGCTCCTACCAATCACCAACCAGGACCACAATTTACAGCTGTCAGTCAAACTGTACAGCCGTGGATCCATACGCAGAAAACACCTGCTGGGACAGGTGAGTGTTTACACTTGTATATTTAGTGCACTGAATTTTCTTCACTTTTTTTTGAATAAAAGAGTACTACATAAACACGTCACAGTGTGTGGAGTCCATATATGGAAATGAAGCTGCAAAAGCAGCTCCTTTTTAATGTGACATCACAACAATGCCGCCCAGAAGTCATCTGCATGTATCAGAAACAAAATGTTTGGAATGAAGAGCAGTTGGATAATGAAGTGAAAAATTAATTACAGCTATTTTTGGTACATTAACCTTTTCAACTCCTTGAGACCACCAGTGGCTCCAAAACGCACTTTGTCATATTCTTCATAACTTTCATGTTTCATAAGCTACATTCAAAAGGTGGGGGTCGTATGAGAGCTGTAACTGTCTTCTTTCCAGTCAAATAGATGGGTGATGTAATTTTAAACCCTTATAATAAAAGAAGCTCACAATTTTTTTTTCTACTGAAAGTCGACCCATTTTTCCACAAATCTGGGCTATAAACTAAACAAATGGCGTCTCTTCAGTGATCTGCTCTGTGAAAATTATTTTTTTTTAAAAATACAAAGAGTGTCTGAGATTTTTGGCCTTCAGCAGTAAATTGTAAGCATATAGCAATATGTTTATGATCATAAAACACACATTCTGTTAATTTGAGGGAAGCTTTAAAAAAATATATTTATATAAAATAAAAATTTACATTTATTTCATGCAGTTACTGAATAATTTGCCTTACGATTTGGTCAAGTAAATTCAGAAGGACAAACCAAAATATACCCTGGTCAATAAGAGGTTAAATCACACAACTGTTAATTATTCTGGGAAAAAATATAAAATACAGGAAAATATAGAATGTGAAAATAAAAATGTGAGCATAATGTACACACAAGTGCACGAAATGTAATAGGAAAATGTTATTACATCACAAATTGTGAACATATGCATGTTTTGTGTGTGTTCTTCTGTCTCTAGGTTCTCCTGGGTTTTGAAAGTCCATCACCCGAGGCCATGGAACAGTGGAAAGACTCTATCTCACACCCTGAAAAAATAGTGACGGCATGGCACAGGGTCAGACATTCCTGAGAGAGAAAGAGGAGACAAAGAGAGAGAGAATGTAGAGAAAGAGAGGTAGATCGACAGGCAGGTATACTGTACACAGTGCATAGGCGATGAGCAGACTGTATCCACATGTGTAAACATGAACACAGGTATTGTGAAGTCCTGAATTTGTAAAGTCCTGCAGCTCTTTCTGCATTACTGCATGACAAACCTCAAAACTGCTGCACGGCTGTCACCAAGAGTGCTTGACAAACATGTTTTTTGTCTTGATTTGTCTGTTTCGAGGCTTTTCTGGCTTTATGTTGAATAGACCACTGTGAAAAACACAAGACTGTGTTCAGAAGCCTCATTCACTGGCTTTGGTAGGACTCTCAGAGCCTTCTAGGCATCTAGAGAAGGCCTAATGATTTCTGGGAACTAAAAAAATCTGCAATTTTCAGTTCTTTTTTATTCAATAGAATCATCAAGCTTGTTGTATTTAAACTCTGCAAGTATTGTAGTTATGCTCTCATTTCATTAAGTTCTAGTTGGAAACAAAAGGGTTCAGTTCTTGCAGCACCCAAGGAAAAACTGTCCAATCAGGATTGTTTTCTTTGTGGTGTCTAAGGAGATCTCCTGTTGGCTAGGACTTCAGGACCTGGACTGACTACCATCATAAATAGGAAGTGACAGAGAAATCAACCAATCACGTGTTGTTTTTCTGTGGGTGGGACCCCTTTCATGAGAAAAAAACGTCCTAGAGCGTAGAACAGCCAAAGATTTTAGTCTGTACCAGTGTTAGCTTAGTGCTAACATACTATTAGAACTCCCATAGGAGTGCTAGAAATTAGCATTATCATAGTGGTGTTCTTCATAGAGGTGTCATTTTCTGTCATTTGTGGGACTTTAACACTTTAAAATCATACATATCATTTTTTAGTATAAAATGAGTGAAAAAAAGTGAACAGGAATTAAACCTCAGCTGTAGATTGTGTTTCTTTTAGCTGTAGTTTTTCTCAGATGCATTGAATTTACTTGAATCAAATGTCTGCATCATTTCCATTTGAAAAAAATACAATATGTTAACACAATTATTGCCTTTATTGCGTACTTACCTTTGGCAGTAGCTCTAGAAAGAGAGATTGTGTCCTTATATTCCATGGCCCTCTTGTGAGTCACGGAAAGCTGACACACTTTTAAAAAAGCTTTCATTTTTAGAAGTTAAACGGATTGAGTTACGCTCCCGTCTGAAGGAAATTCAACCTTTCAATCGGTCACTTTTTTCCACAAACAGCAAGAGAGGCAGGAAGAGCGAGAGAGGGCGAGCAGGACAAAGGAACGTTTGTGTTTGTAAGGTTTTCCATTGCCGTTCATTTCCTGTCTGCATTGCTTTTTCAGTGTGGCTGAAATGAACTTTATATTGAGTTGTGCATGTTTATACACTCATGCATATAGATGTATAAAGCTGTTACTGTCTTATTACATAAGTGGTATTTTGACAGGTGTTTGAGCTCCATCTGTTTGGCAGTTGCTATGACTCTGCGTACATAAAGGGTGACTTATCGAAATCTGGCAACCTGACATTAGTTAGTTAAGGCCTGGGCTGGATCCCTAGATAAGTTTCCAGTTGAGCAGTGCTGTGTGAAACTGAACTGGAGCTCGCTGTAGTTTTTAAGCATTTGAATATGTATTATATGTACTAATAATGTATTATTCGTTATGGGAAATACCCACATGTAGTGTCTAATCAATTAAAGTAAACATGTCTGTTATGTTGAGTGCTGTGCATGTTTTTTTTCATAATTGCCAAACTTTTAGAAAGCTTTTGAAGGACGCAAATTAGTGCATGTACACTGAGGGAAAAAATGAAATGAGAAGTGAATGAGAAATTAGCTCATTGGAGTTTTTGATGGGCTGTTCAGCCATGTCTGTGTTTACATGCAAAGATTTTTGCCAATCAGATTGAATTCATTCCGATTATAAATTAAGACTGAGGTGTTTATGCTCATTCTACTCAATAATCTGATGGAAAATCTCAGTTTACATGCACACCACAAGTAATCTGATCCAAAATTACGTGTATGCAAAGAGGTACCACTGAGTGTAGACGTTACCATGACAACCAGCATCACGTGAGTCCAGTCAGAGTGAGATGAGCAGCAGTGAGCAGTGCTTGTGTTTTTAACTGCTTTAAAGTGATGTCAGACTCAGGAAAACGTCCTTCACATGTCCTTATTAAAGAAGGCGAAGAGGAAGACGTCATGTTCTGGGACACATAAGCTGGACGTCCGTCCCACCGCCGTCTTTTAAAGATCAGAGCATAAACTACGTCTCCTCTGCAGACCAGTTTCTGCTCCGCCATGTTGAACGGTATAAACTTTCACTATGACGCGACAAACATGATCAGAACGGACTTAAACTTTCCGATAGGGAATGTAATCAGATACAGGAGTTTACACGGGAATTATTCTTCTATTTAATGGATTGTTTACAGGATCACCCAGGTTTACTCATTCAATCGGATAGAAATTGTACTCCAAATGGCCTCAACTGGACTAGTTTATTCTGTTTAAGGTGTTTACTTGGACGTATTCTGTTCCGATTGAGCTATTAGTCAGATTATTACCAGATTATCAAGCTTCATGTGAATGTGGCTACTGAAACTGGACATCTGAGATGTGTACTTTTGTAACTGGGATTACTTGGACCTTGAAAATCTGAGTATGCAACCAACTTCTAAGACTGAACTTGAACAGAAGCTGTAATAATGGTAAAAGGTGGACACACTACTGAAAGCGTGATATATATGTAGTAGAGGCTTGTGTGTAATTTTCTATTAAATGTATGTTTTCTGCCTTTTGTCTTGAGTGAATGAATGAGAGTGTGATCTGACTTTTTCACAGTACTGTACATTAGCTTTGTAGCTCCAGTGTAAAACCAAAGAGGCAAACTTCAGACACCAGGCATGCCTTGGCTGATAGAACACATTTGGGTTGAGGGGGAAACTGGGTATAATAAGATTTTTGTCAAACTGTGGGTTTAAGCTTGTGTAGGTAATTATGTGTAAACTTTTCCCCAAGCTCACTAACTTTGAGCTTTTCAGTGTGTTTTAGTGCGTGTGGTGTGCGGCACTCTGTATCCGGGAGGCTGGTGTAATTGACATCATCATTTACGTAATAACTGTTTGAACAGGGTTAATGGTTACTTGTAGAGAGACACGCCTCACATACATACTTTCTCTGGGGTGCAGCTGTAACACACCCCAGCTCAACAGCTGATCAGTGTGAGAGGGTTTGAGTGTGTGTGTGTGTGTGTGTGTGTGTGTGTGTGAGTGGCTTTCATACACACAAATATACTCGTATTAAAAATATTATTCCAATCTAAATAAATGAAATCCTCTGTTCCTTCAGGTGAGCATGTGTAGCTAACCTTTGTTTTGTCTTCTGAAGCAGCTGTAACATCAGTGACTAATGATGAACAAACAAGAGTTAAAATTGACACAGCTTAGATCTCTATAAATGGCACCACAGATAAAGCCGTTCACACGTACACTATATGGCCAAAAATATGTGGACATCCCTCCTAATTATTGAGTTCAAGTGTGTCAGCCACACCTTGAAACACCTTAACATCAAACATGGAACCATCATAGGATGCCAGGAGAAATTTCTGCCTTGCTAGATCTGCCCCAGTCAACTGTAAGTGCTATTACTGTGAAATGGAAGTGTCTAGGAGCAACAACAGCTCAGCCGTGAAGCTGTAGACCAGAGTGGGGCTGTCCAGTGCTGATGTAACGATCACCTGTTCTCTGAAGCATCACTCACTACAGAGCTACAAACGGCATCTGGAAGCAACAACAGCACAACAACGGTGTGGGGAGCTTCATGAAACGTATTTCCAGGCCGAGCAGCTGGACCTAAGCCTAAGATCACCATGGGCGATGCTAAGCGTCAGCTGGAATGGTGTAAGACGTGTCGTGAACTGGACCATGCTGGGTGACAAGCTAAACCAGCACCAGACCAACACAAGACCAGCAAAAACCAGCTTAGACCAGCACGGGGAATCTCTAATGATCTTGCTTGTGGTTTCTGACACTGTATGACTCACTGTTATCTATAAACATAGACAGAAGGATTGAATTCACTGCAGTAATGGTTATTTGCTCTTGTAGTGAATGATTAATAATAAATGTAACCTTTTTCACAGTAGGCATGAAAGGCAAGGTGTGTGATGATTTAGGATGCAGTGTGAATGATGCTAATTGACGCTAATTATAAGCTTCCATTACTTGTTAGCAACATTAGCCTTGTAGCTCCAGCGCAAAAAACTAAAGAAGCAAACTTAAGACACCAAATATGTCTTGGCTGATTTTGTTGTAAAGGGGAAAACTGCCCAGATAGCAAGCATGTATCGGTCCACTGGCTTGATGAGGTCAGCACCCTGCTGACTGTAAGCCACAACAAAAAAATGGAAATTAAAAGAAAAATAATAATTTGCCATGGAAGATATTACCATGTAGGTGAACCTCTGAGGCTTCCTCTACATATGAAGCTTTCATTGTAGTTTATTTGATGGTTGTTTTTGGAGCATCATCATTATACAGTCTTTTATTTTGGGAAATGAACTAAATAATACGAATTTTAAATAAATACTAAAAGAGAGAAAAAATAGCTAGGCCTAATATAAATGATGCAGTTGAAAATGTTGCTGAAGCTGCGCTACATTAAAATGATTCACTAACTAATTTACAAAGAATAATGAAAGAAAGAAATGAAGGAAAAATCAGTTAATTGGACTGTAAGGGCAAAATTAGCATTGTAAAGTGGAATTTTGTCTAATACTCTGTTTAACCACCAGTGGGCCGGCCTGAAAACGCTGAGCAAAAGACCAGTTGGCCACCAGCTTTACGTTCAGTGGGCCAACAGTGGCTCACTGTCCTATTATAGCTTTAAACTACCATGTCAGATAGATAGATAGATAGATAGATAGATAGATAGATAGATCCATCAGACAGAATGGATAGATAGATAGATAGATAGATAGATAGATAGATAGATAGATAGATAGATAGATAGATAGATAGATAGATAGTCAGTCCATCAGACAGGATAGATAGATAGATAGATAGATAGATAGATAGATAGATAGATAGATAGATAGATAGATAGATAGATAGATAGTCCATCAGACAGGATAGATAGATAGATAGATAGATAGATAGATAGATAGATAGATAGATAGATAGATAGATAGATAGATAGATAGATAGATAGATAGATCCATCAGACAGAATGGATAGATAGATAGATCCATCAGACAGAATGGATAGATAGATAGATAGATAGATAGATAGATAGATAGATAGATAGATAGATAGATAGATAGATATGCAATATGCAATAAGCTTGGTACATGTGCATGTATGTCTCAGTGTGTTGACGAGTGATGAGGATCACAGCAGCCGGGGGGTTTTAGAGCTATGCGAGATGTTTCTGCACTAGTGACTTGTCTCTCTTTTGAATGCACACACACACACACACACACACACACACACACACACACACACACACATACATACACAGCCGTGCAAACAGTAACACAGTTGTGACCACTGTGTGTTTGTGTGTCTCCTGGAGGCCTTTTAATTAAAAGAGGATCAGCGTCGTGTCCTGGTCAGCACTTCATCTCCAGGATGTGAATTCCAGCCTAATACGAATTACATTACAGACACCGTAGAGCAGTGTGTCTCAGCTCTGGTCCTGGAGGCCCACTGCCCTGCGCCTTTTACTGTTTTCCTGCTCCGAACACACCTGATCCAACTAATCAGCCCATTATTGAGATAAAGTGGGTGTGTTAAAGGAGGAAAGCTCTAAAAAGTGCAGGACGGTGGGCCTCCGGGACCAGGGCTCAGAAACACTGCTGTAGAGCAGCCCAAAGTGTGGCCTGTGAGGACATTTGGTTTGACCCATCCTAATAGTGTAATGTTGTTAAATCCATTTTTAAAGCTGTATATGAAAACTGCTTTTGCCTGCCTTCTCAATTTGTATATTGTGTTGTCTTTTTGACCCTCAGCCCATTACAAACAACACACTTTGACCCCCTAAGACAAAAAGTTTTGGCACCCCTCCTATAGAAACGAATGAATAGTAACTCAAGGCTGTGTGCAGAGTTCGAATTGAGGGGGGCTGAGAAGGTCCTGTACTTCCCATAGAGAGACAAAACTGAACTGCCTAATAATGCTTATAGAAATCCTGCACAGGTGAACCTCACAAAAATATTTATCAAAAAATTATTTATCAATATTTGAGCCGTCTCATAGTCAGTAGACCCCTTAAAACCTTCCAGGGGAATCCCCACAATTCAAATCCTGGTTTGTGTGTTTGTTTTTGCACATTTTCAGAAGAGAAATTGAAAAAAAAACCTACATATAATTATTTGATTAGAATGTTTTTGATACAAAGATATGAAGATTCCTTTTGTCAGGGTAACTTCACTTCTAGTAATTTCACTTTTTTTTCCCATCATCTTGATATTTGACCACTACATTCTCTTCTTTCTGAGTGTGGTCGTAGTCTGCTCGAGTGATGGTTCTTCTTTCATATGTTCATGTATTTAACAGCAGAGCTTTAGCGCCCTCTAGTGGTTGTGATGAAGGTGCTGGTGAATCCACTGCTGTTTTTTCAGCTCATTCCTCTTCAGACTCAGCAAGTGATGCTTCAGTAAATGAGCCGCTGACAGACTGTAACACTGTAAAGTGTGCAGGATTCAACTGCTCACTATGTAATTCCAGTAAAGTTGATTGAAATCTTTACTCAGAAGTTCTTTTTCTTAGATTTTTTCTCAGATCTCGGATTTCTCATATATAAATATGTTACATATATCATATAGTGGATTTTTACATATAAATACTACTGTACATAGTTATATCTTAGATTTGCTATTAAAATGACATCTGTAGTGCATATTTGATTCATTTGTGCATTAAAAACCTGGCAAAAACAAAACGTTTTGAATATATATGGGAGATACAGAGTTATTATCTGCTCCCCACCAACTGAATGGAGGGCACATCAAAATCCCGGCAGGGAAAAAGGCAGCAGGAGTGAGTTTACACTGTGGTGATTTACTGTGAAGAGTTATAGGTGAATCAGAAAACAAAAGAGTCAATTAAAAAAGTAGAAAAAAAAGACAAAATATAAGAGCTCAAGAAAATTCTGTGACTAAAGTTAATAAAAATATATCAATTAAAAAACAACAAACCTACACTGGCTAAACAGAAACCTGGGAGCAAGAGGAGCAGAGATGGAAGCCTCCCTTCTACAGGCATTTCCTCTCCTCTTATACAGTCATTAAATCAACAGGCCTATCCATGGTGACCGCACTGGAGACAGTATCAGAGCCGGTTTATGAGGAGTCTGGCCTCTTCCCATTGCTCTCCCTTATATCAAAGACAGGACTGCAAACCAGCAGAGGGCACCCATGAGCAAGTCCTCTATGAATGGGAGAAAATGGAGCTCAACAGCTAAAAACAAAGTTAAAATAGTTTCTAATCACTGAACCAGAACTTTCCTTTAATTTCAGAAAGTAGAAGGATGGATTTCACTAAAAAGCAAAGAAAACTCACCTGTATGTTTCCTTTTTTTCTACAGTAAACGGGTTTTGGGCAGAAGGACACATTACTGCTACTGAGTGCTGATTAGTTGGTGACCACAGGTGAGGGTCAGGATGTAGACCGACTGGTAAACAGACCGCATTGCTACTGCTGCCTGTCCTAGCGTGCGGCCGATCTCACCATCCCTCTTCCCATCACTCGTGAACAAAACCCCAAGATACTTACAGTCCTCCACCTGGGGCAGGTCCTTTCCCCTAACCTGGAGTGGGCAGGCCATCCTTTTGGGCTAGGACGGATGTTAAATTCTGTACGTTGTTATTGTATATGAAATAACTGAAATAATTACTATGACAACTGAACCCAAAATTAGGAAAAGTATATGCATATGACAATAATTTTATTTATTAATAGTAACAAATTAATGACAGTTAAACCCAAACTTAGGAAATGTTATATATATATATATATATATATATATATATATATATATATATATATATGTATATAAAACATTTCCTAAGCCAAATTAAAAAAGCACATATGTATATATATATATATACATATATATATGAATGGATCGGACACAGCAGTGCTGCTGGAGTTTTTAAACACTGTGTCCACTCACTGTCCACTCTATTAGACGCTCCTATCTTGTCAGTCCACCTTGACTGCTGCTGCACAGTTTGTGTTGATCATCCTCTAGTCCTTCATCAGTGGTCACAGGACGCTGCCCACAGGACGCTGTTGGCTGGATATTTTTGGTTGGTGGACTATTCTCAGTCCAGCAGTGACACTGAGGTGTTTAAAAACTCCAGCAGCACTGCTGTGTCTGATCCACTCAGACCAGCGCAACACACACTAACACACCACCACCACGTCAGTGTTACTGCAGCGCTGAGAATGATCCACCACCCAAATAGTACCTGCTCTGTGAGGGTCCGTGGGGGTCCTGACCACTGAAAAACAGGGTAAAACGGGGCTAACAAGGTATGCAGAGAAACAGATGGACTACAGTCTGTAACTGCAGAACTACAAAGTGCACCTATATAGTAAGTGGAGCTGATAAAATGGACAATGAGCGTAGAAACAAGGAGGTGGTCATAATGTTATGCCTGATCAGCGTATATATATATATATATATATATATATATATATATATATATATATATATTTGCTTTTTTTATTTGGTTTAATACTCTATTTGGTAACCATAGCTCTTCTGTTTTCAGACTAAGCTCTGAGGAGCTGAGTAATGCTGAAGATTCATCTCTGGCTCTTTGAAGTAAAATCACTGTGTAACCATGGTGACCTGTTGATTTCAACACCACTGCCCGCCGCCTGTGACTCAACACTTTTGGAAGTGACTCATGAGCAGCTACCTGAGCCTCCATCCAGCCTGAGAAGGTTCAAGCTCGGTCTGGTTCCAGCTCCTCAGCTTTAATCTTCACTTTCTTCAGTTCTGTTCAGTGTAGTGTTTTAAAGGGTCTGCCCTGACTCGGGGCACGTTGTTTCGCGTCCCCTGTTTTATTACTGTTCTTCCTACTTACCTGTCAGGTTCCTGCTGGCTTTTTTGCGCCCCGAGGCTCCGAGGTGAGCAGGGTGTGGTGCGTGCGATGACGCAAGAGCAAGGGAATTCTGCTAGGGCTATAAAACACCTCCAGAGCTGACCGCACTCACAACATTCAGAATTAGCCATGGACAACAACGTGCAGGACAGCTCTGTTCTTAAAGATGGATTTTTGGTGAAGAGGGTAAGACACATTTTTGAGTTCTGTTTTTTTGAGTTGTGGGTTTTGTTAAACTGTCTTAGCCCCTTAAAGTTTAGTCTTATTACATCTTGAGGCTTATTATTCAGTAACTACACTGACTACAGAGCATATAAGAGAGCATCTGATAGAAGCTCTGACTCTCCTGAACATTTTAAAGAACTCTTTATTACTCAGTTATTAATCATATTAATTATAAAGGGCCCATATCTTGCATTTTTCCTGTATTTTATTTCCCACCCCTGAGATCAGCTTATAACATTTGTATGATTTTATTTACCAAAAACATGTGTTATTCATCATTTTTACAAGAGCCTTTTACAACCTCTCTAGAATTAAACAGGCAGTTTTTGTTATTGTGCCTTTAAGACTGATATATGTAAAAAAGCTCTGTTGTGGTTGGCTGTCTTGTATTCTGGCTCATTGAAAAAGTGGTCTAGGCTGAAAGGATAATACTTATAATGTCTGTGTGTGGGCGGGGCTAAACTTAATTAGGTTGAATAGGTGTATATTGCTGTTGTCAGGGGAAAACCTCGTATCTCCAAAATGGTAACTTTACAGGAGAAGGAAAAAACATACTTTACTTCTATTGTAAGTCAATGGAACCAGACATTTTTCCAAGTATTTTTGGGCCGTTTCCTTTGGTCCATTCTTCATCAAATTTACAGACAATGTAAAGAGCAACAGGCATTTTTGAATTATGTCAAAAACTGTAAACATCAAAAAAGCAGATATGAGGTTTTCTTCTGACAGCAGTGATATTTATAAATGAGTTTGTGAAGTAAATCCAAAACTAGCTTACTTTTCACATGTGGCCTGTAAGGACTGAATGGTATGTTTCAAAACAGCGTTTTTTTTGCTTTTATGGGTCAAAACAGTCATAATTCATCTCTTTATCCCTCAGAATCAAACAGGCTGTTTTTGTTAGTGTGCCTTCAAGGCTGATATGTGTAAATAAGATCTGCTGTGATTGGCTGCTCTGTATTCTGTCTTCTTCATAAAGCAGTCTGGGCTGCTGTGAACACTCCTTATAACTTCAGTGTGAGTGGAGTAGCCTGTGTCAGCAGTAGGTGAACCTCCTCAGGCTACTGTAAGTAATGTAGGCCTCGTTATATTGTCATTTTCTAACATCTTGTCTTCGCTCCCCTCCTCAGGGTCACGTGGTTCTCAACTGGAAGGTCCGGTGGTTCGTCCTGAAAGCGGATAAGCTGCTGTATTACAAATATGAAGGGGGCAAGAGGGACTCCCGCCACAAAGGGACCATCCCTTTAACCGGCTGTGAGATTACCTGCCCTTACCTGGAATTCGAAAACAGACCGGTAAGATAACACTCTGTCGGTCACTCAGAGGGCACGACATAATAGTTAAAGCTAGAGTTCAACCAAAATGGCCATTAAGTACAAGTTATTCACTTTTAGGAGGTATTTCTGAGGAGATTAGATATAAAATAATCCACTTGCATAAAGAAAAAACAGGACTTTCTGAAGCTGGAGTTCAGAAGGTGATTAAAAGCTAAACAAGATAATTTGACTCCTAACAGCCACCTGGAAGACCTGGTAGACACCAAAACTGCCCCCATCAGATAAACAGCACTTAAAGCTTTCATCTCTGAGAGAGAGGAGAAAATCAAGCTGCTTCAGATCTGAAAACATCCACAGGTGTTTCTGTCCATCCTTCCACTGTGAGAAGACGACTCAGCGCTGTGAAAGGATGTGTAGCTGATCAAGAAGAACCTCACTGAGAAAAGGAGACGGACACATCAAACAAAGAAGCTGAACGATGGACTGACCACCCCAGAGTCCAGACCTCAACACCACTGAATGTGTTTGACTACTTCAGAAAATGATCAACCAGCTTCTAAGACTGAACTTTGGAGGTGTGTCTGCAGATTCTTTGAGGAACTGAAAGTGAGTCTCCTGGAAAGAATGGAAGCTGTAATGAAGGTGAAGAGTGAAAACAGTAAATGCTGATGTCATATTATATTTAGTTGTTGAGACTCGTGAGAAGCAGAAAGTCTGTTCACTTCACGCTATGATCATCTGTTCACCTGGTGCCACAGTCAGTGGGTTCATCGGACATTCAGAAGTTCTTTATTATTATAATATCACAGCTCCACCTCCTAATGACCAGCCGTAGAGCTTTAGTCTGACCTGATATGACCTGAGCGGTGCTGCTGGGTGTGTCGCTCTGATTGTGTTCTAACTCACAGCTGCAGGTCTCTGGAGCTCCTTGCATATTTGAAGTCTAGTGCAGGACTCTCATGTTCTGGCTTGTTAGATTTATTACAGATAGAGTCACTGGATTCTTTGGGATCTGAACCTGCTGCAGCGTGTTTTTGGACCATTACACAACATAAGCTTTATATCATAGTAATAATCATAATAAAACTTTGCGTCTGGACATGCAGAAGCTGTGTGTTTGGTGCAAAATGAGCCGTATCTCCTCCGTACAGCGGTTCATAGTTAAATAGGGGTGTTAAATAGTGAGTGTTGTCCTGATATGAGGGCAAGCACTGATGAGTGCAGGTCTAATCTGGAGAAAAGAGAGAGAGCGAGAGAGAGAGAGAGAGAGAGAGAGAGAGAGAAAGAGAAAGAGGGAAAGAGATACACAGAAAAAGAAAAGAGATATAGAGTGAGAGATGGAAAGAAAGAGTGAAATGGGGTAAAGGGATAGAGACAGAAAAGAAAGAAAGAAAGAAAGAAAGAAAGAAAATAGAAAGACAGATACAAAGAGAGAAAAGAGAGAAAGAGAAAGAGAGAGAGAGAGGGAGAGAGAGAGTGAGACAGAGGGAGAGAATGAAAGAGAAAGTAAGAAAGACACGGAAGGAAAGATATAGAGAAATAAGATATAGAGAGGTAAGGGGGAGAGAAAGAGAGAGATAGCGGGTGAGAAAGAGAGAGAGAGAGAGAGAGCAGGTGTGTGTATGTGTGTGAGAGAGAGAGAGAGAGAGAGAGAGAGAGAGATAGCATGAGAGAGAGAGAGAGAGAGAGAGAGAGAGAGAGCATTGCTGAGGTTGTTGTCATAGTAACCACTTTGTTTCCCTCCCACAGTTGGTGCTGAGGCTGAAGACCAGGTCCTCGGAGGAGTTTTTCCTGGAGGCGTGTTCGAGGGAGGAGCGAGACGAGTGGGCTACAGAGATCAGAGCTGCAGTACAGAAACTCCACCCAGGGGGCACCAACACCCCACCTGCACCCACACGCAAAGGCTCCAAATCACTGCAGCTTCACAACATCAACCTCAGGTGAGGAACCGTCAGGATGGAGATCCTCTTCACAGTCCAGCAGAACCTGCAGTACCACTGAAAATGCTGTCAATCATATAAAACAGATATGAGTCTAAAATGTTGACTGTACTTCACAACTTCACAGCTCTTAAACAACACGTCAAGAAGAAAGTGAAGAAATCCTGAATGAGGTTCTAATAAATTAATTATCCAGAATGAATTTATAACAGAAATAATACAAATTAAGGTCTAATAAAATTGACATCCTGAATGAATACAGAATGATTTTATTGAATGAGTCCAGAATTGTTAATAAAAGTAATATCCAGAATTAAGTTTTGATTAAATTATTATTAGAATTGAGTAATAATAAAACTAATATCCAAAATAAATTTATAGTAAAATTAATATCCAGAAGGAATTTAAAATACAATTAATATTCAGAATAAGTTTATAATAACATCCAGAATGAATTTAATATCCAAAATGAAGCTCTAATTAAATTCATATCCAGAATAAAGTTCTAATAAAACTCAATGTCCAATCAAATCTCAAGGCTGATAACCTGACAAGAAATTACTATAAATTGATATAAATATGTTTCATGATATGAATTAGTGATTCATATCCAAAAATCTTGAAATATTGAAAAAAATCTTTTGGTGTCTAATTAATAATATATTTTAATCTGCACTGTTATTATTGATTAAAATAATTATTAAAACAGCAAGTGATTCAAGGATGTTCACACTGTTGGTGTAACAAACAATTGAGTCTACACTCCCCAGCCACATTATTGGAAACGCCTCTCTTGTAGCTCCACCTTGCTGGTGTGCAGTTAGAGACAGTAGCTCATCTGTTGATGCACAGCTTGTGTTAGACCTTCATCAGTGGTCCATTTCTGACCACAGAGTTGCTTTGTGTGGATGGTATTGGGTGGAGGGTCACTCTCACTGACCCACACTATGTCCTAAAGTGAGTGTCTCTGTGTATCAGTCAGGTGGTGGACTCCATGTACGACGTACACAGTGGCATCAAGATGAGCAGCCACGTGGAGCAGGGCAGCACCTACATCAACTGCTTCTCAGGTCAGTGTCTGTAAGCACGGTCAGCCGGGAATGTTAAAGGGTCGATTTCATTGAAAACCAATTTTTCCTCAATTTTGGAAGCTAAGCTGCAAAACCTGACGTCATAACCATGTTTCCATATTATTGCCCATTCAGCAGCAGTAGAGTAGTTTAGCCCCACCCACACCTGATGAAGTGATACAGAGTGTTGAGATAGTCTGTGAGTTATTGGAGTGGAAGATGTGGGAAAACGATTAAACGCTGTGCTGTTCCTGGCTGCCAGGAAGCAAATGGATCCCTGCAGTTTTCCAAAGGATCCACACATCTGAAAGAACCGGATAAAGAAGCTAGACAATTTGTTCCGTAAATTTCAGCCCGTGAGGCTCAATCAGGCAGCCAATCAGAACAGAAGTCGATGATATATATCAGTCTTAAAGGCGCAGTAATGTTTAACCCTTTTGTTGCCACATGAAGGCTAAAACAGAGAGCTAATAGCAGGTTTTACAGTGATCCGGCTGTGTGTTTGTGCTGTATTTCTGGGTTGTGGGATGTTAGAGCTGGTTTCTCTCACTCTGGCTAGTGATGGCAGGTTCCTCTGAGTGATCTGGTAGATAGATAGATAGATAGATAGATAGATAGATAGATCGATAGATAGATAGCAAAATTCTGGACAAAGAATGTATCTGCAGTGGACACAAACCAATAGGGATAAAGAGAGGCTGGAAAATAGGGAAAGTTTGGGACATAAAACCACACAAAGGTTGTAAGTGGAGGAAATAAATAGCACTAAATGTGTGACATGGGCCCTTTAGTAATGAAGGTTGTGACTGATGTGAGTGCAGGCTCAGCGGTGGTGGACTGGCTGGTGTTTATGCAGTTGGCTCTGACGCGGGTGGAGGCTGTGACGCTGGCGTCGGCGCTGCTGGACGAAGGCAGTGTGAGGGCTGTGGGCATCAAGAGTGTGGAGGCCATCCGTAACGCTGCTCTGGGGGAACAGTTCCTGGACGATTCCACCGCTCTCTACAGCTTTGTATGTCCACTTCACTTCTCTTCTCTTCTCTTCTCTTCTCACTTCTCTTTTTCTCTTCTCTTCTTTTTTCTCCTCTCTTTTCTTCTATTCTCTTCTCTCATTAAAAATGTGCTGAACTGACAGCAGCTCTGTTTTCTGACTGTGTGTGTGTGTGTGTGTGTGTGTGCGTGTCTCAGGCTGACAGCTTTAAGAAGCGAGGGAGTGTAAAGGCGGAGAAGTCTGTGTCTGCAGTGGAGCTGAGTGGAAGAGTGAAGAAGAGAGGATACCTGCTCAAACAGGTGAGGACACATGCTTATAATAGAACAACAGTCATAAAACTACTCAATGTAAGTTCTGTAGGTAAGAGAGTGAGGAATGTGGGCCCTCAGGCTTTCAAAGGGGTTCATGCTTTTTTAATGATTAATGATTAATCATAAATGAGTGATGATATAGATAAATAAAGGATTAAGCATTAATGACCCCCCATGTTATATTTTTGGTAATATAGTGTTGTCACCGAGTTGTCCAGATCATAGGTCTTATTTATCTTTCAGACCAGAAATAAGTTAAGGTGTTTCCAAATTTGCTGGCTGTACTTAACATGAATAAAACAAGCCAAAACAAAATGTTAAATCTGATCACCCCTACATGTGTGGTGTTTGTGTGTTTGTGTGTGTGTGTGTGGTGTTTGTGTGTTTGTGTGTGTGTGTGTGTGGTGTTTGTGTGTTTGTGTGTGTGTGTGTGTGTGTGTGTCTCTCAGGGACACAAGGTTAAGAACTGGAAGGTGCGGCTGTTCGTGCTGAGGGCGGAACCTGGCTTCTTGCACTACTACGACCCCAGCAAGGTGAGAGATTATATCACTCTGCAAACATCATCGCACACTAGGATCTATAAACTGATCAATCAAATAGTTGTGGATATTGATAATGCATGTAATATTACCAGTATGTTTCCTCAATCTGAAATAGCTCAGCCAGTTTGCACTGAAGTCCCTGTAGTTACTGAATAACAAGCCTTAGTATGTAATAAGCCTGAGATTTTAAGGGGTTAAATGGTTCATTGCATGGTGAGATGGTTCTAAATACAGTCCTATATAGCACCAAAAAGGGTTACGATGTCAAGCTTGTAATAATAGAAGAACCCTTTTTGGTGCTATATAGAACCATATTCAAAAAGGTTCTATATACTATTCCATATTTTCCAAAATGCTATTTCAACTTATAACAACTTATAACGATAATCATCAATATCGAATGATATGGACATATTTATATCATGATTTTGGCCTGTATCGCCCAGCCGTACAGCACACTTGAACACAAATCCAACACAAATAAACACTTGATTAGATTTAAGGAGTGGATCTCATAGACTGATTTTGCCTGTGCTATACTTCAAGCATTTTTTTACGATGCTGCAATGTGTACTGACTTGTCTGCTTCCTGTGATGACATCACTCCTCAGGATGACATCAATCCAGCAGGCGGCTTCTCTTTACGCGGCTGTTTGGTTTCCTCCCTGGACGACAACGGCATTCCCTCAGGTGTGTATTATTAGTTGTTAGTGTGAACCACATCCCCCAGGATGATGAAAGCATGAAAGCATGGAAACGTGTTTATGTTCTTCGAGAGAGAAAAGCTCTTTTCTCCAAAAGGTGGAGCACAACATAGACCACACACACCACAGACACACTAGTGTGGGTAAGGGTGTGTATAAATGTGTGTGTGTGTGTGTGTGTGTGTGTGTGTGTGTGTGTGTGTGTGATACAACATCATTCATTCCGCTTATTCTCCTGGGTAGTCCTGCCCATTGTTTTCTATTATAAATGTGCATTGAGTCAGTAGTTCTACTGTGGAATTGTCTGTGGTAGTGTAGCACAGATGTGTTACAAACATATTAAAATGGTTGAAGGATTAAGAATGTTGGAGCATTCCTTCAAACTCTAAGCTAATGGGTTGGTTATTATTTTTGTGATGTCATGAAAAACAACACTTATTACTCATATCCACCTATTCAGCCTACAGCAGTTTAGCCCCGCCCACTCACACTGTGGCCCTTTTTGGTGCTATACAGAACCCTTTTCAAAAAGGGTCTATATAAAACAACCTACAGCACACTAGTTTCATTCCATCTGAAGAACAATTTCACCATGAAAAGAACGCTTTAATCATGCAAAGCGTTCTTTGAGTGGTCATGGTTCTACATAGAACCATTTTCTGAACTAAAGAACCCTTGAAGAACCATCTCTTTTAAGAGTGTGGTTATGACGGTGAGGAAGTGAAGTGTGGGCAGTACAGGTCCTTGCAGTTTATGGGGTTGAGGATAAAAAAGGAAGGAAGAATTTATTGTTGTTTCTGTGGAGCTGTAAAACCTTTAGGACTGTGATAATACGTCTGAACAGTCCTGAGTCAGCGATTTCCACGGTAGCAGGATGAGTGTGCGCTGAGTGTTCACAGGTAAATGATAACGCTACTGTTTCTTGCCTTGTGTAGGTGTGAAAGGCAAAGTCCAGGGGAACCTGTTTAAAATCATCACCCAGACAGACAGACATTACTTCATCCAGGCACCCACACGACAGGAGAAGATGGAGTGGATCGAGGCCATTAAGCAGCTCACGTAAGGCTGCAATTAGGCAAGACATGGAAACACGGGTCTCCTCCCTTTCAAAGGAATCACTTGACCAAACTTGTAAATGTGGCCAACAGTGAGTGAATGAAAGCTAGTTGCCGTTTTCTTTATTTTTTATTTATTATTGGCAACATTAGTTTGAAAACAACGGTGAAGTGAAGGTGGTGGCCGAGGCAAAAGCTTCTTTGATAAATGTACAGTCCCTTAATCACTGTTGACTGAATTATAATCAAATGTTGTTTACTGATTTTTACTGATTCTCACTGTAAGCACTTTCTTGTGTTATCTAAACTCTCTGCTTATGTACTATATTTAAAACATTTCAAGTTTTATGCAAAGCTAAACCGCTAAAAGTGTTTATTAGGTAGCACTTTATTTGATGGCTACCTATATAGGGGTTTTATGACACATGTATAAACATTGTATAACATAGTTAAAAAGCTTCACCTTTGTATTTATATACAGCTTATGTCAGATTTTGCGAGAGGACATGAGATGTTTTATGAAATAATTGACATTGTGTGGACGTAGGGTACCTTATACTAAAGAGGCAGACATTTGTTCTGTTTATGATACTGTCATGAAGCATCATCTTACAGTAGGAATGCCATATATCGTTATACATTATTTATAAATAATTTATAGACAATTACATCAATCATATGTTAGTTATGTAAGAAAATGATCATTTTAGCTTTACAGACATGAGATACACTATATGGCCAAAAGTATGTGGACATCAAAACAGCTCCAGACTATTATCCCTCCTCCACCAAAATTTACTGTTGGCACTACACATTCCAGTAGTTATTTCCCAGTGTCCGCCAAACCCAGTGCTTAAAAGCTAGTAAAGAATGATACATCAATCCAGAGAACACGAGTTCCCTGCTCCAGAGTCCAGTGGCAGCATGCCTTACACTCCTCCAGCCGACGCTTGGCATTGCACATAGTGATCTTAGGCTTGTGTGCAGCTGCTCAGCCATGGAAACCCATTTCATGAAGCTCCTGGTGCTCAGTTCTTGTGCTAATGTTGCTTCCAGAGGCAGTTTGGAACTACAGTGAGCGCTGCAACAGAAGATAAACCATTTTAGGCGCTATGCTCCAGCACTCAGCAGCCCTGCTCTGTGAGTTTGCATGGTCTACTGCTTTGTGGCTGAGCTGTTGTTGCACCTAGACACTTCCATTTCACAATAAGAGCACTTACAGTTGTCTAGGGCAGATCTAGCAGGGTGGAAATTTCACTGATTTGTGGTAAAAGTGAAGAGGAACGCTTAATGTCCACACACTTTTGGCCATATAGTGTATGGTGTTCTTAACTACATATCTGGCACGGGAGCAATCATTCATAACAGTGTTATAAATGGAACAAATGCCAATCAAGGGCCTTTATGTCAGTTCAATATCATTTACTTCATTAAACGACTTACGTCATCTTGTAAATAATGATAAAAATTTTCATAGATAACACAGTCTTGCTTTTAAAGTACATTATTCAGTGTGTATGCACGTATTGTGAAATGCTTTTGTAGCCAGCCTTCAAATAAAATGTTTATTATTTATCTTTTAATGACTTTTGTGTTGCAAATTGCAGCACAATAACATGTATTTACTGTTCAATCATTTCAGTCTTTGTATTTTTGAGCCATGTAAAATAAAGGTTTATTTTAGTATGTAAAATATATCAGCAGTGAGCCTCATTCCTTTTTAGAACATTATAATATAAAAAATATTATTTTACGCAATATTAGAATCCAGTAATAGCTACATATGCATTGTCCCACAAAGCATTACTCTGTAGATGGTGTGTGCTTTGCTGTCTTGTGTGAGATGCGGTTTGCAGAGATGAATAATTTACAAAAATGTTCTTATACTGTTATTCTTTTAATATTGCAAATATACAGAGAAACGATGTTGAATCAAACGTCTAAAGAGATTTTTTTTTGCTTTTCTATCAAGCATTCAGATCCATGGGCTGTGCATTCATTGTACTAGAACCAATGTAAAAAAAATCTAAGTCTAATGCAGCATATATCAGTGCAACTACAGCACCTGTAGATAGCAGAGGTGTGTCTACAACACATACGCACCACCCTGTTAACTTAAATAGTACCATGCAAGCTATTGTTACCGCAGTCTCTCGAAGAGAGAGGCAGGACCTGCCCTCTAAAACCATTCAGATGTTTTTCAGATCACTCAGTCATTCTGATTCTGCTTCCTCCGTCAGAACAGCGCAGCCGCACACACTCGTGAAGGCACTTGCGTTGTTATGCCAAGGCAGCGGCAGGTAGTAGCACACATTCGAGGAGGTTCTCTTTTAGAGTCGCCTCCTTCAAGTTGACATTTGTAAAGATGAAATGGAGAAAAAAATTTCAAAGGGTTATACAAATGAAAGAATATGCAGACTGTCCACTTTATTAGAAACCCCCAGGCCTACCTTATAGCGCCACCATACAGGTGCACAGTTACAGACTGTTCTCTAATTCATCACTGATCAGTTTCTGGGTTGTGGCTGTCCACATATTTTTGGGCGGTGGTCCATTCTCAGCACAGCAGTGACACTGGTATGGTAGTGTGTGCGGTGCTGGTACCAGTGTATCCGACACAGCAGTGTCGGATACACTGGTACCAGTTTTTACACACATTACTTAAAAAATATCCAGCCAAGAGGGGCCCTTTGGTCAAAAACTGACCACTGAGGAAAGACTAAGGGATGGCTAACAGAGGTGCAGGTGGAGCTACAAGTGTTTCTGATAAAGTGGACGGTAAGGATAAAAAATAGTTATAGTATTATTCTAAACAGTATGAAATCTAAACATTATTGTGGTGGGGGGGGGGGCGAGGTTCCTGGTCTCTACAGAACATTCACTGTATCAAAATATGTTTTACTTTTGTATTTAATAATTGCTGGTGTCGAGAAAAAAAAAATGTCCTAAACAGTGAAAAAATTTAGCTCAAAAATATTTGCATTTAAAAACTCAACTTAAAGGAGCATCCCGGCGTAAAATTAGCAGTGAAAATGCTGTTTGTCGTGGTGTGAAGTATTTTGCAGCCGAGCACTGAATCTCTCAGTCTTAGCTTTTGATAGTATTCACATTTTTCATCCATCAGTGTTCTTTCACTACAATACCCAGCATGCATTAGGCAAATACATCACACAAACATTAGGAAATTTTTACTGCAACCCCGGTTTCTACCCAATAAGCTACAGGCTAGTAAACAAAGGTGGGTCCCTGATAGCAAGAGGATGGTGGACCACTGTTGGCCCACTGATGGCAAAGCTGGCGGTCCACTGGCATTTTGTACAGCGTTTTACTAGGCGGCCCACCCGTGGTTAAGCAGAGTGTTAGACAAAATTCCACTTATCATCACTCATTGTCCACTCACAGTCCAATTTTCCTTCCTACCTTTCGTTATTTTGCAAATTAGTTTGGTAAATAATTTTAATCTAGCGCAGTGTCAGCAACATTTTCTATAAATCATTTTATATCAGGCCAAGTAACACATTTGTTTATTTTCTAAAATAAAAGTCTCTGTGCATTTAAAATCTGTTTGGGGAGATTAAAAACTAGTTAGAGCTTGTATGCAGGACAATAATTTGGGTGGTCTGAGAGTGGACCGGCAGTGGCAAACAGTCACAAAGGACCAATACATGCTTGCTGTCTGGGGTAGAGTAGAAGACACCCAGGTTCAAGTAAAAGTATTAATTCTTGGGTAAAATAATGACTCAAGTGAAAGTAAAAGCACCTTCCGAACAAAAACAACTACTAAATAACTTATGGAACTGCAGCAGAACTTCTCAGTTCATCCAGCATCTATCAGCATAGAAACTGTTTATTAGGCCCTATTTTTCTCTTTTTGGGTTTCTTTTGGACTAAATGATATGACCAATCACAAAGCAGTACAGATGTTGTCACCAATAAACACACAATGAAATTAAATACAAAAAAGGAATTAGTAAGTGTGACTCCTTCTTATCTTAAGAATCATTCCGTTGCTCAGGTCGTCCATACTCTCCACTGAAATGGTGATTTGAAGGTATAAGTTTTAAGTTTTAAGACGTTACTGTGTCATTAAAATATTCAGCATTAAAGTTAGCTATCTGTTTCCTTCTGCGTTAGCCCAATGGCATTAGCTAGTGAGCCAACTAGCTAATAAACCTTAAACAGACAAAGTAGTCATTCAAAAATGACTTTCACCTTCAAGTATATGTCATCAGGAGGGGTTTTCCCACTATTAAAACCTATTTTTTGGCCGGAATGTCCCTTTAAGTGAATTTTTTTTTTTTTTACTTTTCTTTGAAGGGGATAGCTACAAAAACCTGCATAGCTGGTCACCAACAAAACCAGCATCTGTTGTGTTTTGGATGCTGGTGTGCTGGTTTGCAGCAAATCAAAATGATTATGCTGATAATCACCAAAACCTGCGTATATTGTGTTTTGGATGCTGGTATGCTGGTCAACCAGCATGACAATGCTGGGTGACCAGCTAAACCAGCACCAGACCAGCATAAACCAGCTTAGACCAGCAAGGAATGTATGCTGGTCTGTGCTGTTTTCCAGCAGGGTTGTGTGGAGGGTACACAGAAACAGAGGAAATTTCATCATTAGATGTGGAACTGTTTGATCACCCGAAGCTCCAGATGGCTGTGGGCGCACAGCTGTATGTATAGGTACTCATGCCAGCCATGTAGTAACATATATATGGAAACATTGTTGATGTAAAAAAAGATGGTAAAACACAAAAGGATGAGTTTGTTAGAGAAATGAGAGCGTCTCTGTGTTGCCATGGCGATGATTGCCCATTAAGCAACCTTGGTGAGTTGCAGGTCCCCGACCACGCGGAGGGAAGTGAGGGAAGCTAGCTGGGTCACTCTGTGAGTGAATCCACACAACGGCTGACCGTCTACCATCACACGGAACTGCTGGTGTTCACATACAATCTCCATCTGAGAGAGAGAGAGAGAGAGACAGAGAGATACTGTGGATATCATCACATTCCACCGTCGTTCCACAATGACACAGACAGTTTTCCTACAGGGGAATTCCACTGATTTTTCAAAAGTTTCTACATAATTAAATGTTTCAGATAATAAAAAAGTCATTCAGAGTGGTTTGGTGTGAAATGCTATGTTCTAGAAAAACTTACTGAGTCTGAATTGTTCACAGCGGTGGTGATAGGAACCAGACGTCGACCTCTAAAAGCTCCCTCACAGAATGTTATTAGGGTTATGAATACACTGCCTGATGTCTGAGACAAAGTGTTATGATAGTTTCAAGAAATCTTCAGCCTGAAAACGTACTTTTAAAAACACATTCATTGGTGGAAAGGTACATGCAGGGTGTTGTAAGGCAAAATAGTACCCGGAGAAAACTAGTTTTTTTAGATTTACCACTATTTTACCATCATCAACATTACACATAAAAGCTCGTGTAGGTTCACTGGTGGTTTTGGACAGTAAATAAAGTGTCTATATTTGTGTTGTACCCATGGTGACCCCTGGTTCCTATCACCACCACTGTAAAGAAATCTGAGTCAGTAAGTTTCTCTACAATTAATAATTTCACATCGAACTAAAGACTTTGTTTACATCTCAATGATTGAATTACGCAGCAATTTTGAAAAATTGGTGAAGTTCACCTTTAACTTCTGAAAACAGGCAGGTTGTGCATAATGTCCCCTTATGGCACCTCTATGACACACAATGATACAGCTCAATAGAACTTATTTCATTACCTTAAAAGACTCCCCAGCAGCGAATGGGAAGAAAGACAAAGCGCTTTCAGGGGTTCCCCACTTTCCAGCCATTCGGGAGTTGCGGCGCACGGCCTTTTCTGCAAAGTTCACCGTTAGCTGCAGCCCCACGTCCCCTTCCTCTTCCTCCTCACCCTTCCCGTGAGACGGGCAGGACAATGAGACCACCATGCTGCAGGAACAGACAGAAATGCCATTGTCACTATACATGGGAAAATACCCCTGAAAATATCCAGATGTTTATCTAGAGGCCAAATAAGGACGTGGAAGATTCACAGCAATTCACAAACATGCAGCACTGCCCTCTGTTGGTGGTTGCAATAATGAATACAGTTAAAGAAGCCCATATCCTACGTGTTTAGTGTATTATGAAGTTTATGGGGTTTTATGTACCAAAAGCAGTCATAATTAATGTTTACATAAGCATTTTAGAATCAAACAAGCTGTTTTTATTACTGTGCCTTTAAGACAGATATACTGTAGCGATGTGCTACTGGCTACTGCTGGCCTGTTTGTGAGGCATGGCCATGCTGATCATGGTAGGTGCCCGCCCTCCTGAAAAGGGCTTACTGTTGTTGTTAATGTTGTTGTTTATTGGTCTAAGATGTGTATGTGTTTATTGTGTTAATCTGTGTCAGGGGATGTGGGTTGTTTGGGTGTGTTTTGAGTGTGAGGGGGGGTCACTGGTAGCATGAAGCCTGTGGTTAGTGGTGACCTTCTCCGTGAGTTCAGTACACTGTATTAGCCTTCCTTTTAATAAAGTGCACTTCTCGTGGTAGAACCAGACTCTCCTCTGTGTCTTACTCTAAGCCCCATGTGTCAAACACAAGGCCTGCGGGCCGAGTCAGGCCCGTGGCACAATCCTATTCAGCCTATTAATATTAGCCCATTTCACCAGGAGCTGCACTACAGTTCCCAGCATGCACTGCAATGTAATGTGTGCTCCCACCCCTAACAATGATCTATTGGACAGCACCAAGAAGAAGAAGAAAAAAAAGATGCCAGGTGTCCAGTTTAAGTGAATGGGCAGTTTTAAAAAGCCCACTGTACACTGGGGACATTTAAAGAGGTTTAAGTTGTCTGCAGCTAATGTAGTCTATTGTTTTATATGAAACAATTTGCTTTTATTTAAAATTATTTTTGAATGATTCAAATATTCAGTGCCTATTTTTGCCGTTGTAGTTTGCCATATTTAATTAACAATGGCCAGCTGGGGTCATGGTAAAACATTTTTTAATGATTTTTTAATATGGCCGTTTTAGTGGTTGGGTTTGACCCTCCTGCTCTATGCAGACGCAACAATGCAATCAAAAGTTTGGGTGCCCCTGGTCAAATTAGATGTTTTGTTGATTTTCGAGGTGAAATTAACAGATACTTTACAGATAATACACTTCTGTAAACTGTATTTACGTTTATTTGCTAAACTTAACATATTGTTGGGAAAAAGCATATAATATGGTCTGTTTATTCTTTATATTGTAGCATTCACCGCTATTAAACTTTTCAACTCCTTGGGACCACCGGTGGTTCCAAAACGCCTTCGTCATATTCTTCATAACTTTCATATTTCATAAGCTACATTCTAAAGGTGGGGGTCGTATGAGAGCTGTAACTGTCTTCTTTCCAGTCAAATAGATGGGTGATGTAATTTTAAACTCTCATAATAAAAGCAGCTGAACTCACAATTTTTTTTTTTCTGCTGAAAGTCGACCCATTTTTCCACAAATCTGGACTATAAACTATAAACAGATGGCGACTCTTCAGTGATCTGCTCTGTAAACATTATTTTTATAAAATAATACAAAGAGCGTCTAAGATTTTTGGCTTTCAGCAGTAAATTATAAGCATATAGCAATATGTATGATCATAAAACACATGTTCTGTTAATTTGAGGTGAATCTTTTAAAAAAGAAAAAATAAAATAAAAAATTTACAGTTATTTCGTGCAGTTACTGAATAATTTGCCTTACGATTTGGACATTTAAATTCAGATGGAAAAACCGAAATATACCCTGGAGAATAAGATTAAAAAAGACCCGGTTTATGCACGTCATTGTGAAAATCAACATTTATAAAATCAACAAAACATCCAATCTGGGGGTGTTCATGACTGCATGTAACTGAACATGACATGAGCATTTACTACATTTTCCTAGCTTTGTTCCATTTAGCATGTCTGGTCCACAGCATGAACTATGAATAATGCAGTACTAATGCAAAATGTGCTGACTTTCACAGTAGAGGTAGAGGGATGGGAGAACTTTTATATGTTATGTTAATGTTATATAAATAGACTGCAGTTAATTAGTTGTCCATGTTCCTCAGTTCACCACTTCAAAGAAACAAGCATTCCTTTTATTTCCCAAATAAGGACTAAACTTTAGGCCTGGCATCTCTTACAGCCTCTAGCCAACCAAGTCTTCATGGGATTTGCTCTTTTCCCACGCTGGCAATGATTGCTGCAAATAGTGCTCTAGAGTGAACCTCTCACATCTCTGAGACTGCCCTGGTATGTTCTGCCTTTTTCTGTAAATTATTTTATTATCTTTCAATATTTCTGTTGTTTGTCTGCACTTACACCATGTTCAATAGCCACCCAAGTGAATTAGAACACAGCCGGTGGTTTGTAAAGGAGCACAGTTGGTACCGCCCACTTGTGAAGGTCCACAGCGCTCATAATTACACACAACAGCAATTACAAAGTAGGGTTGGGACCACTTATCAATCAATCATTATCAATAACAGCCATGAACCCGGATATGTAGAATTTATCTTTTTTTAATGCATATTAACTGTGTGCGCAGATCCGTTATCCAAAACTCCAGTTCAGGCTTTACTTTAAACACACAGCACTGAGTTGCCATGCAAGCTGTGTGAGTGAATGCCATGCTGGTATGTAGTCTCGTGGGGCCGGACGTGGCGTCTAGAGACCACCATGAGGAATTCTGAGCTAAATGTGTGTGAGAACATAGACTTATTAAGGCGATGAAATTTCTAACCCAAGCCATCAAACTGTGAGGGCGGAGTTCCAGGTAGCGGGTGATGGTGCGCTCATCAACATCAGCCATGTTTACAGGCAGCCTAATAATACATTAATAATCCAACTAATAGCTCAATCGGAATAGAATACGTCCATGTATACACCTGAATCGGAATACAATTTCTATTGGACTGAACGAGGCAGATAATCCTGTAAATAATCCATTGAATAGAAGAATTATATCCGTGTAAACGCCTGTATCTGATTACATTCCCTATCGGAAAGTTTAAGTCCGTTCTGATCATGTTCGTCACGTCATAGTGAGAGTTTATACTGTTCAACATGGCGGGAGCAGAAACTGGTCTGCAGAGGAGACGAAGTTTCTGCTCTGATCTTTAAAAGACGGCGGTGGGACGGACGTCCAGTTTATGTGTCTCAGAACATGACATCTTCCTCTCGGCCTTCTTTAATGAGGACGTGTGAAGGACGTTTTCCTGAGTCTGACATCATTTTAAAGCAGTTAAAAACACAAGCACTGCTCACTGCTGCTCATCTCACTCTGACTGGACTCATGTGATGCTGGTTGTCATGGTAACATCTACACTAAGTGGTACCCCATGCATGCGCGTAATTTTGGATCAGATTACTTGTAGTGAGCGTGTAGAAATTTTCCATCAGATTATTGCGAAGAGTGAGATATAAACACCTCAGCCTTCATCTATAATCGGAATTTATTCAATCTGATTGGCAAAAATCTTTGCATGTAAACACAGACAGTGTCAGACGGAAAACAAACCAGTCACTAGCACATGATAATACAACAGTTAGTTCCGGCCACGCAAGCTGATTGGTTGAGAAGCGTTCTAACCGTGCTGTTATTTCACCATAACATCACGGCTTTTTCACAAACACTGTATCACTCCACTGAGACGCTGTTGCTAGGCAACGACTTTGACAGCTGTAGGAGACGCTCAAGACATTTGAACGTTTTTACTTCTTACTTTGCCACAAACAGAAAACGGACACTTTTAAGATCACATTTGACCGACAGCCGATTTGGTCAGACTCTGAAGATGAGACGACACTAAATTCCCAAACTGTCATCACCACTGAGCAGCTTTTCAGTCGGCAGCTGAGACAGAAGAACAGCTAAACAACCTGGAATCAGCCAGAAATGAACCCAATACCATTCGCCAAACTAAACGGGCTGTAAGATGCTTTACAGACTGGCTGGAACAAAACAACATTAATACTGATCTGGCAAAAACTGACAAAACTGAGCTAAACTTGATATTGTGGCAGTTTTATAGCTCAGTCTGTACTTCAAAAGGCGAGGCTTACAGCAGACTGAGCAGCGAGTGGGCGGAGCTCGTTACTCTGACGTAGCAACAAGCTGCTTGTTAAGGAACTATAATTTGGTGAAGGAACTGCGAACATTAAAACATATTAAACGCCGCGTTCACGGCCAGTTTATTAATTTATTACTTTATTTATTTAACTGTTGTATTAAAGCAATAGAACACTGGAGGTTGTGTGATCACAAATAACTTCCTGGCTGTGATGATCTACAGTGACCAAATCACAGCTGTGATGTTATTTCGCGATAACACACTCCCTCTCCTGTTCTATTGCTTAAATGCAACATAAGTTATCTTGGCTGAATAGCCCCTCAAATACTCCAATGAGCTAATTTCTCATTCACACTGACTCTAAAGTTTCAGTGTAATAGGTTTTTGATTACTTCTACAATGTTACATTTCTGGTAATGTTGTTGTGTCTTCACCTCATGCAATAGTCACAAGTCCTGTACAACTACAAGCATTAAAGAGATCATCCCACTCTTAAAAAAGATGGTTCCTCAAGGGTTCTTTACTAAAGAAAATGGTTCTGTGTAGAACCATAAACACTCAAAGAACCCTTTGCATGATTAAAGGGTTCTTTGCATCGTGGAAGAGTTCTTCAGACTGATGGAGAATCTTTTATACTTGGTTCTATCTAGAACCTTTTGAAATAGGTTCTATAAGCACCAAAAAGGGTTCTTCTATTGTTACAGTGTCAAGCCTGTTAGTGAAGTAGCCTTTTGAGGGTCCCATTTCACAGAGGAAGATTTCAACCACAACCCCTTATAACTCAGTTCCAAGGGGCAAGAAGACACTCGAAAACAAGGAGTAGGGGTAAAAATAAAAATTGGGATTGGGCCTTAGTGTTAAATTGTTCCCTAGTTCCTACTCCTTCCTCCCCAGTGCACCCCACGCAAGTGTTGATTGTACACCTAAATAGGGCATTATATGTCCAATAGGGACCCTTTTAGGCATATTCGGCTATTCAGCTGGTGGTTGAAACCCAGACGGCTCTGTATTGGAAAAAAAGACTTGGGCATATTCAGCTTACAGGGGTCCCTCTTGGACATATTCAACCCTATAATGGCTCCCTATTGGACACAGAGTGCACTGATGGCTGCTTACTGCCTATTCCCTAGTGCCCTAAATCATGAAATCTATTCAGCCGATGGTTGAATATCAGATGGCTCGCTATTGGCTATATAAAGCAATTGTAATGCATACTCAGCTTATTACCTATAGGATATACAGTAGTGTGCAAAACTCAGAGACCACCCTTCATTTGTAATTTCCAGACAAAAGAGCCATTAAGTACAAGTTGTTTACATTTCCAGTATTTCTGAGGAGATTAGATATAATCCACTTGTATAAATAAGGAGAATGTTAAAGCAAAATAAGTGAAACTGGAGTTCAAAAAATGATTAAAAGCTACAGAGAAAATGTGCCTCCTTACAACCACCTGGAAGACCTGGTAGACACCAAAACTGCCCCCATCAGATAAACAGCACTTAAAGCTTTCATCTCTGAGAGAGAGGAGAAAATCAAGCTGCTTCAGATCTGAAAACATCCACAGGTGTTTCTGTCCATCCTTCAACTGTGAGAAGACGGCTATCTAGAAGAACCTCACTGAGAAAAGGAGACGGACACATCAAACAAAGAAGCTGAACGATGGACTGACCAGAGTCCAGACCTCAACCTGAATGTGTTTGATTACTTCAGAAAATGATCAACCAGCTTCTAAGACTGAACTTTGGAGGTGTGTCTGCAGATTCTTTGAGGATCTGAAAGTGAGTCTCCTGAAAAGAATGGAAGCTGGAATAAAGGTAAAGACTGGACACAATAAATAATGATACAAACCTGATATTACATTTAGCTGTTGCGTTTTTTTTTATTGTTAAATATGTTTTCTGCTATTTTTCCTCTGACACTGAAGAATAACAGTCGTTTTGACCGGACATTCAATAAAAAAGTGAGGTCTCTGACTTTTGCACAGAACTGGCTGGACAAGCCATCAGCTCATGACCTACGTAGTGCACTATATCGCTTTAGGGAGTAACGTGAGACAGAGAGTGGGGTGTTTTTGTGTTTGGTACGTTACCTCTTAGGCTGTTTGTGAACAATGCCCATCACTACCAGTCTCATAGACGGACGCAGGCCCCCTTTGATCTCCCCAACATAATCCTCCTCCTGCAGACAAAGGCAAAGCCCAGCTGAAGACACTGCACCACAGCAATGCATGCAGTGCAGCCTGCTTTTTTCATTAGCTGCCAATTCCACAGCCTTCAGAGCTGAAATATCAGCATCATTCTTAGAAGGCAGAGTAACAAAGGAACTTGCACCATCACAGCTTTCCACCGTGCCTGAAATAAACATCTATAGGGTTGCAATGTTTCTCAATGTCATGCAAAAGAGAGTGCAATGCAATGCCATTTTAACCAGGATGATGATGCACGCGGTGGTTTTACTGATAGTGATAAAAAGCATATCGCACTCCATCCTGATGCAATCATGCACTGTAGGCTGCATGGCAGAAACTGATGAATGCATGCATTTCTCTGATTAAAAATATATGAGCACTTTTGATAATATAAGCACAGAAAAAGCGCGAGCCTCTTACTCACCTGCCGTGTTTTATCCGCGTCTGTCATGTTTTGCTCCGCGGGATTATTCATTACTATCCTAAAATAAATCTAAATCTGGATTAATACGACAATAGCTGTCACCACTTTATGATCGCAGCGCGAGCCGAGAGCCCCGCCTTGGCCGGCTCGCGCCTCTGCGTCTCCTAGGAAACCGCCTCACGCTGTTTTTTTCCCCACCCGTATTCCGACAAACTCCGCCTCCTGCGCGTTTGGCACAATTCAGCTCATCTTTTTACAAAAGACGACAAATTCCTGCTTTGTGTTGAAAGGTGGGGACGTACATATGTGATTTTTCGGCACAAAAACGAGGGAAACTGCCGTTAGGCTTGTATTAAAGTAAAGGGACAGTCCAGCCAAAATGAAAAACCAATAGGCTAGTTAAAGGGGGATTCCACCAAATTTTCAAAATGTCTGAATAATTCAGACCTTGAGATGTAAACAGAGTCATTCAGAGTGGTTTGGTGTGAAATGATTCACTGTAGAGCTACTTACAGACTCAGATGTCTTTACAGTGGTGGTGATAGGAACCAGGCGTCGCCATGACTAGAATACAGATATAGGCATTTTATTTACTCTCCAAAACCACCAGTAAACCTATACGAGTCTTCTGAGCTTTATATGTGATGTTAATGATGGAAAAATAATCTGAAAAAAAAAAGCTTTCTTTGGGGACTATTTTACCTCACAACGCCCCGCATGTACCCCTCTGCCATAAATGGATTAAAATACATTTTAAGCCAAACCTTTCACAGAACTCTCATAAAACTGTGTCTCAGACATCTGGCAGTGTATTAATGACCATTTCATGTAATACCTTTCTGTGAGGGAGCTTTTAGAGGTGGACGTCTGGTTCTTATCACCACCACTGTGAACAATTCTGATTCGGTAAGTTTCTCTAGAATTGAGCATTTCACACCAAACCACTCTGAATGACTCTACGCCTCAACCATTAAATTATGTAGAATTTTTATAAAAATCGGTGGAGTTTCCCTTTAAGTGATGCTGTACCTGTACTACATGTTGAACCAGTCTCGGTCACCATGTGGAGCATTAAACCTGTGGAGGATATTAATTGTGCTCCCTGCAGCTGGAATGTTTCCTGTAACTGTTCGCGACTGCAGCACAGTGTGTCCCTGTAGAATTTTTTGAAAAATCGCTGGAGTTCCCCTTTAACCTGTGTCTGTGTCTAAACTTGCTTACTCAGCAGCGTTTCCTAGAGTGAGATTTTCTATTTTAAATTCTAGAAAACTCCCTTTGATGATGCTTTCAGGGTGGGATGTTTTGAAATGTATTTTTATAAAGCTGTTGAATTGAGAGGGGAGATAAAGAGTTAACGATACAGTTATGAAGCCCACTCACTGTAGTCATATGTTGTTTAAGCAGTAGAACCCGAGAGGGAGTGCGTTATCGCGGAATAACATCACGGCTGTGATTTGGTCGCCGTAGATCATCACAGCCGTGATGTTATTCGCGATAATACACTCCTCCAGTGTTCTATTGCTTTAATACAACAGTTAAATAAATAAAGTAATAAATTAATAAACTGGCCGTGAACGCGGCGTTTAATATGTTTTAATGTTCGCAGTTCCTTCCGCCAAATTATAGTTCCTTAACAAGCAGCTTGTTGCTACGTCAGAGTAACGAGCTCCGCCCACTCGCTGCTCAGTCTGCTGTAAGCCCCGCCTTTTGAAGTACAGACTGAGCCATAAAACTGCCGCAATATCAAGTTCAGCTCAGTTTTGTCAGTTTTTGCCAGATCAGTATCAATGTTGTTTTGTTCCAGCCAGTCTGTAAAGCATCTTACAGCCCATTTAGTTTGGCGAATGGTGTTGGGTTCATTTCTGGCTGATTCCAGGTTGTTTAGCTGTTCTTCTGTCACAGCTGCCGCCTGAAAAGCTGCTCAGTGGTGATGACAGTTTGGGAATTTAGTGTCGTCTCATCTTCAGAGTCTGACCAAATCGGCTGTCGGTCAAATGTGATCTTAAAAGTGTCCGTTTTCTGTTTGTGGCAAAGTAAGAAGTAAAAACGTTCAAATGTCTTGAGCGTCTCCTACAGCTGTCAAAGTCGTTGCCTAGCAACAGCGTCTCAGCGGAGTGATACAGTGTTTGTGAAAAAGCCGTGACGTTATGGTGAAATAACAGCACGGTTAGAACCATAGATATACACGCCGAGATGCCGCGTTGGGTCCAGCCAGGCACGTCAACGGCACCGCCATTTTAGGGCGGTCAACATCACTGCTGGACTGCATTCAGTACCATTACAGAGCGGCAGTTTAAGAAAGATACTGTCCGAAATTACACTGTTTAAAGAATATTACTCTCAGAAAGCGGGACAGGATTATATAACGGAGGGAACGCAGTGATCCACACTCATGTTTGTGTGATGCGTATTGTTTGTGTGATGTTATGACTATAGTCTTTTCAGGCGATCTTAACTTATGTAGCAGTTATTTATTTACAATGATGGTCATGGCTTTGTAGCTAGGTAAATTATAGCATTCCTTAAAACCGTGTAGAAATTCTTACACGAAGCTGAAGCCAGCTTCTTATTTGCCAGCTTCTTGTTCGAATTTCCACCTTAAATGATGCATCGGCCAGCATCTTGTTTGAATTTTCCCGTTCCACCTTAAATGGTGCATCAGCCAGCATCATGTTTGAATTTTCCCGTTCCACCTTAAATGGTGCATCAGCCAGCTTCTTGTTCGAATCTACCGTAACACCTGTTCCACCTTAAATGGTGCAGCTTCAGGCACCAGAAAGTGACTGCTGCACCATTTAAGGTGGACCGGGAAAACTCGAAGAAGAAGCCGACGAAAAGGAAGCCAGTTTTAGCTTCGTCCTTCTTACTGTGTTTTGGGGGGTTTATTTTATTTTTTTGTGTATTAAGATTAGAAGTGATTCACACATTGATGGATTTGCTGATGTTTCTACCGGAGCTCGCGCTAAACGCGGTTTTTAACGTCAGGTGCAAGCTCAATACTTTCTGCTGGTCCGGACGGCTAATTAGCACGATGAGTTATTAAAGAAATAAAGCTACAGAGAGCAGACCGAGCAACGTGAATAAATACAGAACCTTTTCTTCAACTAAAGTTAAACCAACGCTAACTTGGTTGTATTTATTAGCCTATAGCTCAGCGGCTAGGCTAGTCTGGATTGGTCTCTGCCTAATGCATGCTGGGTATTGTAGTGCAAGAATACTGACTAACAACAACATGAAAACAATATAAAAATGCTAATTTCATCAAGTTTTAGGCCTCTATGGGTTTCATGAATTGATAATGAAAATTAATTAGTAGTAGAGGAAATTCTTCTTCTTCTGATTATTATTATTATTATTATTATTATTATTATTATTATCAGTTGTTCTGCTATAATTGACTGATACCTTCGCAGCAGTCCCATATGGACATGTGTCAGAAATTCACAGCTATGGGTGTGTGAATGAATGAATCAAGCAATCAATGCAGTACTCAATAAATAAATAAATAAAAATAATAATAATATTATGATGCCTGTTTTTGTTATCACATGATAACAATACTGCAACAATAACACATTTTCTTCTTCTTATTATGATTATTTTTATTATTTTTATTAATAATGTTATTGAGATTGTGAGTTACATGTGGGACACACTGTGCTGCAGCCACTAACAGTTACAGGAAAACACTACAGCCACAGGGAGCACAATTAATATCCTCCACAGGTTTAATGTTCCATATGGTGACCGAGACTGGTTCAACATGTAATACAGGTACAGCATCACTTAAAGGGAAACTCTACCAATTTTTCAAAATTTTTTCAAAAATACATAATTAGATGGTTGAGATCTAAACTAAGTCATTCAGAGTGGTTTGGTGTGAAACGCTCTGTTCTAGAGAAACTTACAGAGTCTGAATAGTTTACAGTGGTGGTGATAGGAACCAGACATCCACCTCTAAAAGCTCCCTCAGGGAACATTGAAACAGTACATGAAATGGTTAGATATGTGCTGTCTAATGTCTGAGACATTGTTTAATGACAGTTTTGTGCTAAGATGTATTTTATTCCATTCATGGTGGAGGGGTACATGCAGGACATGAGGTAAAATAGTCCCCAAAGAAAACTTTTCCACGGTTTTTCCATCATCAACATTTCATATGTAACCTCGGAAGACTCGTGTAGGTTCACCGGTGGTTTTGAAAAGTAAATAAAATGTCTATATTTGTGTTGTAGTCATGGTGACCCCTGGTTCCTATCACCACCACTGTAAAGAGATCTGAGTCTCTACAATCAACCATTTCACACCAAACTACTCTGAATGACGCCCAAATTTTGAAAAATTGGTGGAATATCCCCTTAAGGGTTGAATTTGACAGGGCACTTAATTTCCTCTTTCATTTGTGTAACCCCAGCTCTCCTACGCTGATTCAGCTTCCCAGCAAATTATCAGGACTGCAGAAGACAAAGGCTGGAAGACCCTCAGTAATCAATGCAGAGTGTTTAGATCAGACGGATTTCGTCCTTCTAAGATTTTTGCAGTCACAGATAACAGGTTTTAAGGCCACCATGTTGTTGTTTTCGAGTAACTACAGGATCAATCAAAAACCAGGACAGGGGAGAAAAGAATTTGACCCTTGAACAGCATGCGTGTGTCTGTCGGCACGGGCCAGCAGTCAAACAGATTCTGTTAGAATAAAAGTGGAGCTCATTCTTAAATCTGAAAACAGACAACTGCATATACACATATATTAACAACAAAAAAGAGAGAAAATTGTAAAAGTATTTTCCAGAAACACTTTGAAAATATCATAAATCCTCTTTTGTTTACTTATTGTCTGAGATTTGCTCTCAATGGTACAAAAACAACTTTTCCCAAACTTTCACGTCCTGCTTAAAGATGCACTAATACAGTGCTGCATAGTAATGTCTCGGTACAGCCTGCTCACCCAAAATTTGAAAATTGAGCAGTTTTCCTGTCTGTCAGTGCTGCGTAAAGGGCCTCTATCATGGAAACCTTTTCCTCACTTTTTGAAATGTACTATAATCTATGTAAACAGTGATGAAATTTCAAAATGTCCCATTCACTCCCCAGTCAATACAGTCAATTTATGAAAACTAAGCTGCAAAAACAGTTTTTTTTTATAAATAAACCCATACAAATGTCATAAGTGGACCTTAGGAGACCCTTTTAATACATTGCTTTATTTGCTTTATCTCTTTATTAATTTGAGTCTCTAAATTTAGAAGCTTCACTTGAGTTCAGATAAAGTGGCATGCAGTAACACTATGTGTGCTGAATATGCATAATTAAGATTTTACTGTATGTTTCTGAACAGGAACATTTTTTTGATTGATGTACCACCATCATTATGGATTTTTGCTGCACTTAAAGAACCAAAAAGTACACAAAAAAGCATATTTTACTCTAATTCATGTCTATTTTTATTTCTGCCTAGTATATCACTGCTGTTGGAACAAAACCTTTGTTAATGTGCAATTAAATATCATGCTACTGTAACACTGCAATTACCTGCCAGGATCATGAAGTTCTATCTATCTATCTATCTATCATCTATCTATCTATCTATCTGTCTGTCTGTCTATCTATCTATTGATCTGTCTATCTAACTACCTACCTACCTAAAAATTCTTATTCTAACATGTTAAAGGTGTTGTTTTGTAAAGAACTATATGATTGCCTATTCTTTGGCTTTGAAGTGAGTAGATATTGATGTGTGTGATATTTTATTGGCTTGTGGTAACGGTACATTGATAATCCGTTTCTAACATGCAAGCAGCTTTTCCCACTTTATCTCTCCAACTGTCTTTAAAGGTGAAAGATGAGGTGTCCAAATCATTTTCAAAGCAGATACAGAAAGAAAACAGAGGAAAAAAGAGGGGATACATGTATTTACATTATACACCGATTAGCCATAATATTAAAACCACCTCCTTGTTTCTACACTCACTGACCATTTTATCAGCTCCACTGGCCGTCTAGGAGCACTTTGCAGTTCCAGTTACAGACTGTAGTCCATCTGTTTCTCTGCATACATTGCCTACACCCTCACAGAGCAGGTACTATTTGGGAGGTGGATCATTCTCAGCACTGCAGTAACACTGACGTGGTGGTGGTGAGTTAGTGTGTGCTGTGCTGGTACGAGTGGATCAGACACAGGAGTTTTTAAACACTGTGTCCACTCACTGTCCACTCTATTAGACACTCCTACCTCGTTGGTCCATCTTGTAGATAGATATAAAGTCAGAGATGTAAAGTCAGAGAAGCTTTACTTGAGCTGACCCTCCTGCTTTTATTTTGACAGCATCATCACGTGACCCATTTTCAGCTGATGAGGTCACATGACCGTGCGTCACGGCGCTCATGGCTGCGCTGCTGACGCTGAGGACGTAAACATTTAACACATTCACGAAAGCGGCTCACAAAACCAAGACAGGCTGTAAGTGAAGCTTTTTAAACACACCTTTCAGAAGCACTTTGAGACCTTTTATAACATTTATAAGAACCAGGCTTCCTATTCCCCAGCTTGTTTTTCGAACTTTCCGTTCCACCTTAAATAGTGCAGCAGTTACATTCTGGCGCCTCCGGCGCTAGAATGTAACTGCTGCACCATTTAAGGTGGAACGGGAAGTTCGAAAAACAAGCTGGCGAATGAAACGCTGACTTCAGCTTCGTATTTAAAGCGAACAAACGTTCTGTAAAAAGGCTCGTCAGTTTCACAGAGGCTACAAAACTGCTAAAATTAGGCTTTAAATCAATTCTATCTCCGCTGTCGACTTTATCTCCACACTTTCGCCACGTTTTCGCGTGTTATTGCTCTGCTGTCGGGCTCTGTGTCGTGGTTAGTGCTTGTAATGGCTTAATATGTGAGCTTGACTTCATTTTCGCCAGTTTCTTTTTCCTTTTGCCGTTCCACCTTAAATGGTGCGGCATTTACATTCTAGCGGCGCAGGCGCCCGAACGGAAAGCCTTCAGCATTTAAGGTGGAACGGAAAATTCGATAATGAAGCCAATTTCGGCTTCGTACTCTTCGTATTCTTGTGGACGAGTGATGGGATTTTAGTCGAGCCGAGTTGATTAGGAAGCCGGTTATGTTTGCAGTTACAGTGAAAGTCGTTCAAGAAAACCTGCTGTGTCATTTAACCTGGTTTGTGAGCTAAATCGCCCCCCAACCTCCCGAACATGCTCGAGAAGTTTAGGGTTTATGCATAAAACGAGGCAGTCACATTGCAAAGATTGCTGGAAGATTAGACTGTTTTTTTTCAGTACGTTTTTTGACGTTTCCTCTGTTTTTCCTCTGGTCTCTCTGTCATGTCATGCTTTACACCGCCATAAAGTCATGACAAGTCAGCTGCCTGTCAGGTAGGGCTGGGCTATATGGCTAAAATCTGAAATCAGCTATATGGAAATCTGATATATGCGCATATATGGACAAATATCATAAAGGCTAAGGCTTATATCGTAAACTATGTGTACATATATGTTATGTTCATATATGTAAGCGTCAAATGGTGGACACATAGGCATGATATACACTCTTTTAAGAAGTGTTCTTTAGTAAAAGGAATGGTTTTATTTAGAACCATATATATATATATATATACACGCTCTATATATACACACACTTAAAAAGATGATTCTTCCACGGTAATTAAAATTGTTTTATGTAGAACCATGAACACTTAAAGAACCCTTTGCATGATTAAAGGGATCTTTGCAGGGTGAAGGGGATCTTCAGATTGTTATAGAATGTGTTGTAGATGGTTCTGTATAGAACCTTTTCGAAAAGGGTTCTATATAGCACCAAAAAGTGTTCTTCTACTGTGACAGGCTTGACATTGCAGCAATAGAAAACCCCTTTTTTTGGTACTATATAGAGCCCTTTTCAAAAAGGTAGCGTGTAGAACCAAATACAACACATTCTCAATCAATCTGAAGAACCTTTCAGGGTGCAACGAGCCCTTTAATCATGCAAAGGGTTCTTTGAGTGTTCATGGTTCTGTTTAGAACCATTTTCTTTACTAAAGAACCCTTGAATGCTTATGCTTATGCTATCCTTCATGCTTAACTGGTTCTTTGCATGGTGGTATGATTCTTCAGATTGATGGAGAATATGTTGTATATGATTCAGTATAGGACTTTTTTTGAAATTGGTTCTGTATAGCACAAAAAACGGTCCTGCTGTTGTTGCAGTGTCAAGCTTGTACCAATAGAAGAACCCTTTTTGGTGCTATGTAGAACCATTTTCAAAAAGGTTCTGTTTAGAACCGTATACAACACATTCTCCATCAATTTGAAGAATGATTCCCCCATGCAGAGAACCATTTAAGCATGCGACTGGTTCTATATAGAACTCATGGTTCTAAACAGAACCATCCCCTTTATTAAAGAATGCTTGAAGAAGAATCCTTTTTAAGTGTACAGGCAAAACATCTGAAACCGCTTCAAGTCAATGTAAAATAAAAATGAACTTATATAATATAACTCGTATTAAAGGGACCATAACCTGCATTTTTCTTGTATTTTATGTTTATGAGGTCAACTTCTAATATTTGTGTGGTTTTATGCACAGTTATAATTCCTTTTAAACCATTTTCCAACCTCTCTTTATCCCTCAGAACTAATCTGGCTTTTTTGGTGCTGTTCCTTTTGGACTGATATATGGAAATAAGCTCTTTTCTGATTGGTTGCCCTGCATTGTGCCTTGTTCCGAAAGCAGAACAGGCTGAAACACTCCTTGTAACTTCAGCCTGAGTGGGCGGGGCCAAACTGCTGTAGACTGAATCAGCGGATAGATGGAAATGTGTTGCTTTTCGTGACATTCACAAAATCTGTGACTTCAAAATGAGCTGTTTTAGCAATCTTAGTTTCCATATATGGACAGTATAGAGTGATGAGTGAACGGCACGTTTTGTAACAATATTTATGTGCTGTATAAAACACTTATATATTTTAAAATGGCATGGGAAGCGCAGTTTTATGTGACACGGGCCCTTTAATGTTGTTGCATGAGGTTTGTGTATTTCAACATCTGTAACAGCTGAACCTCAGAGTTACCTACTTCTTCACTCTGTCTTTCCATTTCGTTTTACTACAGATGAGGTGCTCTTATTAGCGTTGACGGTAATCTGAGCAGTCTGAGGCCTGACCGCCGAGTGTGCCGTCATGCACCCGTTTGGCCGTGAGGAGGAGAGCTCCAGACAGGACCTCTTCGGCTTCTTCACGCAGTGTTTACAGCATGGAGAATGGGAGCTGGCGGCCGCGTGCGTCCAGCAGCTCGGCCAGGCTGCCGGAGTCGTCCCTCAGGACCCTAGTGACATCATCAAAGCCATCATCACACACCCTTACCCGCTCACGTACGTAGGACGTGTTGGGCTGTCTTAAATTTTGATACTTGGTTGTGACGCATGAATAACCGATAAGCAATTTCTGAGCTGAGATCAATAAATCAATAATTAACATCTTATTGTGGCTGATACTAATTCTTGTTCCAGTTTAGAACAAGTTTGCACTATAATCCATATATGAAGTGCATAGATACGGATCGAAGATGGTTCATTAATCCAGTGTTCATAGATATGACGTACCTAAATCAGTCATAACTGTTTATTGTAAAGGTTTCTTATTTTATGTAAATATTTTGCCTCATTTAGCAAATACTCTTAATACAGAAATGCCCATTCATAAGTGAGTAAATGTACAAGCTAAACTAGGATACACAGGCAGTGTGTCCTAATTCAGGGGCTGCGTCCTTCAGAGGCTGCATTTGAAGGCTGATTGCGTCACAGCGGCGTGACTAGACTGTCCCATTTCGAAGTCTCCTTCATATGCGGCCGAGAAATGTGTCCTCCTTTTCCATGGCAACGAAGGAGCCGGCAGTGAAGCATCTCCAGCTCTAATAAATGAAAAAAATAAACATCTAAAATCAAAGTTTCTGGCTCCATCTTTAAAGAACTTTAAAAGAACTTGACAGGAGCAGCGTTTCGTGGCGCAAAGGTGAACAGCAGTGCTGTGACGCAAACAGGAAATCCGCCGTAGAGCAGCCCGTCTCATTTCGGTTCAACCTTCATAGACCACGTCCTTCGAAGGATCCAGCCCCTGAATAGGGACACACTGACTGTCGTTCATGCCGAGCACCAAAAGCTGTTTTGGTGCTAATAGCGACCCCTTGTGGAAAATCTTTAGCCTGCTAAACATGAGCTAGTTAGTGAGTTAGACAGGTAGTAACCGTGAGGTGCTTTGTATCTAAAAATAGTGTTAACTTTTCGGCCTCAATATCGGGCATTTTCCTATATGTTGCCAAATAATATATATGCTGCCTTTATACACTAACGTTCAAATGTTCTTACCGTTTTTTGTTATTTTGTGTAGAAGTTACATTGTAGAGTTAAATACAACCAACCATTCATCAAAAGGTATTTCATACATTTTAATTAATATTTCTAAAATTCTGTGAACATGTTATTAACTGATAAATAATATACTTTAGTTACCTCAATGATTATTCGAATGGACACAGCAGAATATTAACATTATTACAGCTAATTCAGTGTTTTGTTTGGCAATGCAGTCTTCAAATCAACAAACATGGCCTTATTCACCACATCCTGAAAGGGCAACGAACAAAGCGAGATGAACGAAAGCAGTACAGTGCCAAATTCATCACACTCTGTTAGAAAAACAAATAAAAGTTATTTATATATTGTGTCAGTTGTCACCCGGCGCATGAAGTCACAGGCGTCACTGAATAAAACGCTTCACTTGTTGGTTTTAGAAATGTAAGTCTATTTAAAGTAATTATCAGTGTTGAAAGTTAACATGCATTAAACCTTTTGCACACAGCTCAGCATTAATATGAGTTGGTGCTAATGAGAACAGAAGTACAGCAGTGCTGAGTTAGTGGAGTTTGTCCATCAAGAGTTCAGTAAACAGAAGTGCTGCTGGTCAAACTGGCTGTGTTTATCTTATCTTTTAATGGAGTGAGTTAAACTGGTGGTGTTTTGTCTTTGTAGGTGGGAAACAGTGGGAAGCCCTCACAGACTGGCCTGGTTCTGGCTGCAGGTCCTCGAGAGACACTCGAAAGACAAAGTAAAGTACACTGTGCTCAACTGTTAGCATGGTTACCATCCTGTATCCCCTCCTCTCTCTTTCTCTGTCCCTTTCTCTCTCTTCTCTTTTTCTCTCTGCTGTCCTTCTCTCCTCCGTCTGTTTCTATCTCGACTCTGTTTCTCTTTCCCTTTCACTTCTCTTTCACACTATTACCCTTCTTTCTCTCTCTCTCTCTCTCTCTCTCTCTTCTCTTTTCTTTCTCTCTCTCTCTGTCTGTCGTCCTTCTCTCCCTCTTTCACTTTTTCTTCTTTCTCTTTCAATTATCCTTCTCTCTCTTTCTCTCTTCCCTTCTCTCTCTTCTCTCTCTTCTTTCTCACTGTTTTCCTTCTCTCACTGTCTTTCCCTTTTCTCCTCTCTCTGTCTGTTATCTCTATCTCTCACTCTGTCTCTCTCTCTCTCTCTCCCATTCACTTCCTTCTCTCTTCTGTCCTTCTCTCTCCTCTCTCCATATCTCTCTCCACCCTTTCTATCTTTCCCTTGCTTTTCTCTGTCTCACTATTACCCTTTTTCTCTCTCTTTCATTTTTCTCTCTGTCTGCTATGCTTCTCTCTCTTTCACTTTTCTTTCTTTCACTATTATGCTTCTCTTGCTCTTTCTTTTTTTTCTCTCTCTCTCTTTCTCTTTTTTCTCTCTCTCTCTATTATCCTTATCTCTCTCTTCTCTCTCTCGCTTTTTCGCTCTCCCTTTTCTCTTATCTCGCTTTTATTATCCTTATCTCTCACCCCTCTATATCTCTCTCTCTCTCTCCCTCTCTCCCTCCCTCTCTCTCTCTCTCTCTCTCTCTCTCTCTCTCTCTCTCCCTCTCCCTCTCCCTCTCTCTCTCTCTCTCTCTCTCTCTCTCTCTCTCTCTCTCTGTACAGGTGTCTGTATCAGTGAGGAGAGAACTGGCCTTTCTGCTGCTGTTAGAAGATCTTGGGGAGGAGGTTCCTCTGACTGTGCTGAAGGTGGGTCTCACTTCTCTACTGTAAATACCATCTGGACTTTTCTGATGATGGAAAAATGGGGTTTTCATCTGAAAGACTAAAACTGCTTGAAAGGGTTAAAACTTGCCAAAAGTTTCCATTTTTAAATAGAAAACAAATGGACTTTTAAATAAAATTATTAGGGAATTAAATACGCCTAAAATTAGCAAATAGAAATTGAATCGGCCTAAAAGTGTGTCAAAATATAATACTTTACAAATAATTTGAGTGATAACGAAATTTAGAAATACCGTTTTACCGTTTTAACCATTGGTTAAAACAATTGGTTAACACCGTTTTAACCATTGGCTCAGTCTTTGGCATCTCAGTAACTCCTATTGGAAAGGCTGACCTTCCAATAATTAAGTAATTATTTTAGTTTCAATAAAAAGGAAAACAGATCAATAACAAAAAGAATTTTATCTCACACATATATGAGTATACAGATGGCATGTATGTGTTGTGCTCGCTCACTGTCCTGTCATACATGGCACTCAGTATAGGGCTGACATTGATTACTTGATGAAAACTCAATTATAAAATAATCTATTAAAATTAACCTTCTCAGATAATCTGTGGTGATTAGATGTCAGTTTGCCTGATGATAATGTATATTTTAAATTTTTTGTCACATGGTGTGTTTTTCATATATTTTTGCTCAAGATTATTTAAAAACTTTTTGTTATCTCTAAAAACTTATCACTAACTCTGTATGATTTATTATTGTTCAGTAAAATAATTTTTTTATTGTTTGTTCTTTTCTAAAAACTCGAAATAATCAGTAGATTAACCGATTGCTAATGTAATCAGTAGTGACAGCGCTAACTCGGGTACGTCTTTCTCCGTTCCTCTTCCCTCAGGAGCTGCATCAGGCCTTCCTGGACTCCGAGTTTGATCAGAAGGACCCCCGCTCAGCTGCGCCCCGGCTGAGTGATGCTGCTCTGTCCTGTATCGGCTCCCTGCTGTCCCGGGGCAGGCCGCGGCTGGCTCACGCTCTGCTGGGCTTCCTGAGGGGTCGTGGGCTGGAGGACGTTTTCCTGCAGCAGCTTCTAAAGCACGTGACGGTGGAGCAGACGAGCGAGATATGGGCGGAGGAGGTGTGCGCCATGCTGGCTCTGTTGCCCTGTGGAGCTGGTGGCTCCGGAGCCCAGTTGGAGCCCCTGTGGGAGGGGCTGTGGGGGGCCCGTGAGGGTCCGCTGAGCGAGCAGAGGGTGCTGGGGTGCCTCCTGCGGCCACACAGCCAAACACTGCTCATGCTGTACTGCTCCACATCGCTACGACTGCTCCGGGACGGGCTGCTCCGAGGGACCACACACACACAAGGTGAGGGGTACACAGGTTAGTGATTACACATAGTAGAGATACAGGTAAGGGTTAGTTTTTATGGAGTTCCTCGGATTTCTCAAAATTTCTGCATAATTCATAGTTGAAATATAAATAGTCATTCAGAGTGGTTTGATGTGATGTGGTTCATTGTAGGGAAACGTACCAACAATACAACACAAGTATAGCCAGTGCTCAGTTTGAGGGGGAGTGCGAAGGGATGCCATCCTCCCGGTCAAAAAAAATGGAGAAAAACAGCCCCTTTCCATCCCATTTTGATGAATGTGATCAGTGATCTGTTATCAATCATTTCCTTACATCCAAATGTGTGATTTACACACTATGCAGGTTTTTCATGTCAAACAAACAAGTTAAGATCATGGCACTTGTGCACTAGCGGAAGAGGTGGTTATGTATAATTGCACACTTTCACTTTTCATTGGTTTTCTGATTTGGAGTGTTCAGTACAGTACCCCACCATCAGGGTTGCCAGGAAGATGGTTTTCCTATCAAATTCATCTTCTGGTTTTTGGAGGCTTGTAAGCAAACTTTGGACTGGAGATTTTGTCTGGACCTGGCAACCCTGCCTGCCTTATAGAACGTTAAAAACAGCATCAATAGGCTTTCTTAAAAGAAAGCAGGTGTAATAAACACTGTTAACCAATGAGAAATTTTAAGTCTAGTGTTCTGTCAGCTCACGCTTCCAAGGTTTGCAAATTCACAGGGTTAAATTTCACCTGGATGGCCCTGGCTCAATGCGAGGTCAGGAACCGCTAGAGGAAACAGTTTGTTTTCTTACGTCCCCACATTCTTTCGCATTCAAGTGAGATGGCTTTTTTGCAAGGGTGATTTTACATGCGCTTGGTGTGACCACAGCTTTACAACACCCTGCGTGTTTGTGAAAGTTTGGTGTGCGAAAGTAATGCATAAGTACTGTTTGCTGAATTTAACATATTGGGAAAACAAATAGAAACATAAAATGTGGCCTCTGTAAAAGTTGATATCACAGCATTTTATATTTCATGGTTTTTTTTTTCAGATAAACAGAAATGCCATATTTAACCCTTGTGTGCTGTTGATGTCTTTGTCACTCTGGTGGACCCACCGCATTTATTGTCTTTATAAATCAATACAGCCGTAATAATTTATGTAAAAATACCAGATGTTTAAAATAACATAAGTGTCCAGCGTAGGGTTCTCCTTTAGCAGCAGTAGCCAGTCAGCAACCTGTCCATGTTGTCCACCCTCACACACACACACACACACACACACACACACACACACACACACACACACACACACAGGCACGCACACACACTAACAGCAGGCCATGTAGGAGGAGAACAGAGTGAAGGACACAGCAGCTCCACACTTTTACTCCCCGCAGGTTCACCCCACACCACATGTGTAATATAAATGTGTGGGGGGTGAACAGAGTGAAGACACTGAAAATGGGTTATTTTATATGTTCTTCACAGAAAATGAGCAAAGGGCAAGAATCTGAGGTTGAAACAATAATAAATCGCATCATTTTTTCTTTTGGTTAACACTGAAAATGGACCCCACAGACCTGAACACCACACAGGGGTTAAGTTCTGTGTAGAGGACAGATGAACTTATTTACACTCAGAAAATCATGTAATTTTGCCCAAACTTTTGAAGACAACTGCATCTCTGTGCCATAAAAAACTGCTTTAGGCCAAAAGCTTATCTCAAAGCTATTGTAAAACAATGTCTTTAATAATGTAACAGGGACTTGTGTGGGACATGAGTGAAAGGTCTAAAGTTCAGATGCTGGATAAACCCCGACTCAAAAGAAGCAACAAAAAAATGTGTCACTGAAGTTCAAAATCATGAGACGAGTTTATTAAAGTCAGTATTGAATTAATAATGTGACATCAGACTACATTAGTAGTCCCAAAATGATTTGATGTGCTGGATTACTTGGAATACCTTGAATAGTTAAAACAACCACAGAAAGACTTGGTTAATAGTGGTTAGAGGACTCATTTGCATATTGACGTGATAATAATTTTTAGGCAAAATATTGTGCAGCTGTTATGGAGTTTCATTGTAAAATGGTGTGTACTGATACTCCACTAGTGCATCAGATCAGAGTTTGAGTATTTCTATGTTACAAATTTTTTTTTTTGGTTAGAAAATTTTAAATAATGTAGTATGTAAATAATAATAATAATAATAATAATAATAAGAAGAAGATTGTAATAGTTGGCATAATCAGATTGATCTATTTTTTTTGGTTGCTAGCCTCTTTTGTTTGGTTTGCTTGTGTTTGATGTTTTGGGGAAGTGAGAGGAGCTGCTGGAGATAATTTTGTAAGCTGCACATTGTCTGCACATCACACTTCTGTTCATGTGGTCACTGCTGACTCGCAGAGACTCTGTACATTTGTTCCGGTATTCGGGTGCCACTGCACTCTTTGTGCTCATTAGGGCACAAAATGTATTATTGTGATTACGTTGCTCCATATTGCAGTATATAAAATCCTCACTGGTGATGTGAGAGAATTGAAAATGTATTATTTGCTGGATCATGTGGAAACTTTGTTTAATCACCCACAGAAACACGTTTGGAATGTCTTAGATTGGTCCAGGATGCTCATAGTGCACAATAAGAAATTGTAATCATTTGTTTGAGGCTCATTTGCATATTACACCTTTCTGTGATATTGATCTTACAGAATCAGGATTGTTCACAGTAGTGATTATAGAAACCATGGGCTGGATTCACAAACGTGTCTTAAAAAAGAAAATCTTCTTAAATGTTTTTTTTCTTAACATCATTCTTAAGAAGAAAGTTATGAAAAATTGCGATTCTACAAAAAACTTTGTTTGTAAGAATTCTCTTTTTTTTAACCATCTTCTGAAGAATACTTCTAAGAACAAGTGTTATTCTTGAAAATATTATGTTCTTAAATGTGTTCTTAACTTTGCTTTAGCCGGCCACTTTATTACAAACGCCTACCTTGTGCTTCCACTCACTGGCCGCTTTATTAGAAACACCTACCTTGTACTTCCACTAACTGGCCACTTTATCAGAAACAACTTCCTTGTACTTCCACTAACTGGCCACTTTATTAGAAACACCTCCCTTGTACTTCCACTCACTGGCCACTTTATTAGAAACACCTACCTTGTACTTCCACTAACTGGTCACTGTATCAGAAACACCTTCCTTGTACTTCCACTTAAATTTGCCAAACATGGACGCTGCTTCTGCTGCTCCTACCCTTCCTCGTCTCTCGCTTTCCGCCGTCACCCCGCAGTTATCGTATTTTTTTAGTAGGATTTTTTTCCCTTTTGGCTGTTGTATCCGCCATCACCTCTAGTTTTTGATTGCTAAACCTTTTTTGATGTATTTCCTCCATTTTGCTCCTTTGAGAGGTTTAAATAAGGGAAATAACAGTTAATACAAATTAGAAATGTGTCTCATGGCGTTTATGGTAAGCTGTAAAATGCAGCCGACCCAAGAAAACAAAACATTTTCTCAAGAAAATATTTTTTTTGAGAATTGCATTAAAGAATATTCTTGTGAACTTAGTGTTTGTCTTAAGAATCTCCCTAAGTTTTTTCTTAAGAAAGCTTTCATGAAGCTTAAATGTGTTTTTTCTTAACTTCATTCTTTAAATAACTCCTTAAGAAGTATCTTATTTTCTTTTCTTAACTATTAAGCATAATCAAGACCAAGTGTTATTCTTAAAAATATTATGCTCTTGAATATTTTCCTAACCTTACGACAGACTCGCAGGCGTCTTAGGCTGTAAGACTTGACAAACATCTATATTTATCAATTTATCTACTCCTGCCCATCCTCATCTCTCACTTTCCACTGTCTCCCCACAATTATTGTATTTTCCAAGATTTTTTTCCCGTTGGCTGTTTCTTCCACCACAACCTCTAGTTCTTGTTTGCTCATTTTATTAAACACTTGGTTTGATGTTTTCCCCCATTTGGCTCCTTTGATTTGATTAAACTGAATAACGTAAATAACAGTTAATACAAATTTAAAATGTATCTCATGTCATTTATGTGGAAAAATGCACTGTAGCCTACGAAAGAAAACAATGAAAATTAACAATAACAATAAAATGATTAAGATTATCTTAAGAGAATATTTGAGTTGAATTTTTTTGAGAATTGAATTTCAGAATATCTTATGGGCTTCTTAGTGTTTGTCTTAAGAACCATTACAGGTTTATTCCTTAGAAGGTTTTCGTGAATCTGACCCCTGACTTCCACCTCTAAAAGATCCTTCACAGAAAGTTATGAAGTTATAAAGAAAGAAGTCGAATGTATTTCTTATAACACTTTCATGGTGAAGCATTTTAAGGCGAAGCAGTACCCAAAGAAAACTTGCTTCTTCAGCTGAATACAAACAAGTAAAAAAGGCAATGTGTGTGTTGTAGACATCGCTAATTCTGGTTCCAGTCACCAGCACTGTAAAATCCAAGTCTGTAAGTGTCTCTAGACGCATTTCGCATCAAACCACTCTGTATCATTTTCTTTACATTTTAAGGACTGAATTACACAAAAATCTGTGGAATTCTCCTTTAACAAATGATATATTGTGCTGCCCTGATACTTATCTAACAACGTGTTTGTTTGCATGTGAATCCTTCAAGCCAATTTGCCTGAAGCGGAGAGGCTCATGCTTGGCATGTGCTGCCAGAGTGACCGGCCGGCAGTTTGGAAAGCCATGTACTTTGAGTGTCTGAGCAGTGGAAAGCACTTTCTGGAGCAGGTGCTGGTAAGTGCACCCAATAGAACAGGCAGTATCTCTTTGTATAATGTACACTACACTGACACTAGTACCCCCTTCTCCATTTAACTGGCCGTCTTTCACTTCTCTTTGGGGGAATCCCCAGATCAGTCTCAGTGCTAGTACCCTACTAACTAAAGTGAAGTTGGTTCTATTGCCTGTTTCGTTTTTGCGACCTTTCAGCATTTAATTCTTCGCTTTATTTTTTTATTGGTTTTCAAGTGTCAAGCAAAAGCAGACACAGACAGTTTGACACAAAAAATAACCCCCCTTGTCACCTTGTTCCAAAACTACATAAGTAAACTGATTTGATGAAATCTAGGATGGAGGGAAAAACTATTAAAAAACCGTTTCACACAATGGCTGCGTTCACATTACAAGTCTCATTGCTCAAATACAGTTTTTTGCTCAAATCTAACTGAGTGTGAACCATCTGACATGATGGTTCTCACTCGTTTAGGTCAGTGGTTCAAATTTGTCACTAATGTGAACGAAGCAGCGTCCTGAAATGACCCACATGCGCACATCCTACTCCGTAACGTCACGTTAATGAATCACGTGCATCATCAGCACAAACTAACGAGCAGAACGAGCTTCACTGAGAAGATAATTAACTCTGATCAGCTCTCAGCTTCATTATTAGAGCGAGACGAAGGAGAAAAAGGTGAGATGAGCTGCTTTTCCACCGTTCACAGGCTTTAATGTCTGTTCGACGCTGCTGCCATGGTAACGCTGAGTGATGGTCACGCGCAGTAGAAAAAAAGCACATGAAGTCCGATCTGAGCGTCACATTAAGGTTGCACGGCCACAAATCGGATCCGATCTAGGACCACATATGAAAGTGACTCAGGTCGGATTTGAAAAGATCAGATTTGTGTCCACACAGCCCTGAAATCATCAGATCTGAGTCACATTAGGGCAAAAAATCAGATTTGTGCCACTTCAGCCTGGTAATGTGAACGTAGCAAATGTCATAGGTTCACAGGTAGTGGGGAACATAAACCCAGTTGTTGAAGATGCATGTACATTATGATTATATGATATTAGTATTCCTCAACTTCAGTTTCATTAGTAGGACACTGTGTGTCCAGAACGATGAACAGGACAGTAGATGAGTCTGTAGTGACTGTGACAGCTGTAGTGCGCTGAGATTTAAGGTAATATAAAATTAGCATCTTGAATGCGTCACTGTTGGCACTGTTGGCACAAGGCAAGTAATTTATCAATAACTTACTATAAATAGATAATTGTTACATATTATTTGTTAGTGAATAACTGTATTCCCAATAAACTTATTGTCTGGTGTCTCGTATAGTATTTTGATTAACACTGTATATGTTGTTATTGAATAATGTGTTTGAAGTAATTCCAAACTTTTGATCTTCAGTGTATATAATTTACATATCATATAGAAATGTTCTATACCATAATAAATAAAATAACATAATAATAAAAATAATATTCAGTTATTTTTGCTGATTTGTAAGTCGTTATAAGACAGAGGCCAATTTAATGGTAATAAAAACAATAATAAGAAAAAAGTGCAAAATAATTTGTTTTGTCCTTTTTTCACAGTTTCTTTGGTCATCTTTTTCTGCCTGTTTTATTTTTTTTGTGTCTATATTGTAATAAGGTCTTGCTTTGTTTGTAGGTAACTGGGCTTGACCTCATCAAGAGGGAGGAGTTTTCTAAGCTGGAGGCATTACTGAAGGCGGAGTTTCAGCCACTGTCCCGCCTCTTGCTCTTGCTGGGTTGGAAGCACTGCCAGAGCCTCGACTCCGCCCAGATGCTCCTCAGCACTCTGCACAAACAGCAGGTCAGAGAAATATGTCAGAATGGTTGTTATAAGACAGTTATTAAGTGTTATAACTTGCCCCTGATGGCTGCATGAACCATGAGATAACTTTAAATCTGAACTGCTCAGTAAAAAAAAATAAGTGTATATCACACTTTATCATTTCCAGTTTCCAGTTTGTATTTGTCAACCTTGTGAGACAGAATTTGCGAGCTGTAAGTGCTTTTTTGTCAGACTCATTTCTGATTTGGGTAAAACCAGATTTGCTGAACTGTATTTACATTTGAGCGCCTTCAAGTGGAAAGTGGATACAGTGCTCTATTTTGTTCAGACAGCTGAAATACTTAAATCAATATTTCCAAAACTTGAGAAACTGTGTGCTTTGAAAAAATAATCTCCAGGAAGGTTTGTGTGAGAATTGCAGTCTTACGTAACTGCTCCTAGACGAAGCCACTTTAAAGCAGCTCTCTCTTCTGATCCACAGCCTACAGTTTACCTGTTTAAAATACAGCCTAGTTCAGCTGCTGTTTGGCGATAAATCGTCATGAATGGCTGAGATAGAAATCTAGTTTAATACAGGTTCTTCGTAAACTCTGGACAGTGATTCTGTCACGCTGTCGTTGACTGGCCTGATCTGATCCCTCCCCACCTCCCTCTCTCTCTCTGTGTCTCTCTCACCCCCCTCTCTCTTCCTCCCTCTCTCTCTCTCTCTCTCTCTCTCTCTCTCTCTCTCTCTCTCTCTGCAGGCCCAGGCTAATGATACGGTACTTAGCGAGTTTGCAAATATTTTCTCTTCTCAGTTAGGGGTCCTGGAGTGGTGTGTCCAAAACAACCCGTGAGTACAACACATACACACTCAGTCATACTGAAGGGAGATCCGCAGTGCCTCTACTGCAGGGGTGTCAAGCTCAATCACTGAAGGGGCCATATTAAAAAATCTCAACAAATCTGTGGGCCAGCTGTGGTTTTAATTTCATTTTTACTTAACATTTTGCTATGACCCCAACTGGCCAGTGTGTAAAATATACAAAAACAGCAACAGCAAATGAACTCTGAAATAATGAACACTGATAATTTTAAATAAAAACAAATTATATATACAGATTTTAAAACAAATGTATATATTGTTTAATATAAAACAATAGGCTGGATTATCTGCAGATAACTGTTAAACCTCTTTAAGTGTCCCCAGGAGGTAGTTTTTTTAAACCGCCTATTTGCTTGAACAAGACACCAGGCATCTTTTATTTTTGTGTTACTGCTGGTCAGTGCGCACATTATGTTGCAGTGCATGCTGGGAATTGTAGTGCAGTTAATGGTGAAACGGACTAATATTAATAGAAAATTGAAATAATTTCGCGGGCCGAAAAGGATTGTGCCATGGGCCTGATTTGGCCTGCGCGCCTTGTGTTTGTTACATGGGCTCTACTGTGTGGGTTTAAATGGTCTTCTTACAGTATTATTTAAAACTAGTGCTCTATTCAGTTTACACATTGTATTTCAGTTTCTTACTGTCATAATTTGTTTGCTATTTTTTTTCCAATATGTTAAACCCAGCAAATAAATAGAGATTTTGCATTTACAGAAATATGTCATATTTAAGTGTATTTCCTTTAGATGTGTTATCTAAACTTATTTTCACTTAGAAAATCAAGAAAACATGTTCATTGATCCATGTTGTTTAAAACACTTGTATACGACTGTAGTAGCCTGTTAGAATTTAAATATATTTTATTTATTGACCTGTATATTATGTTTCTAAAGAATATGTGAGTAAAATGTTTAAATAAAGTCACTATTTTTAATTGGCATGAGGGTAGTATTAACCACTCTCTTTATTTACTGTGCATGGTTTAGTTCAAACTCAACCACTAAAAAAGGCCATATTAAAAAACCTCAACAAATCTCTGGGTGAGCTGTGTTTTTATTTTATTTTTACTTAACATTTTGCTATGAGCCCAACTGGCCATATTCAAAATATGTCAAAACAGCAAAATAGGCACTGAATACTTAATATATTCAGAAATTAATTTAAAATAAAAACAAATTGTTTATATGAAACAATGGGGTACATTAGCTACAGATAACTGCTAAACCTCTTTAAGTGTCCCCAGAAGGGAGCTTTTCAAAAACTGCCCATTTGCCTATTATCTTTTCTTTTTGTGTCACTGCTGGCCCTTAGACTGTTATTGGAGGAAGGGACTCAGAGTGCACATTATGATGCAGTGCATGCTGGGGACTGTAGTGCAGCTCAGGGTGAAACGGGCTTGTTATAATAGAATATTAAATTAATTTTGCGCGCTGAATAGGATTGTGCCACGGGCCTTATGTTTGACTCATGGGGCCTAGTTGTAACAGTGTGTAAATTAACCCTGCCTTATGGAGGCTGTACTTTAGCCTGGCTAGCTTACGCTGTGAGTTAAAACAGTTTAGGAGTGAATAAGAGTTATTTCTGTGACTTCTGTACACAATTCGGTAATCAAAGACACATATAATAAACATTTTTTAAGTTGAATCTTGAGAAATATCTTTCAGATTGTTGGAAATATTTGCAGAAAAGCAAAAGCACATTCTACTTGAACCTGTTTCACTACATTAACGTCTGTTAGATTCCGCCCTGCATTAGTTTGTGCCCTGCACTCCTGTACTTACTCTTCCACATGTCCAGCTTCAGCTAGTGTTTTGCTGACTGGTCTCATTTCCAAATCCTCAGGCTTCAGGCCTGGGTTCATAGTGTAATCTCTGCAGTGCTGGCAGGGTCACTCCTTACTGTGCATTATACCACTCAGTTAACGGTCACATGGCTGCAGGGTCTTGCGAGTGATTAGTGTTCTCCTCCAAGCGCATTGAAATGATTTGCTTTAACAATTATATGTAGAAATACTTCAATTGTGTATCTGTTTGTATGAACAGAGGGATATCCCATGAGGCCTTGCTGTCTCAGTTGCATGCTCTGGATCACCACTCTGCTCTCTACGTGCTGCATTCTCTCACTCCTTTGGCCCAGTATGAAGAGCGGAGAGTGCTGGAGCTACTGCAAGCTGCAGGTACCGCATGCATTTTATATGCTGTATTTGTTTCCACATAAAAGCCAGTTTAATCATGAATTACGTACATATACATATATGCATGTAATGACCTACATGTAATAGTATGTCCCATATGCATTACATATGTGTAATTACCAACGTGTAGTATGTCCTGTATGTATTATAAGTATATTGTCCCTGTCAGGACCGAACCGTAAATCTAAATGGCAACTTCACAGAAAGAAAAAACATTGTTAATTTTTAATGGAGGTCAATCGAGCTAGATTTTTTCCAAGTAATTTTGGACCATCTCTATTTGTCCATTACTCATGAAAGAGCGACGCAGTGTAAAGGGTAGCTATATATGTGTGTGTGTGTGTTTGTGCCACTGACAGTCAGAAACTCTATGACCCCCCCCTTTGAATTGGATTGTGATTGGTTCCTAGGAGCCTCACGGTTGTAAAAATATGGCGCATTGAAATCAGATGAATCTTGAAACACCCTGTGTGTGTGTGTGTGTGTGTGTGTGTATACATATATATGCGCCATATTTTTACACGTGAGGTCCTAGGAACAATCACATCCAATTCAAAGGGGGGGTCATAGAGTTTCTGACTGTCAGTGGAAGAGGCCCACTTCAGTCTGAGAGTAGATGAGACCCCTGAGCAGAAAGCTGTTCTGCGTATGTCCACTTTACAGAAAAGTGAATCCGTCATAACTGTACAACGTGATTTTCGTGGGCAGTGAAGCTCCAACAGCTCAGAGTGTTGTGTGGTACAACAGTTCCAAGAAAAATGTTGTTTATGTATAGAGAAGAGCACAGGGCGACCTTGTGTTTCTGATGAAAATCGAGTATGGGATGAATTTGACTATGGCGTTGATGTTGTCTGTACAGCTGGAGGAGGTTCATATTGAGCACTTGTAAAATTACATAATAAACTTTATGCTCAATTAAACCATTTACAGTGTACTGCACTGTTCTGCAGTATATGTATGTAAATATATATATGTGTGTATACGCATATATACATATACTATAACAGCTTCTGTTCTTCTGGGAAGCTTTTTTTTGCTCGTTCATCCAGAAGAGCATTTGTGAGGTCAGACACTGATGTTGCATGAGGGTCTGGCTCACAGTGTTTGTGCTGATGTTGATGCCAGAGGAGGTTTGAACTCTGCGGTTATTGATCAGCAGAGCGTTGGTGACTTTTATGCTCTATGCTCCACAGCATTCGGCGACCTGCTCTGTAACTTTATGTGGTCTGACACTTTGTGGGTGAGCTGCTGTGGTTAATAAACGCTTCCACTTTTCAAAAATACCACTCACAGTTGATTGTGGAAGATCACCGAAGAAGAAATTTTGCAAAGTGGCTTTACAGCACCACGCTTTCATTCAGTGATCTCTTTAGAACGACCCATTCTTTCACAAATGTGTGTAAAGGCAGGCTGCATGGCTAGGTGCTTGATTTAGTACACTTGTGGCAATGAGACTGAATGAAACCTGATTTTAATGACGAAGAGGTGTCTCCCAGTACTTCTGTCCATATATTATATGTATGCATATATAACTTTAGGGACAACAAAGAAGTTTTTTCATTTCGGTTATTTTAAAATAAAATATGGAAACCATTTCGTTGGTCCTGTAGTTCCTCTGGTTGTACCTTAAAGTAGAGGCATTTATGTCACAGTGTTTACTCCAGTGCTTTCCTAGCATTGCCTAGCCTCCCAGAATATTTATATTGTTATGTTAAATAGAGGTAAAACAAAGCAGTAAAAATATTACTAATACATGTTCATATGGCCATACTTTAAAGACGCTTTTTCGATTGTTTTGCAGGAGACCCTTCGCTGGAGGACATTCAAAACAGCTCTGTACAGCGGAACGTCACCCTCTTCAGAGGTTTCTGTGCCATGAAGTATGCCGTCAGTGCCGTGTGTGTGAACGCACACTCGCACGCCAGCTGCTCAGACTGCGGTTCACTGCGTGCACAGCAGAAGGAACAAGCTCAGGAGGCCCAGGCAGCTGAAGGTCTGTGCACTCAGTGCTGAGAGAGGTTATTTTTAGAAAATGGAAATGTATTTTCTTATAAATGCACATTAATGGAGATGTCCACGTTAATTTGGGAGAATTTCTAGGACATGTTAAAGCGAAAGTTTAGCCAGAAATAAAGTTTACACAGTTTCAGATGGAGTCAATCAGCCAAGACATATTCGGTGTCTAAAGTTTGCTTCTTTAGTTTAGCGCTAGAGATACAAGGCTACTGTAGCTAGCGAGTAATGGAAGCTTATATCCCATCAGTCAGCCTGAATCACCACACACTTGCTTCAAACCATGTGGAGTTGTTTAGCAAGTCTTCTAGACCTGCTTACAAAATTCAGGCATCAAGAGAGCTGTTACTACTGTGTTTAGCTAATTGATGCACATTTTTAATGGTAGAAATCTATACATTTTTATTAAGTTATTACTTTAAATTAAGCCAGCTGTGAACTCTGTGTTAACAGCAGTTTTATATGTTTACAGTATGTGTTACAGTATACAATAAAGATCATCTAGATATACTACTACAACAAAGACAACAAAAGGATGACGTTCTGCTTGTGTAATCAATTCGCACCCTCTGTTTTTTGCTTTTCTTAATTAATTAATTGATTTCTCTTTTTGGTCAAAACTAGTGACAAAATTGTGCCTTGAAAAATTTGCCAGCATGTCTCATTGGAGGGCCCTTATCATGAAAAATTAAATTTTCCTCACTTGTGTTTAAAGAAGAGTTTGATGTCTTATGTATCAAAACATACGGTTCACTTTCCAGTCCATACAGTCTGTTTACATATGGAGACGAAGCTGCAAAAGCAGCCTGTTTTAAATTTTGGTGATGTCACCCAAACCATCACATTTACATATATCCACCTATTTAGCCTACAGCAGTTTGGCCCCGCCCATTCATATTAACATGGAAACACTATGTAGCCAATCAGAAAAGAGGTAATTTACTAAAACATTTTTTAAAGACACGCTAATGAAAACAGATTGTTAAATTAGTTATTATGGGGAAAGAGAGGTTAAAAAATGGTCATGTAAATATGAAACATGACTGTTTTTGGTATATAGACCTACACAAACATCATAAATAAAGTATACAGTATTTGTTTTAAAAATAAAATTTACTTTAACTTCTCTCCTCTCTTTCTAGGACACTCCTCACTGTTCCAGCATTACCTTTCAGAGTGCCAACTCTACCTTGAAGCAGTTCCTGCAATGTTCCGTTTGGAGCTCATGGAGAACATCTTTTCTCTCCTCTTTCTGTCTGACGCCGACTTCAGTCACCACCCAGAGCCGTGTGGTACCTGCACAGTGACCCAAAACAGTGCCTTTGCAGAGACTGAGCAACAGAGCACCAGCGATGAGAAGCTCAAGGAGGACAGCAGTTCAAAAGCAGAAAAGGAGGACAGGTCAGCAGGGCTGAAGGATGAGAGAAAAAGTGATGGAGAGCCAGAAACAAAGAATGCGCTCCCTGAGCTGAGCCACCTGATTTCTGGCTGCCGGGGCTTTCTGCTGGACGTGTGTGGGATGGAGGGCATCCTGCGCCTCCTGAGGGAGGGGTTGGAGGGGGTGTGTGCGCTCGGGCAGGTGGACGGCAGAGCGCTGGGCGCTGAGGCGGAGCTGGCGGAGAGCCTCGGCTGCTCTGTTACCGTGGATACGTTAAGCGCCCGCTTACAGAGGCTGTCCAAACGAACGGCTGAAGCGAGTTGGAGGCTGCAGATCATCACCAGTAACCAGGGCAACGGGATGGGTGAGTTTTGCCAAATAGGGTTAAACAGATTTAATTAAAGGGCTTAATTTAAGAGTTTGTTCCATATTTTAGTCTGCACTGCTCTTTAAACGAGGCACAATACAGGGCATCCAATTGCAACAGAGCTCATTTACATAAATCAGTCTTAAAGGGGCAGTAACAAAAACCATTAGTGTATATAAAACCACACAAATGTTGTTGTAAATGGACTGTGGTGGGGAGGGGGGATACAAGAAACTGTAGAATATGAGCCCTTATGATTTTAGTGTTCACAAATTTTGTAATACATTTGTATGTCTTTGTGTTTGTAGGTGGGTCGGTTTTGCCCTCCCCGGGAGTGCGTTCGGCTCTGTCTCTGAGACGCAGCAACAGCAGTGGGGTTTCTAGTATTAGAAGGAAGAAGCGACGGCATCATCATCGCTCCGAACGACATATCTCTTCTGAACGACAGAATGGAGAGGTCAGCACCAGCACTTCAGGTGAGTGTGTACGAATACACAATAGGGCTGCATGATAAATTATATTTTTATCATTATTACTGTATTAATTTTCCTGAAAAACAGTTTAGGCTGAGAATGGTTTTGTGTAGCTGAATAAATGGTCAGTTTTCTGATGAATGCTGTGTGTGCAGATGGTGGCAGTGCTGTGGCGGTGTCTTTGGAGCAGGACGGGTGTGGGTGCGGAAGCCCTCACAGCTGGCTGGTCCCCGCCATGCTCTCCCCACCTGAGTCTTTACTCATCTCTTGTATCCGCAAGGGCAACTACGTGGAGGCCCACCAGGTGAGGAAGATCTTTCAGGCCTAGTGACCAAATGTGTTGTATGTGTACATTTTTACACATTATATTATATGAGTGGGTGGGTTCTCAGGTTTAGGCTTCAACTTCAAAAAGTCTTTTAAAATATGTATTATTACATATTATATATATGTATATATAATGTATCGCTGCTGTCAGAACGAAACCTTGCATCTCCATTTTTGTCGTTTTTCAGTTTTTGACATAATTTGAAAATGCCTGTTGTCCTTTACATTGTGTGTGAATTTTATGATGAATGGACCAAAAGAAATGGCCCAAAATTACTTTCAAAAAAGTCTGATTACAATGATTTACATTAACAGTGAACTGTTTTATCATTTTGAAGATACAAGGTTTTGTTCCAACAGCAGCAGTATGTGTATATAGACTGATCAGGCATAACATTCTGACCACCTCCTTGTTTCTATGCTCATTGTCCATTTTATCAGCTCTACTTACTATATAGGTGCACTTTGTAGTTCTACAGTTACAGACTGTAGTCCATCTGTTTCTCTGATACTTTGTTAGCCCCCTTTTACCCTGTTCTTCAGTGGTCAGGACCCCCATGGACCCTGACAGAACAGGTATTATTTGGGTGGTGGATCATTCTCAGCACTGCAGTAACACTGACGTGGTGGTGGTGTGTTAGTGTGTGTTGTGCTGGTATGAGTGGATCAGACACAGCAGTGCTGCTGGAGTTTTTAAACACCTCAGTGTCACTGCTGGACTGAGAATAGTCCACCAACCAAAAACATCCAGCCAACAGCGTCCTGTGGGCAGCGTCCTGTGACCACTGAGGAAGGACTAGAGGATGACCAAAACAAACTGTGCAGCAGCAGATGAGCTATCGTCTCTGACTTTACATCTACAAGGTGGACTGACAAGGTAGGAGTGTCTAATAGAGTGGACAGTGAGTGGACACAGTGTTTAAAAACTCCAGCAGCACTGCTGAGTCTGATCCACTCAGACCAGCACAACACACACTAACACACCACCACCACGTCAGTGTTACTGCAGTGCTGAGAATGATCCACCACCCAAATAGTACCTGCTCTGTGAGGGTCCATGGGGTTCCTGACCACTGAAGAACAGGGTAAAAGGGGGCTAACAAAGTCTGCAGAGAAACAGATGGACTACAGTCTGTAACTGTAGAACTACAAATTCATTTTACATATATGTAACTATATATATGTATGAATGTATGAATGTATGACCCCCTGACAAGGTATAATATAAATGTGTGCGTGTTGTGTAGGTGATGCTGATGTTTGGGCTGGAGAACGCTTCGTGTTCTGGGGAGCTTTTCTTCATGGAGCGATACCGCGAGGTTCTGGCTGAGCTGGCTCAAGTGGAGCAGAAGATTGAGAGTCAGTCACTTTCTTCATCTTCATCATCCTCAGAGGCCCTGGGGTCAGTGGGGGTCACAGGGCCTGGGCGGAGCCGACTGGGCAGCAGCAGCAGATCCACCTTGCAGAGTATCGGCAACGCAGCTGCAGCAGGTACACATGAGAAAACACACAGTGCAATGACTGACGCACAACTTACGCATCACTGTATTATCTTTTTCACTCCTTTCAAATTTGGGTGTGACAGGCTGCTGAACTGAGCTGAGCAAAAGCATTGTAATGTTCATCATTTTGCATAATAGAGGGAGTTCAGACGATGCAGGGCAATATTAACTCAAACATAAATCATGATATTTTCCATTGCCACAAAAAATAAACCAATATAATATTCTGTTATAAAAAAAAAACTATTAATAATTACTACAACTACTCTTGTGGTGTATTTGGCCTTTTTTTGATGTGCAAATCATTCAGTTGCTTTTACCATGATGTTTTTTTTTTTTTACCTACGTCCCCAAGTTCAAATATCTTTATATTAGTCACTATATTACAGTGAAATTCTTCACAGATTTGCTCATCAGCTGTAGATCAAGCTCTGCTCTTTTCCCTCGTCTGCAGGCATGGCGTTTTACTCCATCTCTGATGTGGCTGACCGGCTGCTCAGCACGGCAGCTCGCCCGCTGCCCTGTCTTGAGGAGAGTTACTGGGTCTCTCGCCCTCTCTCGGACTCCTCCGATCATTTACGCCCCCTGTTGGAGGAGCTGAGTCCCGCAGGCATGGCCGCCTTTGACCTGGCCTGTTGCCAGTGCCAGCTGTGGAAGACCTCACGGCAACTGCTGGAGACGGCCGAGAGGAGACTGCATGCCTCACTGGAGCACAGAGGTGTGTTCACTTCAAAGCACGTTCCCCCAAAACGCTCCAATTTAAAACCCCAACAGTCAAACCCTGAACAAAGCTGGAGTGAGAATGGCTGTAAGAAGAATGTTGCCATACTAAATAACATTAAAGGTGTAGTCCCATTTTTAAAAATGTCTGCAAAATTCAGTATTTCTGATGTTAATAATCTACTGTTAACACCACTGGGAAGAGTTCTGACTCAAATGTCTTTCTGAATGTCTTTGCTTGCAGCTTAACGGTTTAATTATGCAGACATTTTGAGAAATTGGTGGCACTCTCAACAATATAACATTGTACTTTGTACAGTGCAACTCCTTGTGGGTAATTAACATTTTGGTGTGTTAATTTGGAAGGGTGAAAAATGCATGCATTCATGAGATCCTGCTGGTTTGGGTTCATGTCAGTTTATGGTGCTTATGTACAAGAACACCACAGCTGGGGGAAAAGACTGTTGACACTAAATAGACAGACACTAATATTGTTAATATACGTCAGATTAAATAAATGTATGGTTACCTGATCGTTGACTAGTAATAGACCAGTGGACTCTAATGTATGAGAAATTGAAATGTTATGGCAAGATTGTAACTTGAATATTGTCATATCATAAAGCTGTATTTCACCACCAGGTGTGAGAGTGGATCCAAAGCTTCTTCACTGTGAAGGAATCCGCGGCTTTCCTTCTGTTCTGCAGCAGATGAGCAAAATTCTCAGCAGGACGTCAGTCGGAAAAGGTCCTCCTAAATCAGGTAAACAAGCTGTTCTCTTTCATGCACAACACACACATGCTGTCTTAATAAGGGGTGTGAAATGCATGCTGAAGGTGATGATTCACCTGCAGTGATTTTGATTTTTGAGTGTTATTGTTGATTATAATCGGTCTGAATAATGTTCAGTAAATTATGCACTCGTCTCCAAACTTACAATACCTACAATACTGTGCAAACGTTGTAGGGACCTATATACATAATTTAAAATAATGTATATTGGAGGCGGGTGCATTTGTGCTCTTAAAGATACCATGTATCCATGTAAGCCATGTAGAATAAGGGCATTTAAACAAAAATACAGAATTTCTTATTTTCCAAAAAGTTGTTGTCTTGTGAGCTTGTTTGAAGAGCAAAGCCATTAGAATGATTTGTTAAATTCTTACAGTACATTAGGTTTTTATTTCTTCTTCCTCTTCTTCTTTTTATTATTTTTATTATTATGTTAATGTTATTTGTAATTATTCGAATGATTTTTTCTGAGCAAATACACAAACTGACATGACAGCTTTTTAAATCTTATTTTCTTAGATGATTAAAACATTTGCACGGTACTGTATGTATTCATGTACTTTCTGTATTCCACTGCTGTGTAAATATTATAGTTCACTTTGAGTATTTTTAAAAATAATTGAATTGTGGTGAAATTTGAGATTTCGTGGTGGACTGAATGGATTCCTAAAGAACTGTAATCAAATGTAAGTCAAACATTTACAGTCGTGGTGCTAATATACTCTCCCTATATCCTTCCCATCTCTCTAGACTGTAACGGAGAGGATGGTGTGGTTTTGACCCCTTTTGGCTGCAGTGCTCAGGAGGTGCTGCTCTGTTGTTATCCGTCGTTAACCGAGGAAGGCATTGCTGCCCGTCTCATGCTTGTCCAGCGCCTAGAGGTCATTCTTCAGACCCTGACCTCTGCCACAGAACTGGCTGGTAAGAGCTCAGAACCTGCTCCTGATCTCAGTGCAGTAAGCTTCTTCATCTGCACTTTACAGCAGTGTTTTTATGTAAAATGTGTAAAAATGCATCATAGCACGTCTGTCTGAAAGTGACAATTTCCATTTTGGGAAGTTACTAATATACAGTAAAATATCGCTGCTCAGTTTTTGACTAAAATAATAAATCTCTGGCAATTTTTATTGTAAAAAACCCCCTAAAATAGCAAGTTATATTGTTTTTATTGTCTGTTTTCCTCTGCTATACTGTATATTCCACAGTTTTCCAGTTGTTTACTCACTGTATTTTTAAAAATTGTTCTGAGACAAACTAGAATAATTGTCACTTTGTTGAAAGTTGAGATTTTATGATGTATAGAATTGTTTGTAAACGGATCACAATAGAATTGAATTGTTATGCAGTCATAGGTTTACACCCACGACTATGTTTTGTGAAAGTACATCATTCTAAGGTGTCACACAAGCTGTATTAAGGCATTTTGTATGCAAAAGTTTGTGTGCCCCTGGTCAAATCACGCACACACACACACACACATCTTCCAAACCGCTTATCCTTCTGGGTTGCGGGGGGTGCTGGAGCCTATCCCAGCAGTGATTGGGCAGGATACAGCCTGAACAGTCCGCCAGTCCATTGCAGGGCAGGTCAAGTTACATGTTTTGTTGATTTTCTAAGTGAAAGTAAGTTAACACATCCTCTACAGAGAACACACCTCTGCACATTTTAATGCACAAGTACTGTATTTATGTGATGGCACTTTATAATGTATGTTTTAATAAAATAGATATTTTCTACTGAAATTTGTAGAAAAATGTCATATGTAATGTGTTCCCTGTAGGGAATGTGTTAACCTGTTTTCACTTCGAAAGTCAACAAAATGTTATTTGACCACGGGTGTTCAAACTTATGCATTATGTTAAGCACCGCTGTTAGTTTTCCTGTGTCTGACTGTGTTTTGTGCTGCAGGTGAGTGTCTGTCTTGTAGCCATGTGCTGGCGTCTCTGCTGGAGCAGGTGGGGCTGAGGCCATCAGAACTCGACTCTCACCCCATACGCTCAGCCATGAAACAGCTACTGCGCTCGCTGGACCAGCTGTGCCCGTTTGAACTGGACAACGCCACCTGCAGGCCGGACTACATGCGCAGCTTCCTGGATTACATCAACATGCTGGCGTCGGTGCTGGTCCGCAGCCTTGGCTCTGAAGGCAAGAGCTGGAGATATTTTTAATGTGTATTATTAAGATTGACAGCTAGCTCAGTGATTGAGCCGCAATGGAGTAAAAGACTGAGCTACTGCAATATTTTCACCCCTAGGTGAACACCTAGTGTACTTCTTCTAAAATCTGCTGTTCCAGAACAGTGAAGATTGTCAGCATGTGTTCCCCAACAGTTTAAAGAGCAATGCCATTCATTCCACTTAAGAGTTTTTATGGCCACTAGTCAACTGTGATGTTATCATGATTGGGATATACCTGGAAAGACACTGCCCACAGCTAATAGTAGCTAAGATACCAATAGCATAGTAGAAATATTAGCTAGCTAGATAGTAGGGATGTATGCAGGTACTCGAGCAATTGATTAACTGGTTGAAGGGCCAGGATTTGAATACTGAAATCACAATTTGAGTATTTACATTTGATCACAGGAAGACAGAGAAAATAAACAGGCTAATAATTCAGTAAAACTCCAATTTTTATGTTTTAAGAGAAGTGAAAGTACATTTTACACAATAATATAAAAAGTATTTAATGTAATATATAAAGGTTTTGCTCGTATTTGTAAATATATTTTGTAACATTTTCCTACTTGAAAACGTGAGTGCCTGAACATGGGCACGCCACCAAGAACGTGACCGAGATGGCCGAGATAGCAAAGCCTTTATCGCTAAACAGGCTAGGCTCGTGTCCAACGTTTGAAATATATTTCCCTGAGAAACATATTGGCTCATTGTCCGCTGAAGAGAAAAAGATATGAGAAGATGATGATTCTCTTTCAGCATCCAGTGTTTAGTATTTTTTTGTATTTTTCTCATAATTCTGCAGTTGGTCTAGGGTGAAACTATAAACAGACACACATGGAGTTGGTTTGTTCATTTTGAAAAGCGTCAACTCTTTATTTTACGCTGTTAGATTTTCTTGGTAGATAAGCAACATTTTGGTTTATCTATTTGTAGAATAAAACAGAGATCCTGAGGGAGTTATTTGAAAAATAACATTTTTCCCCACTTGCTGTGTTTGTTCAGATCAGAGTTTGGAGGTGAAGCTGGGAAATCCTCTCCTCGTCCTGCTGCAGTCCCCCACCCAGCTGCTCTCACACCTGCTCTTCGACAGGCAGGTGACACCTGACAGGTACATCGTATGGACTAGTTTTATTTTATTGACTTGTCTGTGACAGGACAGGTATAAATCCGCAGGGGGTTTGTACATATGGAGCATTTGGTGAATTTATTTATTTATTTATTTATTTATTTTTTTTTAATGATTTTGACGATATTAGTTTACTTGTGTGTTTTTTCGTAGCCTTCCTGTTAAAGTACACGCCCAGCTGAAGTGGTGGTCCACAAGTTCGTGCATGCAACCATTTCATTGTCCACAATATATGCTTGTTAGTCTAGTGAAATTTGATCTAAAATTGTTTATAAATGTATATTAAATTGAATGTTCATTAAATAGAACAAATATTAATTTACTATTGCAAATAAAAAGAAATGATGAAACCCACACTAGATTTGCCATGTCAACACTGTTAGAAATAAAGGTTCTGTGCAGGTACGTTTTTCGTTCATCAAGGTACAAACAATGTAACTGTTCCCTCAAAGGTACAACAGTGGTTTTAAGGTCGAATAGTGAGGCTTAAATAAGTTTTTCCAGGTGAAAAGTTCGAATTTGTACCTTTTCATAACCGAATGTTTTAAAACAGAACAGTAAAATAAAAGCCTGGAGACGAGACGGGGTGTGTGGAGTCAGTACAGCTTAGAACATATCATTTCAGTGGATTATGGTTCAGTTATGTTCCCTGACTAAAGGTACTGAGATGTACCCTTTGAGGGTCGCACCCCAGTGACAAGAGGGGAACTGACCCAGTGACAGTTTAGCACCTTTATTTCGGAGAGGGTAGGGAATTCTCATGGCAGCGCACTACAAACGTCAGATAGAACTAATAGATTATTGGCTATTAAAGACAAATAAAAAACTTCTTTGTTCACCAGAGGAGTGAGGTTTATGTTGCACCTGTAAACATCAAACCTCAAAATAAACACATTTGTAAATCCACTTTTACCTGCATTTCAAAGAAAGAGTACCAAGATAAGATATTTGATGTTTCACCTTATCAACATTATTGTTTTTTGTAAATGTATTCTTTTTCCAAAACTGATGCTTGCAACACATTCCAAAAAAGTTGAGACAAAAGCAATTTAAGATTAGAAACCTTTGCCAAAAATTGTGTCGGCGAATAATCCAACAGTTTAAAAACAATTATTTAAAATTTGCACACTTGACGGCGCCTATCATCGTCAAAAGATTCTGAAAAGGTCAAGTCTGAAAACCACAACTGAATGACCTTCTGTCCCTCAGACGGCACTGCATTAAAAATCGACATGCCTCTGTGATGAGTATCGCCAGATGGGCTCCAGAATACTCAAAAACCCATTGTCAATAAACACCGTTCATCATGACATCCACAAATGCAAGTCAAGTCAAGTCAAAGTTTATTTATATAGCGCTTTTTACAAAAGGCGTTGTCACAACGTGGCTTTACAGGAAAATCCAAGTCCGAGACTCAATGAGCAAGAGGAGGAAACCTTGAGAGGAACCAAAACTCAGAAGGGGAACCCATCCTCCTCTGGTCCACACCGGATAGCAAACCAATAACACAAGAGCAATATAGGGCAGAGAATAACTTTTGACTATTAGTATAAGATACAAAAAAGGCAAAAAAGCAGGAGAAGCAATGGCTCTGATTAAATAATTCGAGTCTGTGCAGCAGCAGCATCAGGAGGGTCAGTTCATGCAGATGAGGTTTGCACAGTTAAGACTGTTCTATGCACAGTGAAAACCGTATATCAACAATATCCAGAAATGCCACTGACTCAACTCATCTGAGATGAACTGATGCACAGTGGTACCGTGTATTGTCGTTTCTGATTGTTTATGGAAATAATGGACATCAAGTTCTCCAAGGAAGAAGAGGACCACACAGATTATTGGAAAAAAGTCTGGTTCCATTGACTTGCATTAAAAGTAAAGTAGGTTTTTGCCTTCTCCTATAAAGTTATCATTTTGGAGACACAAGGTTTTCTTCTGACAACAGCGATATGTGAAGACACCATTAATGCTCTTTTTCATGCTTATCTCAGTGTGACGGTGCCAAACCACATTTTTCACACGTTACAACAGCATGACTGCATGATCAGAGAGTGCTAGACTGACTGATAAGGCACATTGTGAAACATAAAATATCACAGTTTTCAGTTTTGATAAAAGAAAAGGTGGTGAAACACAGTGACATGCTCCTGCCCCAACTTTAGTACAACTTCATTTACAGCAAAAACATTCATAAGATAAATTTATATGTATATAAATTGTGTGGAGTGCTGCGCTAGAAGACTAATAGTGGTCCCTTGTCTGTATATGTGTACAGGGTGTTGTCTCTGCTGCGTCAGGAAGGCCTGCGTGTGAGTGTCCAGCAGGTCATAGTGCAGCGCTGCTGTGAACCCCTCCCTCTGTTGGATCCTCGTGCCCCGAAGGTCGCCGGTGTCACCGGAGGTGCCTTCTGTCCAGCCAGCATCTCCTCTCTAATCCAGCAGCATGCACAGGACCGTGCACTGGCCCTCCTTGACCTTTCTCACCTCTCTGAGCTCTCTGACCCTGCCCCGGCCTCTGAGCCCAGCTCTGAATCCGATGTTTCTGTAGAAACAAACCCTTCTACCTCCCCTCCCTCCCCATCTTCATTGTCGTCTTCGTTGTCAGCCTTCCTCCTCACACCGTCGGCTCTGTCCTTCCTTAAGTCTCGCTCTCCACTCGTGGCCTCCCTGGCGTGCCTGAGTGCCAGCCGGAGCGGCGAGGTGGCTCGGGCCGGTCACTCTTCAGGGTGGCCCGGGCTGCCCTCGTATTTCCGGAGTGCCGGGCGCAAAGAGGCGCCGCTGGACGCAGAGCAGATCTCCAAAGAGGCTGAGGCGCTGTTGCGCGAGTTCCCCGTGCTCAGGGCTTTCCTGCGGGATGTGGCCCAGCCAGTGCTCGGCACAGGGGGAGGCTCAGAAGGACTGGGGGCGGCTTTGTGTGGGAAAGCCACAGTAGGGATGCTGTTTTGTGGGCCGCAGGGCGGGACGGGGCAGGCGCTGGCGGCCGAAGCTTTCCAGCAGGCTCTGAATGGTGGAGAACTTGACCGAGCACTGGCCCTATTGGAACTGTATGCGCAGAGCGGCCAACAGGAGGCACTGAAGGACAGGTTGCTTGCATACACTGCACTGGAAGGTAAGAGTTACATCATAGGCTGAGTCGCCAGTTTATTAGATGCACCTGGTCTCTTTTAATGAAATAGTGATTAGGGTCCCTAACATACAGATGTTATCTATATAGCACCCCAGTGTAGGTAATAGGTAATAGTGATTAGAGGACCATTTCTGTTCCCTATATTAGTGTTACATAATAGTGATTAGGGGTCTATTTCAAACACAGCGTGCGTATTTAGCAGGTACTAAAAATATGAAGTTTTTCTTGACTTTTTTTTCTCTTTATGGTACACAGCAAATTTCCAAATCTGAGAAATGAAGTCATGTGAAAAAGTGAAGGAGTTTCCTTCCTTGTATTTGTGCAGGAGACCATGGGACAGAGCAGTTGTTTCGAGTGAAGGACTGGCAGCTTCGCGGCCGTGTGAGTCTGCAGGGTTTGGAGCGCTGGCCTCTGGACAGCTGCCTGGAGCTGCTGCAATACTGCCTCAGTGATTCCAGTCCAGACGAGCCGCTGACACTGCAGCTCCGAAAGAAAAAAAACGAGCTCGACATGTACCACAAGGTCAGCCTCCCTGAGCCTTGCGCCTTAGTTTTAGTTTATACGCAGTAGTTGTGCTCCAGTTACCAATTATTGTTGTCCGTAATTGATTAGTCTGTCGATTGTCATTCGGTTAATTGCCTTCTGTAAGGGCAAAGCCATATTGCCCCTATATCCATTATAGTGTGTGTGTGTGTGTATATTGCTGTTGTCGGAACAAAACCTCTCCAAAATGGTAATTTTACAGGAGAAGGAACAAACCTTCTTTACTTTTAATGTAAGTCAATGGAACCAGACTTTTTTCCAAGTCATTTTGGGCCGTTTCTTTTGGTCCATTCATCATAAAATTTACACACAATATAAAGGGCAACAAGCATTTTCAAATTAGGTCAAAAACTGAAGCACGACAAAAAATAAGATACAAGATTTTTTTCTGACAGCAGCGTTTTATATATATATATATATATATATATATATATATATATATATGTATGTATGTATGTGTGTGTGTGTGTGTGTGTGTGTGTGTGTGTAAGTGATTGCAGCAACACGGGATGATGTGCATGGTGATATTGATGAAACAATCAGTAATGCGGTTGCTTTTATTTATTAGGTATAATTTACAGTGACTTACTCCTAGCATTTCTTTATTTTGTGTTTTCGTGTGTTTTTGTAGATGCTGAACCTGCAGCCGCCATTGGAATGGCGAACGTGGCAGGAGCTAAAGGAGGAGTCCAGGAAGAATCCTGAGTCCATGCTGTCCCTCCTTCTGCAGACGCAGGTCAGTCTCCTTTGCAGCAAACAGTGCTTTTTTGTTGCTATTGTAGATATTTTAATTATTGTGACTTTGACTGCAAATAATTATTTCTGCAATCGATTAATCTTTGCCCTGTTATTTGCCTTGTCGACGAGTAGAACCATTATACTTTCTACCATTTCCCCTCACTCCCCTCATTCTCCCAATAGAAGCTGTATCGCCCTCTACACTTCCTGTATTGTATTGCAGTCTATCAGAAAGGCTGTACGAATCATTAGAGCTTAATTGAAACTAAATACTCTTAAAATTCTGTATTGCAAGGCTTTATTATAGAGTCAGATTTACCAGGTTGTCTTTCCAGGGTTTAGATGGTGCTCTTGAAGCATGTTGAGCACAGCCCTCTAAAGTGATGTGCTCAAGATAAAGCTTGCTTTGTGTGTTTGTGTTCTCAGGAGTTTGAGCTGTGTGCTCAGTGGGTGCAGCTGTATCCTGTCTCAGAGCAGTCTAAACTGCAGCTCCAGACTGAACACCTGCTTCATCTGCTGGAGAAGGGCCGCACAGAGGAGGCCTTCCAGGTAGGAGCGTTCAGTTACTCCACTAGTTAGCCAAATTTGCAGCTTGTATTTTTCTGTGTATAGAGTTCTCTATATAAAGTCATCTGTGAGGTGTAATTTATATATTTGCAGCACTTTTATCATCTTTGTATATTTTTCAAGTGTCATTGTCATTTTTCAAGTTCTTTTTTTCCTCTACATCTATGTATCTGTCACCTGGCTTTCTATCTGATTCCTTACTATCTATTTAAGTAAGTTTTTATCTGTTGTGTGTATGTTAAGCCATTGAAATTTGATGTTTAAGTAGCCATTTTAATTATAGCCTACTTGGCGTCACACTCATCCTGTCATAGCAGGAAAGATCAAGCAAGGAGAGAATAAATCTAGCTCTGTAGATCACTATAACAGCAAGCTATAGAGGAATAACTGGTGGTTTGAGTAGTCATTAAACAGCTGTTAGCATTAGAAGGCTTGTTAATGCAGCTTGTTACAAAAACATTAGCTTCAAGAAACTCTTGAAGCAGCCAATTTTAAATTCATTTTTTGTGACGTCACCAAAAACAGAGCATTTCCAGCTGTTCAGCCTACAGCGGTTTGGCACTGATTATAAGGAGTGTTTCAGCCCCGGCTGCGTTTTGAGCAAGACACATTACAGAACAGCCAATCAGAACAGAGCTAATTTACATATATCACTCTTAAAGAGAGTGTAACAAGAGACAGTGGGCAACACCTCCATACCTCAACCTTATTGACCTCCACTCTCCATATCCCGCCCCTACTAATCCCTACCCCACATACCCCCAACACTACACATATGTAGAAATAGGTTCCAAATTTGTATCATTAATAATTATACAACTAGTTAGACATTTGGTTATTTTAATATAGTCAAATAGGTTGTTGTTGTTGTTATTAATTGATATATTGTCATTATATGTAAATGTTGTTATTGGCATTGTTGTCACTGTTGCAGTGCTTTGGCAATACTGGACCTTACAGTCATGCCAGTACAGCTACATTGAACTTGCACTTGAGTGACAAAAGCAGGCTGTTTAATTCTAAGGGATAAAGATAGGTTGGAAATGGTCCTGTATTGAATGAATTAGAAATGAATTATGACTATATTTGGTGCATAAACCCACACAGATGTGATAAGTGGATAAAAAATGTAGGATGTAAACTTTTACGAGCATCTTGTTGTCCCACCGCCCCCAAAAAACCTTGAAATACTGAATGAAATGCTTTCTGGTGTTCATTTTATATTATTCTACACCAAATAAGCTGCTTTAGAATAAATAAAAAATGTTATTATGATGAGTGTTTGTGTCCATGAAACATAAGGAGTGGACTCGTAGATATAAGTAAATGACCCTCCAGGGATGGGAATTGTAATAGTCGTATTTAAGAAGTGACATTGCTTTTTATCTTTTTTGCTTATTTCTATTCTGTTCTTACTCCATCTGTCTCGCTGTTCTCCTGCGGCAGCTCCTGGAGAGCCTCTCTGAATCGCTGGCTCTGGAGGTCAGCGAGCGTGCTCTGGATCGGAGGCCCGGATTGGCTGCCTGCCACTTCCTGTCTGATTACCTCACACTGCACTTTCAGAGTCAAATGACCCCGGCTCGAAGACGCCACATACACGCCCTGCACCTGGGCTCTAAGGTGGGGGACTGTGTGCTCGTTTCCTGCAGCAACCCATTAGTCGCTGACTAATCAGCTTTTTTGACTAATCATTGCAGCTCTAGAGACTAAGGCCCAATCCCGTTTCACTCCTCGCCACTACCACTCAGAAATAGAGGGGTAGGGCAAAGTGTTAGGGCTACGTGGCCCTTCAAACGAAGGTTTTTTAGAGACTCCAAACAGAGTGTTATGAGGGAAAAAAAGAAAACCCGGCAAGATGGCAGCACAAGAGACCAAAGAAACCCACAAATGTGAGAATTTTCTATGTTAAAGATTCTCATAACCGTTGTATTATCTTAGTTTAATGTCGTTTCAATGTATTATGATCCTGTTTTTCATAACAAGCCTAAATTGCTAGTACGCCAATGTCTCGGTAGCTAGCTAGCTAAATTTCCCGTTCCACCTTAAATGGTGCAGCGGTTCTGATGCCTGAGGTGCCAGAATGTAACTGCTGCACCATTTGAGATGGAACAGGGAAATTCGAACAACATGCTAACGAATAGCTGACTTCAGCTATTAGGGGGTGGCAATAACAAATAATTGCCCCCCCCCTTTGAAAGCATATGATGCCCTAAATGTAACTAAAGCCCAGCAGTGAGGAGCTGAACTTTACCCTCCTCTGCTGTCACTGCAGACTGGCAGGGTCGCCTACAGAGCAGTGCTAGTAGCTGTTAATGAAGTAATGCTCCTTTTTATTTGAGGGTTATTTGAGGGTCCCATTTTGTAGGGAAGACACTACCTTTGTAACTCAGTTCCAAGGGGCAAGGAGACACTCGAAAACAAGGGGTAGGGGTGAAAATAAGAAATGGGACTGGGCCAAACTATTATGTCCAGCTAGTGTGTCCCCTGTGAGAAGTGTGAAGACAGAACATGTTCTCAATACTCATCCTGAACACTGCATTGTGGCCTCCTCAGGTGCTGCTGACGCTTCCGGAAGCTTCTCGGCAGGACTATTTCCAGCTGCTGGCGGATCCTCTGCTCATGCTGGAGCAGCTGCTGATGAACCTGAAGGTAGACTGGGCCTCCACTGCCGTCTCCACCCTCCACAACCTTCTACCAGCGCAGGAGGCCGGCATCACCAACCAGCACATCGACGCACTGCTGGCTGAGTACGGCCGCAAAGCCCTCGACTTCCCCTACGCCCCCCGAGAGTGGTCGCGCAGCGGTAGGTGCAGTTCGTGGACCTGTGTAGAGACAGCCAGGAATGATGCAACCCTGGTCAAATTCCGTGTTTTTGGGTGTCCAAACTTTTGCATACTACTGTATACGACCATTGAAAAGTTTTAAATCATTGTCATATTAATAAATATTTTGTATATAATAGCTTATAAGTAAGCATTATAAACTGGATATAATTTATATAATTATATGTTGTATTCCTTTATTAACAGTTTAGGGAACAATCAATAGTAAATAATAATATACCGTAATTATAATAATAAGTTGTGTTACCTGCCTTTTCTGCCTTAACACTTCTCAAACATGAGGCATTATGGATATTACATTAATAATGTGACCACTCACACAAACACATGTAATGTTTGTGTTTCCAGACTCGGTGATCAGTCTGCAGGACGTTTCTCTGCAGTGTCCAGCTCAGGACAGCTCTCCGTCCTCCCCCAGCCACACGCCACCTCCCTCTGCAGGTCAGCCACAGCAGCCAGACTGCATCTGCTTTGAGAATTAAGAATGTAGGGCTACAACGAACAGTTACCACCATGATCGATTAGTCCATCTACTATTATTTGATTAATTTAAACACATTATGCTTTCTGCTTTTTTTTTCTCTCACTTTGGCCTGTTACAACACCACTATTCCACAGACGTCATGCGACATTTTGTAGTTACCGTCTTGCCAATGTGAGGAGCTTCAGGTCGTAGCAGTTTGTTTTTTTTCACAATCGCCGCTTTTGCACTCTGGCAAACGTAAATGTTCCAGATCTGATACATACTGTCTTAGATACATTTTCCCCAGTAATCTTTGCATCCTTTGAATGACAAAGGGCCAGTCGTGGATGGGGGCAGTCGTGGGCTGGAGGTCAGGGAACCAGCCCTGCGACCGGAAGGTCGCTGGTTTGATCCCCTGAGCCAACAGTAAATGACTGAGGTGCCCCAGAGCAAGGCGCCTAACCCCCAACTGCTCCCCGGGCGTTGTGGATAGGGCTGCTTACCGCTCCGGGCAAGTGTGCTCACTGCCCCCTAGTGTGTGTGTTCACTAGTGTGTATGTGGTGTTTCACTGCACAGATGGGTTAAATGCGGAGGTGAAATTTCCCCATTGTGGGACTAATAAGGGTCACTTAATCTTAATCTTAAAAAACAAGGTTATTAAGTAGTCAAAATCCGAATAATGCTACACACACACTACAAACACGCTAATACTCCTGTGCATTGAAATGACGTTGCATGATAAGTCTCCTATTAAACTTGAACATGAGCTGCTCAAACAGCAGCCTAAAACTGCCAAAGGAGTGTAACCGTATTTGACCAAGGTTGCTGGTTCGTGTGGGGTATTTTAATGAGTGTGGCTGTCTTATGAGGTCAGTTCAGTGAGCAGCAGTGTTAGCTTGCATATAAAATTGTTTGTAATTTGACTCCTTAATTACTTCGTAATTCAAAGGATCCTGTGACATTCAGGTGCAATACTTACACAGGACAAAACATATTTGGTTTTGAGCATTTTTTGTTTACCACAGGGTGTGATAGTAGCAATTTTTTCGAAAATTACATTCATTTTTCCCAGAAAAAAAAACATCTCAGACTCAAAGTTCCTTGATTGGGCATGACTCCAGCTAAAGAAGGACGACAGAGGTCTCTTTGTGTGACAAAATGTTTCGTCTTTTGTGGTGTAAATAAACAATCAAAGCCATTCCTGCAGTTTACTGCAATTTTTCACAGATATAATCTCATCTTCACTTGCTTGTAATGAAGTAAACAGATGCTGTTTTGACTTTTGACCTAAATCTACATCCTCTTTATAATGTAGCCAAATGGTTTCAAAGTAAGAAGTAAATGCTTTTTCTTAGAAATACAGTCCAGTACGTGTGTTTGGCAATAGTTCCACCATTCTAAAGCATATAAAGGACATCTTTGCTAAGTAATGCTTTGACTAAATTTCTTACTAGAAGTCTAGTCTCATTTAACTGCCATTTTTAAACTGCTAAACATAATTTGTACCTAAGCTCAGTTTTTCTGTCCCCTGTGCAGGAGGTACTCCTATCCACACCCCGTCTAGCTCCGCCCACGATCGGGAGAGGGGCTCCACAAGGAGAAGGTCCCGCTCCTCTGCGACCCTCTTCACGCCCCCGGATAAAACACCAGAGCGCAAAGACTGGATACCTGACCACAAGAAGCATATCTGTATGGTCTGCCAGAGAGAGCGGTTCACTATGGTGAGACATACGTTTTACACGTCAGAATGTGCATTGAGAGCATTTCACCTCATTCATAGGCTGGATTAAACCGATGGTTTGGCAAATAAAGTCATGTTTGGTGACTTTAATTTTGCACTGGAGCTAATGTAGCTAACAGCTAATGGAATCTTATACTCTACTGAATAGCATTGTGCAAACTGCAGGACTGAGCCATCACACAAAAAAGATGAAAGTTAAGACACTATTCAGGCACAATCAGGAAGAATTCATTTACAGGATCCGCTATTATTATCACACTTGCAAAGTCTGATCTTAATAAAGCAGGAGGAAACAGTCGCAACCCAAATGTTAAGAAGAGCCATTTTATTCTTTCAACAAAAATCAAACCACCTTGGGAGCCACAACATTTATGTCCATTTTACCATCTTGGCTGTAAATATGTCTCAGTATGTGCTGATATACCAGTATAGGCTAAAAATATAAAGAAAAACGCAGACTTACTTTGCTCTGCTTTATGCTTTAGCTCAGCTGTAGCTGCTTTTCTCACATCTCTGGCAGGAAACCTTTCTGCAAAAGTAGAAAAGTTTCTTGCAGAATGTCACTCAACGTTCAGCTTTTTACAAGGCTGAAGTCAGCTTCTCATTCGCCAGCTTCTTGTTCGAATTTTCCTATTCAACCTTAAATGGTGCCTGAGGTGCCAGAATGGAACTGCTGCACCATTTAAGGTGGAACAAGAGAATTCGAACAAGAAGCTGGCAGACGAGAAGCTAAATCTGATTCTGCTGTGGAGCCACAACAGGGCAGTAAAAGAGCCACTGACCCCTGGCTTTATGTGTTAAACAAAATTTTTTATTCATCTAGTAGTGAGTACAGGATGAAAAAAAGGTCTAATATGGTATCTTCTTAGTTATTTTTCCATAATTTCTTGCCAAGTTGAGCCTCCTCTGCCTGCTCCTTTTGGTCAGCAGATGGCAGTCCGGTTGGTGCCTGTGCTCTTATGGTAAATCCAGATTTTCTTGTTCTTTCTCTCTCTTTATGCCCCAGTTTAACCGGCGGCACCACTGCAGGCGCTGTGGAAGACTGGTGTGTCAGGCGTGCTCCAGCCGGAAGATGGTGGTCGAGGGCCATGAGGAGCCTGTGAGAGTGTGTGACCAGTGCTACAACTTCTTCCACCCAGAGTAAGTACTAACACAAACACATGTAAAAGTATAGTGAATTAGCCCTAAGAAGAGATAACACTTCATCAGCACTGTGTGGGAACAACATAATACTTTCACTTGCTCTTAAAGTAACAAAAACATTTATAGTACATTAAGTTTGTTGTAAGTGATATATATATATATATATATATATATATATATATATATATATATATATACATATATACATATATATACATTTATGACTACCAGCCTACATTTGTATATCACATTTCATTATAGCTTGAGTGTTTTATAGACATTATTGACATTTTTGAATGCTAAGATTCACAGGCAGTCTAGGCATAACCATTCATAGGACTTATGAGCAAGTTATTCATATGTTATGAGTTTTTTGTAGTTAATTAACTATCGTTATAGTCCTATTTATGTATTATTAATTTATTTTAATAGTTACCATTAAATAAAAAGTAAGCAATAATCTGCTTCTGAACAACCTAGTGGGATATTTTTTTGTATGAAGTTTTCAATATGTGGTTTTGCCAGAGCAAATTGGTAAATTTGTATGATGATCTTCTTTAATTTGTTTGTTTATGTTTTGCTGTTGCAGCTCAGATGAAGAGTTGGAGCAGGCAGAAGGTATAACTCTCATCACTTCCCCTTCACTCCGTATAATCGGCATATCTGTGTGCATCTTGTTGTATCTTGTGATAAAACACTAATGACTTCTGTCTCCCCAGTAGCTGGCAGTCCCCTGTCTTCTGACGGGGTTCTGGACGGTGTCCTCAGTCTTCCTGAGATTCCTCAGAAGCAGTACAGGCTCAGCCCAAACCCAGCCGAGAACCAGCAGATACGCAGCGAGTTCTACTATGAGCAGGTTCGCTTCTGCATATATGTGTCTGTATACATATACACTGACTGGCCACTCCATTAAGTCCACCTCTATATATCTACACTCACTGTCCATTTTATCAGCTCCACTGACCATATAGGAGCACTTTATGGTTCTACAGTTACAGACTGTAGTCCATCTGTTTCTCTGCATACTTTGTTACACTGTTCTTCAGTGGTCAGGACCCCCACAGAACAGGCATTATTTGGGTGGTGGATCATTCTCAGCACTGCAGTGACACTGATATGGTCGTGGTGTGTTACTGTGTGTTGCGCTGGTCTGAGTGGAACACCTCAGTGTCACTCCTGGACTGAGAATAGTCCACCAACCAAGAATATCCAGCCAACAACGTCCTGTGGGCAGCATCCTCTGACCACAGATGAAAGACCAGAGGATGACCAACACAAACTGTGCAGCAGCAGGTGAGCTATTGTCTCTGACTTTACATCTACAAGGTGGACTGACAAGGTAGGAGTGCCTAATAGAGTGGACAGTGAGTGGACACAGTGTTTAAAAACACTATAAATATAGAAGAAGATTGTATAACGTCAAGAAGAAAATTAAAATCCAGACAGATTTCAAAAGTGGTCAAATCAAATCTCAACTTGAAAAATGTTTAAATTATTGTATGTAATGTAATAAAATGAGTGATTACAAACTTTTGAGATTTGAGATCAAACTTTGTGTTTTTCTGTCAGGCCCCCAGCGCTTCCCTGTGTGTGGCCATCCTCACTTTTCACAGTGACCATGCCGCCTGTGGCCACCAGCTAATCGATCATTGCCGCTCAATCTCCCGTAAACTGACCAATCCTGAGGTGGACGCACGCCTCCTGACGGACGTGATGCAACAGCTGATGTTCAGCGCCAAGCTGATGTTCGTTAGAGCCGGACGCAGTCAGGACCTGGCCCTCTGCGACAGGTTACACACTCTGACCACTCTCACTGCCCACTGCCGGGGTTAAAAAAACAGTTTACTTCAGTGTTTTGTGCCTTTTCATTTACATTTTACTTGTAAGAGGTGATTCGCATCCGTAACATTTGAGTGATTTAGTTATTTATCTTTGTGTTTTTGTGGTGTGTGATCGAACACGCTGGCCGCTGAATGATATCTGTACATATTTATCTTTCTGTCCTAAATATTTCTATATACGTATATTTTGCCTAATGTGAGCTGCTAGTGTCCAGACGTAGTATTACACACTAATTGCAATGTAACACACAGTTTATTTAATTTTTTTAAGTTACTTACTTCAAATACATGAAAAGTAAATGTATCTTCACTGCCTAAACAAAACCAAACAAAAGTAAGTTCACTACGGGAGAAGACAAAATGTCCTTATCTTAAACTTGATTTATGTCACAAGATTTTTTTCCAGGTAAATTTGAGACATTTCTATAGTCCATCACGAAATTTTTATACAGTGTAAACACAGCTGGTAGTTTCAAATGATATACACAGGTATATGATCAGTAGGTAATGAATGAGTGGGTGCAGAGAGACTGACTGTCCATTTGCCTTTTCTACTCTCTCTACTCCTCCCTCTCTACAGCTACATCAGTAAGGTGGACGTACTGAAGATCTTGGTCAGTGCCAACTATAAGTACATCCCATCACTGGACGACATTCTGGAGACGGCGGCAGTAACTCGACTGAGGAACCAGCTGCTGGAAGCTGAGTACTATCAGCTAGCTGTGGAGGTGAGGAGCTCCAGACCTGTGCAGTTCACTCCCAAAGACCTTTTAGAGTATTTACACCCCCTAATTCCAATAATTAGAACTTTCATAGCAGATGTCTGTCTATAGTTGTTAGCCTTGAGCTGATAGTTGATATTATTGATTACACCAATAATTTAAGTGCTGTTATTATGCACATTGTTCTTTCTCTGTCAACAACTAACTAACTACACACATAAACACACATATATACTTCAAATGCCACTTGGAAAGATTATGAGGTACATTTGCTGGTAAAGAATGCTGGGGACTACGCAAAAAGAAACTAAAAGTACATGAGATCTACTCAAAAGAAAAATGGACAAGCTTATCTAGAAGATTATTGACAATTGGCAATATATTACAATATATTACGATATTACAGTATTTTGGTTTCCAATATACCAAAGAGGGCCTCTGTTATCGGTGTTGAATGCAAACTGTGCAGAATATAGCTATATTTATAAATTATTAAGTAGTATTAGGAGCTAATCCAGATGATAATTATATGCTAATTATATTGCCCTCAGGGAAAGTGCAAGCTAGAAACTCTGAGGTGCTTCATAATAAAATTTGGATCACATTGATTTCATTTTTCATGGTAGTTCTGCAGACAATAATTGTCAGTCTAAATTTACATTATCGTTCAAGCTTACCATTTGTCTGTCTTGGTCGTTCTCACCAAGTATCTGGATTTTATTGATAAGGCATGAAGCGTTATACAGTCGTTCTTCCTGTTTTTTGCTCTAATGCTGGTATATATGGTGATGGAAAGTGTTGTCAGCAGACGTCTTAGAATAACCTACTACTGCAGCCTGTGGCGTAGGCTGCTACATTATTAGGCCGTAATATTTCTGAGAATGTCAGCAACACTGTGAAAGTGTGAAAATACCTTTTGTTTTTTGGTGTAAAGAGAGAATTTTTTCAAGAAGGTAATGAACTGATTTTTCGGATCTCTAACAGGTGTCCACTAAAAGTGGCCTGGACCCGAGCGGTGTGTGGCATGCTTGGGGGATGGCGTGTCTGAAGGCTGGCTGTCTGACCGGAGCTCGGGAGAAGTTCTCTCGCTGTCTGAAAGCTCCTGTGGACAGAAACCAGCTGACCCTGGGCCCCAGGCTGCTGCAGGAGATCGTCCAGCACCTGGACTCCACCGTCCGGCCCACACTCAGCGTGGTATGTCCAAATAGAGCCTGCGGGCAAATCGAGAGCTGAGCTAGCTCACTGAAACGTAAAGCATATACAGCACTGTGCAAAAGGCCATCTGAGAAAAGAAAACGACAACCTAACTGCTCCAGTATAAAACTATAGGAGCAAAATCTGGACACCAAACAAGTAAATGGAAGAGTCGAAGCTGAGAGCTGAAGATAAATAGCATGAGCACGTAGCTGTTTAATGCTTTTAAGCTGATGTTATTTGCGTTTGCGTTCAGTCAGTAGATGAGGATATCCTGGCGTCTCTGGCGGAGTTGGAGGAGGCTCTGCGTGAGCTGGCTCCTGTGGATCGGATGGAGGTGCGGGCACAGCACTGTGGTCACTATCAGGAGTGCCTGTACTATCTGCTGACCTATGGCACTCATCTTAGCCTCATCAGCTTCTACCTGCGCCACGACTGCCTCAGGGAGGCTGTAACACACCTGCTCAGCAAGGTACACACACACGAGTCTCAGTACAGATCCAGTTAAATCACACATTCCCACGTTCTATAGCCCTCTAACCTATATTTAAAAGTTTACTAAAACATGATGATCTTCTTGGTGTGGTAGTGTCAGAGCAGCGCTTACACTGTGTGGAGGAGACTCTTCTCTGATACAGGGATAAAACTTGTCATTTCTAATAAACACTTTTGATAAACACATCTGCTGTTTGTGTTCTTAAGTTTTAGACCTGCTGAAACTGTTTCAAACAGTTTAACTGTTTAAACCGGTTTAATTAGAAAGGAAATTTGCAATGTACATTTTTCTTATTGTCTGGTAGTTTAAAGTGCTCCCACACATGATTTCTGAGGCATCTTTGCTGGAAAGCAGTGTAGTTTGTTGTGCTCTGAGGTGAGGTGGTGTGGATTTTGGCGGTGTGTTCAACAAAAACCAGCTTTAGTTTACTTATTTGTAACTTATTTTTCATCTATTAACAATACCTGTTCTGTCTAATGGCCTTCGCTGATTAAATGCTTCAGAATACTAATTAAAAAAAAAAAATACAGTTTCTGACACTGTTTGACATACTGTTAAAAACATGGATAAAAGTGTGTTGCATAGCTAAAAACAGTAGCAGCAGGGGTCTTGAAGCCTGTATTTTCTGTTTTTTTTTAAGCAGATGTGCAATTATTGATGCTAATTGGTGGGATATAAGCTTCCAAAACTAAAGAAGCAAACGTGTCTTCGCTGATCGACTACATGGGACTAAAACCGGAAAATTTGTGTTATTAACTTGGGTCCTTCTCGGGGTTTCTCTGTCTCTCCCTCATAGGAGTGTCCAGAGGAGGTGTTTCTGGAGGGTGTCTTGCAGCCCTGTTTGGAGCGGGGGCGCTTGGGGGTTCTCCAGGCACAGCTAGAGACTCTGGACCCCTCATTAGAGAGCTGGGGGCGATACCTCATATCAGCCTGCCAGCTCCTCCAGCGCAAAGGCCATTACCACACACTCTACCAGCTTCAGCAGTTTATGATGGTACACAAACGCACACATCCAAATCACAATAAAATATCTTCTCTTCTACTTACAAACACATAAACACAGTTATAGATTGAAAGGTTAGAATCTGCACCTTCCACTCAATTTCTCCACTTTTAAGGCATTTCAAAGAGTGTCAATAAAGGGAGGGGGGGCAAAGAGGGTTAAGACATTCCTCTGTGGTAGAAAACTCCACTGATTGTATTCAATGCTGTTTGTGATTGGTGCGTGTGTTTTTTATTCAGGATCATGTTCGGGCTGCTATGACGTGTATTCGTTTCTTCACGCACGGCGCTCACTCCTACCTGCAGCTGGGCGAGCAGCAGCGCTGGCTAGTTCGGGCCAAAGAGCACCTGAGGACGTACCTGCAGGAGCAGCAGAACCGCAGGAAACACTCTTCCTCCTCCTCCTTTAGGAAGAAGATGAGTTCCAGTGATGTCTCCAGGTCAGCCAGCATTCATCACATTCTTGCTTCATGTTCATGTTGGTAGAAATCTTGTGACTTCACAGAGCCGCATAGCAACCAGGATAAAGCTTGTTTCTCAACCCTGGTCCTGGAGGCCCACTGCTCTGCACATTTTAATGTTTTCCCTTCTCCCAACACACTCCAGCTAAGCAGCCCTTTAAAAAGCCCTTACTGAGTTGAAGTGGGCATATAGAAGCAAGGAGAACACTTAAAAGCAGAGGGCCTCCAGAACCAGGGCTGAGAAAGACTATCCTAGGTTTACCCCAAATGTAAACAAAGTCATTCAGAATGGTTTAATGTGAAATGGTTCATTGTACACTGTTCGAAATAAAGGTTCTGTTTATCAAGGTACAAACAATGTATATGTACCCTTAAATGAACAACAGTGGTTTTAAGGTCCATATGTGCCCCTGAAATATTTTTTTTCCAGGTGAAAAGTATGAATTTGTACCTTTTCATAACATTTTAAAAACGTTAAATGTTTTAAAATTGAACATAACAAGCCTGGAGACGGCTCCCAAGTGGCGCAACCATCTATGCGTTGGCCGTATCATCAGGAGATCGCGAGTTCGATCCCTGGTGATGCTACAGCCGTCCGTAGCCGGGAGTCCAAGAGAGCACAATTGGCCTCGCTCTCTCTGGGTGGGTAGGATGGCCCCTCCTTCTCCCCCCATCACTCACCAAGCGCAATGCTAGTCAGGCGTCTGTTAGCTGACGTAACAGATCTGGCGGTTGGTGCTTTCCTCCGAGCGCTTTCAGCTGTCCAATGACGTTGCGTGAACGGCAGCTCGAAAAGATGCGGTGGCTGGTTTCACAGGTCTCGGAGGAAGCGTGTGTTAGCCTCGCCCTCCTAGCGTTGATAGCGTCGTGTGTGATTGGGGGAGTCCTAACTAGCGGGTGGAATTGGAGACGACTAAATTGGGAGAAAACTGGGTAAAAATTGAAAAAAAAAAGAAAAAAAAGCCTGGAGACGAGACGGAGTGTGTGGAGTTAATACAACTTAGAACACATCATTTCAATGGATTATGGTACAGTTATGTTCCCTGACTAAATTGAGATGAACCCTAGAGGGAACCACCCCAGTGGCAAGAGGGGCACTGCCCCAGTGACAGTTTAGTACCTTTATTTCTGAGAGTGCAGAGAAGCTTACAGACTCAAATGTCTTTACGGTGGTGGTGATAGAAACCAGGGGTCGCGATGAAGCCACAAATGTAGCCATTTTATTTAGTATGCAAAACAGTCAGTCAACCTAAACGATTTTATGTTTATGATAGTAAAATAGCAGTAAATCTGAAAAAATAAGGAACTATTTTGCCTCTCAACACCCTGCATGTACTTGGTACTTGTTTATTATAAAAACTACCTTTTATGCCAAACCTTGTTTCAGAACTGTCTTATAGATCATAAAGCAGTGTATCAGGCATCAGGCAGTGTATTTATTACCATTTAGCGTAATAACTTTCTTCAAGGGAGCTTTTAGAGGCAGACGTCTGGTTCCCTTCACCACCACTTTGAACAATTCTGACTGGAATGGATCATCTCACATCAAACACCTGAATGACTTTGTTTACATCTTAATTATTGAATTATGCAGAAATTAAAAAAAAAAAAACAGCACTACATATACTACCATGTCGATGTCACTGCTGTGCTGAGGACGGTTCTAATAGAATGGATGGAGAGTTTACATACAGGCTTTGATGTATCTTTCCTGCCATATCCTAGTTACCATGGTAACAAGGCCTGTTATGTAATGTCTGTTTTATTCGGTCAGACACATGAACACCATTGAGCTGCAGCTGGAAGTGACTCGTTTCCTGCATCGCTGTGAAAGCTCCTCCCCCTCCAAATCCACTATAAGTCCTGCCCCATCGGGGAACAGTGCCCCGCCCACCCTCTTTGGAGGGAGCGCCACGAAGGTGGACGTAGCCTGCAAGGTAAACTGGAAAAACGCACACGGGTTGAGATACTGAACAATGGAGGTGTCTTACTAACAATTGTTTATTTATTATTGAAGGTGCAGCACTAATTAAATCCTCACTGAGTGCATTATTTATGCATCATAAATGAATAAATCAAGAGAGGCTGTGCATCATGCTGATTTTACTATGATTAAGGCACAACCAAGATCAGAGCCAAAATGCAATACTCATCTGTTCAATTAATATTTAAATTTGTTATTAATATTAATTGCAACAAACAGCTCTCCTGCCAAGCAGCGTAGTTCATAGGCTATGGTTCCTAAGATTAGATTAAGATTAAATGACCCTTATTAGTCCAACAATGGGGAAATTTCATCTCCGCAATCTAACTCATCCGTGCAGTGAAACACCACATACACACTAGTGAACACACACACTAGGGGGCAGTGAGCACACTTGCCCGGAGCAGTGGGCGGCCCTATCTATGGCGCCCGGGGAGCAGCTGGGGGTTAGGTGCTTTGCTCAAGGGCGCTTCAGTCATGTACCATCGGCTCAGGGGATTGAACCGACGACCTTCGGTCACAAGGCTGGTTCCCTAACGTCCAGCTCACAACTGCTCCAAAAGACACGACAGTAGCAGGACAAGCGACACGCAGGGAGCGGCTGCAAGCAGAACCGGGGGCTGCTACACTACAGAAACTTAAGCACTTAATCGTAAAAGATTATTAAATGAACTGATTTTAAACAGTTGTGTCATCAAATGTGGCTCAGCCAGTCAGATCTTAGAACCAGAACTACACGTTTCATAAATAACATTATGAGCTTTTGCCTTCTCTAGAGTGGAGATAACACAGCTGAGCGGACGCAAGCCCAGTTTTGGACCTAAATCGTACATAAATGCGTCTGTTTTCTTTATCTGCAGGTGATGCTGGGGGGCAAGAACATTGAGGAGGGATTTGGCATTGCTTATCGTGTCATACAGGTAAGAGGAAATGATGCTGAAGATACTGCATTCTAGTGATCTACTTTCCATCTGAATTAGATTATAATCAAATTTGATTGCCTGTGCTGAAGAAGCATAGGCAGAGTTTGAGTTTTGTACTTGGGGGTGCAACAAATGTTTTATCTTTAGGCATGCAAGTTCGACACTAGTACTGAGCCTGATATGAGCTTACACAGAGACTATTAACAGTGCTTTTACAGATATATGACATTTGCTTTATACCAGTTATTAACCACAAATAACTACTAAAATGATACTAAAACAGCTTATCTATTGGTGTAGAAGTCTCTTGTATCACAATAATATAACCAAAGCAGCCAGTGTTTTAGGAAAATTCTCACCCTACATTATTGTGGCATCAATTATACCATTCTATGAGCTCAAACTTAAAAATTAGACGTTTTCACATTTTTGAATTTAATTAATTTCAGTTATGTTCAGTTGATTTTCTCAGGTACCTAGCACTTTTGCAGAAAACTGTATATTTCTTACTAATGTGTCAGATTTTTCCACTCCTCTGCTGTGCTTTTCTGTGCCTATATTTTCATTCATATTTTTTCTCTCTGTCTCTCTCTTGGCAGGATTTCCAGTTGGAGGCGATAGCGGTGTATGTGCGAGTTGGTCAGCGGTTGGTGAGGCAGCGGCAGTACCAGGCGGTCCGGCAGCTGCTGAAGTGTGTGGGCGAGTCAGGCACGGCCACTAAAGGCGACTGCGACACCATTGTCCTCAGCTGTGTATCAGTCGCAGAGAGAAACCCAGCTGATGTGAGTCCATCTCCTCTAAAAAGAGCAAGGTCATGCTGACCTCAGGCCAGTGGTAGTTCAGCCAAAAAAACCAAACGTACACTCAGATAACCCTTTCCATGATTTAAGTGTTCTCTGCATCATGAAAGAGTTTTTCAGATTGATGGGGAATGTGTTGTAGATGGTTCTATATAGAATATATAGCACCAAAAATGGTTCTTTTATTGTTACCATGTCAAGCTTGCAATAATAGAAGAACCCTTTTTGGTGCTGTATACAACGCTTTTCAGAAAGTTCTATATAGAACCATATACAACACATTCTCCATCAATCTGAAGAACCATTTCATGATGCAAAGAACCATTTTCTCTACCAAAGAACCCTTAAAGAACCATCATTTTTAGGTGTGTAGATAAAAACTATTGTAGCTGCCACCTTGAAGGCTGACTCTTGTATGTACATCTGACAATTTTATAGGAAAATGGTGTTTGATTTTTTTGAAAGTAGATTTTTTTGGCTTAACTATCATTTAAGAAGAAAACTTATAATAATTTTACAAAAAAATAATTTTGAAATGTAAATGTTTGTCTTTTGATATTCTATAAAGCTGATATAAGTGGTTATAGTTTTTGCATGTTGACAGCCATAGGCAGCTTGTCCTATGAACCAAAAATAATAGGCATCAGCAAGACTAGAAAGCCCTTACTTAAAGTAATATTTAAAGTATTAAATATTCTTACCTAAGTGTTTTATGAAATCGAGGCCTTTAATTAAAGCATTGCCAAAATGTCTTACGATTCGTGTTCGTGAGCGTCATACAGTTTAGAATTATAGTTTTGAAGGAAAATGCCTTTTATCTTCTGTATCTCACAGAATATGATTATGGATTTTGAGCAGCTAATTACAGGCCAGGACTCTTCTTTTGTGATGCTTAGTTCTTATGGAAGCTGTAGCATCACAGAAGTGTCTACTCACATATGAAGAGTAGCCATTTAGTAAAAGTGTTGTGTGTCCTGAGGCTGTATGTAATTTACCAGATCTCTGTTCTCTGTCCAGGCCAAAGAGTTGGAGTCTTTGATTTTAGAGTGTAAGACACCAGAGAATAAGGTAAGTTGTTCATCTGCTGCTTTGTTACTTCATGACTGCTCTCATTAGCCACGTTTACATGCAGCCTAATGATCCATTAATAATCCAACTAACAGCTCAATCGGAATAGAACACGTCCATGTAAGCACCTCAGTCAGTCTGATTGAGGCCATTCTGAATAGTTTCTATCTGACTGATCGAGGTGGGTAATCCTGTAAATAATCTGTTAAACAGAAGCATAATATCCGTGTAAACGCCTGTATCTGATTACATTCCCTATCGGAAAGTTTAAGTCCGTTCTGATCATGTTCGTCACGTCATAGTGAAAGTTTATACCATTCAACATGGCGGGTGTTTGTGTGTGTAGATAAAGGCGTATCTGCAGTGCAGTAAGCTGAGGGCGGCATACCTCTTGGCCGTGAAGCTGGACGTGGCCAAAGCGGGGCCGCTGGTGCAGGACGTCCTTCGGGCTGCTGAAAGCTCTGGCGACTCTGTCATGCAGGAAATCTGCCGTCAGTGGCTCTCTGAACACCAGGCTTCACGGCAACGTCACAGCAACAACAGGTAGCCAAAGGCGACGACTGCCAATAGACTCGAACTCACACAAGCCCACTGGAGTTCAGAGCTTTGCTCTGATTTGGTTGGTGTGGGTTTGTATAGATGCTGCTCGTTTATTTCACTCAAAGTGAATCACCAATGTGCCATCTCTGTCACGCGTTCGGGTCACGTGACTTTAGGGCCAAATCCATGGTCAAGCTTTCCATCACTAGCACTTCTGAAAGTACAAACTGGGACTCAGCACGTCGCTAATTCAGCGATTTCTGCTACATTACTCAAACCAGTCTTGCAGAACTTTATGAGAGCAGGTGGCCTCTGCGGGTGCTAGACAAAACAGATCACTATCACAGCGAAAGTGGCATCATTAACAGTTAAATCCAACCAAGATCAAATTTGTTTGGCTAATGCTAAGTGAAATTTGGGGGCTCCTTGATGTATTTTACATAATTCAGAGCAAGGGCTACCAGTGTTCACTCTGCATTAGCCAAATTGGAATGTGTGGTCAGATTCTCTCTGTCATGCAGATGGAATTTGCAGGAAACAACTCATTTCAAATCCACATGCAACAGTTAAACAAGCTTTTGAGGGCTAAATTTGGACCCTTATTGGACTCTATTACATTCAGTCCTGGAATAAACAGTGTTGAAGAATCCCCATTCAAACTGCTGGTCTAAGACTAGAATAGGAACATCCCAGCGTTTTTCTAATCTCTGTCTGCTGTGTTTGTATTGTACCGTTGATGACCACAGATAGTCATTTAGAGACATACTTAAAAAAATAACTGAAAGCTGACATATAATAGAAGCCAATGAGTGCGTTTACGTGCACTTAGAAATCTGATAACTGCAGAAAATCAGTTTTTTGTCAGTAATCTGATCGTGTTTACATGCAGTTGAGTAATCAGATAATGGGAAACTCCAGGTCTATATGACTCAGACAATTGGATTTCTGTTTTGCAGCCGGCCAGTAAACTTACAGAAGAAGACGTGATGTAAACTTCATGCCGCAGCTTTTTTTTTTTAAATACATTGCACCACTTTACCTAAAAATATGTACATACGTCACCTAGAAGATGAAGAATATTTAAATCCTTCATTTCAAGCATGTAGTCAGTTTCAGCGTCGCTCCACAAGTGTTTTGCTGCAATCTCACAGCAATGCTGCTTGCTTATTTCCAGTACTGCACATGTGCAGACTGAGAACTCAGAAAGAAATCAGAGTAAGAGTTTACATGCACTGAGAAATGTGAGTACTGAGCTAAAATCCAGCCTCTTTATCAGATTCCTTTAGCGGATTTCTAGACCTTACTCCGACCTAAAAAATCGGAGTGTGCTGTTTATTGAATAATAAAAACTGCAGAAATCTGATTATGATCAGATTATCGAGTGCATGTAAACACACTCATTGGGCAGTTGCTGCATCCTGTGAATGAATGCTCGAAGTACTTAATGAAGGCTTCATAACATAAATTCCAAAATACGTTACATTATACGTGCCAAGATGAGACTGGCATAAGTTTTGCATGTGCATTGTACACGATAATCAACCACATGCTACAGATGTGGTAGATAGAGATTAAGTAGAAAGAATGCTGGAATATTCCTTTGTAAGTTTTACAAATGTCACTTTTTCCAGTATTAGTCTCAATTTGAATAGCCTACCTCAGGTGAAGGGGGTTCTTCTTTAGCATTCCCACTGATCTTTAGAGCACTTTGCTTCAGCAGGACTCTGTAAGTGACCTATCACTATTTTTGGCCCATATGTGTCAAATGGCTCAGAACAGAGGATTCAGTATTAGATCCCCCCAATCTATAATATGATGTATTAGCCTAATTAAGATTATATTATTATAAATATTATCCTGCTCCAGCATCATTACATTAGATGCCTCTATTTAAAAGAATACTCTAGATTTTTTAAAACCTAATTTCTGTCTGCTTCTTTTGTAGCAAAGTGACCACAGATGATAGTTCTGACTCTTTACATTGAAAGGAACAAAAAACTGACTTTAAACACGGTGAGAATAGACGCCAGTGGGCAGATGCTGAAGCAGGTGCCCATTAGCTTCTATTATGAGTGCATTTTGCGTTACAGTTATGGCAGATTGAGATCTGTTTAAAATATATCGGGGCATTCTTTTAAAAGGGGAATTCCACCAATTTTTCAAAATCTCTGCTTATTTCAATGGTTGATGTTGTGAACAAAGCCATTCAGAGTGGTTTGGTGTGAAATGGTTGATTGTAGAGACTCAGATTTCTTTCCAGTGGTGGTGATAAGAACCAGGGGTTACCATGACTACAGCACAAATATAGGCATTTTATTTACTATCCAAAAGGATCAGTGAAGTTTTTATATGTAATGCTGGTCATGTTAAATAATGATAAATCCAAAACCTGTGTTTTCTTTTATTACTATTTCACGGTACATATACCTGTCTGTTATGAATGGATTAAAACAATACATTTTGGGCTAACAAGTGATCACTTCTCTCAAAAACTATAGCAAAACAAGGCATCAGGCAGCGTATTAAATCCTTCAGACGTCTGGTTCATATTACCACCACTGTGAACAAATCTGACTCAGTAAGTTTCTCTTGAATGGAGCATCTCACACCAAACCACTCTAAATGACTGTTCATATCATAGCTATTAATTATGCAGAAATAATGATAAAATCAGTGAAGTAATCCTTTAACTAATGACAAAAGCCTTAATACTGTTATGAAATGATGATATGCGCTTATTTTAGACAGTCGGCAGTGAACACTTCACCTACAGTCCCCACAGTATGAAAGGGAACTGGATGCTACTTGACGCTTTGGGGATGAGGGCATTAGTAAGAAGAATGAATGCGATCAAAATAAGACGTGATAAGGGAGCCTGTGGACGTCACAGGGATATTGAATAGCACACCTGAAGATGGTCTAATAGTGAACTAATATTATAGCATCCTTTAATATATTAAAATTATGTAATGTTCATTATTTCTTTCAGCAATATTGACAGTCCTAAATCTTTACCTTCTCTGAAATTATGTGCACTGCCTTTGGATGTCAGATTCCAGTTCTGTCAGGTGTGTATGTGTATGTATGTGTACGTGTCTGAAAATGTCACTTTATTTCATGTATTTTCTCTGCTCTATTTGTATAAAGATAGTGGTTATGAATGTGTTTTTGTGTGTAATGTGATGTTTACTGTCTGACTCTTTCCTGTAATTCTCCTAGGCCAGTCTTTGTTCAGCAGAGAATCCACATTAAAGGCGTATTCCAGCATTTTTCAACTTAATCTCTGTTTGTCGCGTCAGTAGTGGCTGGTTACTATGGTAATCATTTCAACACATTTCCCTGAACTTCAATAAGGACGGAAAGTCTGCTGGCTACAGGGAAGTTAGATGGACAGTTGGCTGTGGACTAGATGTGCATTTCAGTCTACTTTGCTATTCAAATTTGTAGGGAATAATTCACAAAATATTTGAATAATACCACCCGTGACCGCACACATCAGACGAACACCACCAGAGACAGTGACATCACTGAGCAACTTAGTATTGCTGTATTAATTAAACCCAGACCACAAGTACACAGCAGATGACCTGTGGTTTGAGATCTACCCTAAGAAACATGTTTTTCAGATAAACAGACGCCATTAGCCACACTGTTTTTCACTATATGATTAAGCTGGAAAACAGCAAAGCTAGGGTTCATTAGCTGATACCGAACATAACAAATGAAAAAGTTCTATTACATCAAATCTATATGAGTGAAGTTAAAAATGAACTCGATTTTAATGTGCTGTAGCTGCGCTTTGTAACCCGGCGGTGGCGCCAGAGCTTCTCTTTTAGTGTGCAGTAGCCTTTAGTCAGCTCCAGTAATCTTTCTACATAAGGAAGCTTATGATGAGTTATTTAGCTGATATCAAACATAATTAAAAAAAAAAAAAGTTTTATTACATCAAAACTATATTAGTAAAGTTAAAAATGAGCTCGATTTTAATGTGCTATAGCTGCGCTTTGTACTATCAGCAACCTGGCGCCAGAGCTTCTCTTCTGATGTGCAGTAGCCTTTAGCCAGCTGCAGTAATCCTTTGCTGCTTTCTTTGAGATAAACAGATTAGAAACTCTGACCAAAATAGAAAACACAGGCTCTTGGTGGAGTTCTGACATCTCATGGTTCATAAATATGAGAATATCTAACAATAAAGTAAGAAGCACAAAAGATTACTGCAGCTGGCTAAGGGCTACTGCACACCAGAAGAGAAGGTTTGGCGTCGGGTTGCAGATAGTACAAAGCGCAGCTATGGCACTTGAGCTCGAGCTGATTTTTAACTTCACTCATATAGATTTGATATAATAAAACTTTTTGATTTATTATGTTCTGTCTCAGCTTACTAATTCACTATAAACCTGCTTATCGCTGCTGTCGAAACAAAACCTTGTACGTCCAAAATGATAACTTTACAGGAAAAGGAAAAAACATACTTGACTTTTAATGTAAGTCAGTGTAACCATATTTTTTTCCAAGTAATTTTGCACCGTTTCTTTTGGTCCATTCATTATGAAATTTACAAACAACATAAAAGGCAACAGGTATTTTCAAATTATGTCAAAAACTGAAAAAGGCCAAAAATACAAGGTTTTGTTCCGACAGCAGCGTTATGTATAAAGAATACTGCATCTGGCTGAAGGCTACTGCACACCCGAACAGAAGCTTCTCTCCTGGTGTGCAGTAGCCTTTAGCCCGCTGCGGTAATTTTTTATGTTTCTTTTTGTGAGATAAACAGATTAGAAATTTTGACCAAAATGGAAAGAAACAGGCTGTTGGTGGAGTTCAGACATCTCATATGTATGAACCATGAGAATGTATAACGTTAGAGAGAAGCTAATTTACATTTAAAAAGAGTGACCATTTAAACGTTCTTGACTATTTGAATATACCAACTACGGATGCTGCAGATAGAGATTAGTTGAAAGACGCTGGACTTTACCCTGCACTCGTAGCTTAATCTGTAAAACTGGCACTTAATGTTTGAGGGTTTTCTATTCACAAGCTTGCCTTTAATCACTTAATCAACTGGAGAATGGGACAAATAAACTCGTAAAGGGACATCATTTGTGACGTCTGATGATGGTAATAGAGAATTACGTTACAGTAAACCTGTTTACACTGTCTATGCACTCAGAATGAAATTAAATTTAATAAGACTGTTACACAGTTTCACTAAATGCATCTGACCAATCAATAAAGTCATGTTTTTTTTCATCAGGAAAAAAACAATATGCATTATTAAGTTTACCGTTTCCTTGGTTTTGTAGTTATGTTTCTGCTTCTGCCATTAACCCTGGGATAGGTTGTCCATTTTACAACAGTATTTAAAAAAAAGACCCATTTTCTCCACCTTACTCCAAATGTAGTCAATCAACTATTACATGTTTGGGGTCTGAAGTTTGCTTCTGAGTCATTCCACAGAAACGTCCATTTTTGTGTCCCTAGCATTTACAGATATGTAATACTTGAAAAAAAACGTTAGGGTTACAATTCATTTATATTGTAAAATAAAACAGTAGACATTCAACAATTACACCTTCTTGAGCCTCAATTCAGCAATATTGGTTTTTAAATCAATTATCTAGAATTCCGAGCACCACAGAAGAGCTCGTCCCCACAGTCATGTGTGAAGGCTGAGGCCATATTTTGAAGAAAAAAACATTTTTTTCTGCAATTTTAACTACAATAATCTATACATGACTATAGAATATATAATTAAATGACATAAAGGAAACAAATGCCAAATAAATATTATAAAATATATAATGAAAGTTGTGGTCCCCAGGAGTCGTGTCACTCGTGTTACTGCGTAACAAAAGATCTCTTATTTTGAAATAAAAGTCACACTGATGACATCACTCGACTTCATTTTACCTGTTTTCTGAGGATCTATGAAGAAAAGCACATGGTGAGTCCACTGAGTCTTTCAGTTATCAGAGATTTTCTCATTTAGCTCATGATTTCATATGAAGCTTTTAGCTGAAGTCACTGGTGTGACCGACTTTATTGAGGTAATTGAGAAAAAATAGAATACAAATGGATTAAATTCCATATTTTAGTGGATATTCCATGACTGACATGTGGTTTGATGCTCTGTAGCAGCCACTTTGTAAAACACATTTTTCATTAAAAATGTCTCTGGTGTTACCTTTATTATGTGTAACACCAATGAGGATCAGTGACACCAGTGACTCCTATGGACAGATAGAAAAGTTTACATTTCTGTAGAATGACCCTTCTATAGTTCTGCCCTGGAGCTACAAGGCTAATGTAATGAACAGTAATGAAAGCTTATGTCCCACCAGTTAGCCTAAATCTCCACACTCTTGCTTCAAACCATGTGGAGTTGTTCAGTAAGTCTTACAGACCATAGCCATGTTAGCAGTTAGCAGTACGTCAGTTAGCTTGATGCATGGTGCTCAAACTGTGTGGTTTCTGATACTGTAACCTAAAGTTATCTATAAAAATGGACAAAAACTACAGACAAAGGCTTCAGGGTGGCGGCCACTACTGTTTTTAGCCATGCTGTTTACATGCTAGCTTAGTTTTGCTACATATAAGCTTCCATTACTTGTTAGCTACGTTAGCCTTACAGTGCAGAACTAAAGAGTGTTTTTGCTGTTCTGCAAGTCTGCTCAAGCATAGCTTTACCTGTTTTCACCGTGTCTCCTTTTTGTATGAATGAAGTATAAAAACTCTGCAATCACAACATTTTTCGCACAATATATATATATATTCAAATATTGGTCTCTCTGGTCATGAATGTAACAAGAGTAAAAAGGCATGTTCACTGTATAAAAACCTCAGCACAGTTCTAGGCAGCTGCAGTGTGGAGGTGATGAAATGGGAACAACTCAAAGCCACATTCAAACTCCAGATGGACAAACGAAATGATAGTGTGAAATAAATATAACTCGAAATTCAGTGGTCCACAAACCGGACAAAGCCAGGAGCCCTGAGTGTAGTTTCTGAACTCTGTTCAGCCTCAAAGTGGCGGGCAGTGCTCGGCAGCAGGTTCACAGACACAAGGAGGCATTTGGCAAATGGTAGAACAGGATGGGTGAGTGAGTGTGACAGTGTAGTCTAAAGTCCTATTCGAGCTGGATTAGTCTCACTTAGGGAAGTACATTTAGGCCCAATCCCATTTCACCCCTGACCCCTCCGTTTTGCACCTTCACGACTGGGCGTGGGGTGTCCAGATTTTTGTTGAGGGGTAGGGTGAAGTGTTACGGCTCCATGGCCCTCCAAAGGGAGGCTTTTCAGAGACTCCAAATGGAGTGTTATGATAAAAAAAAAGAAAAACCGGCAAGATGGCTGCGCAAGCGACCAAAGAAACCCACAAATGTGAGAATTTTCTCCGTTAAAAAAATCATGATAACCATTGTATTATCTTAGTTTAATGTCGTTTCAGTGTATTACAGTCCTTTTATTTATAACAAGCTTAAAAAATCACTAGTAGTATGCTGACATCTAGGTAGCTAGCTAGCTAGCTAAATTCCCGTGTTCCACCTTAAATGGTGCAGCAGAAGAATTAGGGGTGGGTGATAATAAATAATTCTCATCCCTCCCTCTATGAAGGAATATGATGCCCTAAATGTAACTAAAGCCCAGCAGTGAGGAGCTGAACTTTACCCTCCTCTGCTGTCACTGCAGACTGGCAGGGTCGCCTACAGAGCAGTGCTAGTAGCTGTTAATGAAGTAATGCTCTTTATTTGAGGTTTGTCCCATTTCGTAGGGACGATTTCAACCACTACCCCTTGTAACTCAGTTCCAAGGGGCAAGGTGACACTCGAAAACAAGGGGTAGGGTTCAAAATAAGAAATGGGACTGGGCCTTAATCGTTTTTCCCACATCTTTCATTCCAGTGACTGTCTTCAGTAACGACACTCCTTAGCACTTTTATGGAAACAGGTGGTCATATGTGAATGTGTTCATGGATGTGATGTCATCTGAATATTGTTTTTTGCAGTTTAGCTTCCATCCAAAAGTATGTAGACAGCCCTTCAAATAAGTCCTGCTCCTTTCAGGTGCACCCACTGGTAATTTGGGGAAACAGCACAGATACTTAATCTCGAACCAATCAGCCAGTCAAATCCTGACAGTTTATATTACATAAACCCCTCTGGGGAAACTAATCCAGCTCCAACAGGGCTTTAGATGAGATTATGAAGGTGGGAGTTTTAACAAATGTGCCTGATAAAATGAGGTACATGTGTGTTGATGTGGCTCAGACAGAGCAAGGGAAAGATGTGTGAGGGGGGGAGGGGCGATTTCAGTCCCATTCAATGCCCAGCAGTTCGCAGCTGACGTCCCACAGTTTCCGAGCAGTTTCGTCACAGCGGCCCTGAGGAGCGACGGAGGCTGGAGCACAGTCACTGAGAGAGAGAGAGAGAGAGAAAGAGAATTTTGCAAAAGAGAGAGAAAAAAATCGCCACCAAAAAATGGTTTGGTAAAAAAAAAATCTAATCTATGTAACCGGGGAAAACAAAAACTATTTTGCTTAGGGCAGTTATGGACATAAAATGGTGATGAACATTATTTGAGAAGCCTCTGACTGGATGGAAGCGTGAACAGAAACCTCGCCTTTAAGCAAATAGCAAAGCATCACTATTGAGCAATATAAAAATAATGAAACACTATTTCAGCTATTTAGATCAGAACTGCAAGCACATTTTTGTAGCTGCTAAATAAGTACACACTGTCACTAATGTGAAGCCCTGCTCTTAGGAAGCATAAAAAGCTAGTTGACTGCTAATGGTGCCCCCTTGTGGAGAATCTACACTCTGCTAAACATGAGCGAGTGAACATTTTTTCAGGCTTGGATAAATTTTTGATCTGTGTGTGTATGTTTTGTAATTGGCTGTTTAACTGCATATATAAGTTACTTCTGCAGAACCTTATATCACAATAACGATAAAAATATTTATTGTACAGCAGTGAGATTAATATTTGAAATAATTCAGTTTTATTTATTTTGGTAATTTCTTTTTGTGCAATAACAATCAATTTAAATTGGTAATAAAAATGGAAAAAAAGGCCTGTCCAACCTGAAGTGTTTGCCTGAGATGGAGTGCAGCTCCTCGGCCACGGCGCAGTAGATGGAGGTCTGCGCTCCCTCCCGCGGCGTTTTCAGGAACATGGAGAAGAGTGTGAACAGCAGGGACATCACTGTGGAGTGACGAACCAGCTCGGACCTCACTGTCCCCGGGTGCAGAGAGTTCACGGTCACATTCGAACCTGACAGGGATCAAAAGGTCTCAGTAATTGAGGTTAGTGACAGAAAGTGAAGACAGCACGGCGATGCTTAACATTGAGGCTACATAGAACTGATTTGATGGGGTTACTCACATTGGGTTCTTTACTATTTTAAATAAATCAATATGAGGTCATTCATCTATTACATAAGTGCAGCAATGTTCAATACAAACAAAATGCACGTTGTTAAATATTTAATATTCATTATCAGAAACTCCTCCCTTGTAGCTCCACCTTGCTGGTGTACAGTTACAGACTGTAGCTCATCTGTTGATGTACACCTTGTTAGCGATCCTCATGCCCTTCAACAAGTGTCAGTGCTGGTGATACATCAGAAACTGACCACTGATGAAGGGTGTCAAGGGAAGCTGATAAATCCATCAGCAGATGGGCTACAGACAGTGATTGTACACCTATGCAGTGGACCTATTAGGCATGTGGAGCTGGATTGTAGTTAGAGGTCATTTCTGCACCTGTTAGCCTGTGAGACAGTTCCCTGGTGAAGAGGACATTGGCTAGTTTGCTCTGGCAGTAGGCCAGCCCACTGTTGTAGCTGCCCTGGCTGTGCAGGTCATGGAAGCGGATCCAGCCGAAGTAATGCGCCAAAGAAGAAACCACCACCACCCGCGCCGGCGCGCTGCGCTTCAGCAGACCAATCAGCAGGTAGGTCAGCAGGAAGTGACCTTAGATGGAGCAGGGAAGTTTGCAATGATGAGTTAGGACTTAATCAGGGAGTTTGGAAAATGGAAGATTTCAGTAGAAACAGGATAAGTAAAGGTTCATATTTTTAAAAATTTCCTGTAATTTTTTCTAATATTTTTTCCCCAACCTAAAGCATGCTAGTAACATTTGTGTGGGCTTATATAATTCATTTTTACGTGACCATTTTTATTCATTTTTTTTTATTCTAAATATGTTTTGTAAACAGTACTCAGACTCATTTAAAAAAAAAGCAAGATTTGTTTTCCTTTATATGAACCTTTTAATTTAATTCCTCTAACAACTTTAAAGGACAAAGAGGCAAAAAGAGGCACAATTTCCAAAGACTGAAAAACAGTCTCTGAAATTTCACAGCCAAAGCCAACCCTGAGCTTACCAAGGTGATTGACGCCCAGATGCATCTCAAAGCCGTCTGCTGTTTTCATGTAAGGACACATCATCACTCCTGCGTTATTAATCAGGATGTGGAGGTGATTGACCTCTGTGTGAAAGAGAGATAGTGAGAGAGGGGATTATAAACGGCCAATACAAATGAGTCCAGAGATTAGTGCGAGATCTGGGGCCGACTGAAATAAAGACCAGTTAAAGAGCTGCAGTCAGTACTGAAGAATGAAGTGGATACACTCATCTTATACCCACTGCCTTCTTTTGAAATGTGAATATTCCCACTGTTACTGTTCAATTAATTAGAACATCAACACTGGTATGAAGAGCAGGTTTATAGGTAACAGTTTGACAGTTTTCTTTTCCAAACTGTTGTTAAAAGCTCATATTGAAACTCTTTTGGCCCAAAGGTGGTTTAAACACCTGCAATTTGGCTTTATTCTCAAAGACAAATGGCTCTAACCAACTTCTATAGCAAACTGTTACAGCAAACTGACTAATATATATATACTGCGTGTGTGTGTGTGTGTGTGTGTGAGTGTGTGTTTCCACAAGGGGGAGCTATCAGCATCAAATCTCTTTGATATGTATCATTTAAACAGAAGAAACAGTCATGAGCCCACACCAGCAGGAGCTCACAAGCTGCACTCATACAAATGAGAGGTGAAACTTATTTTTACCAAAAGATGTTGAATTATATTATTTAATATGTGACTTCATTAAATGTTTTCATCAATGTAGTTTGTAATTTAAAAAACAAATAAGCTGAACATAGAATGGAAAAGTAAGTCTAAGCTACAGCAGGCAAATTCGGATTTGTTAACAAGTAAATATCTTGTTAATTATCTTAAGTTATCGCCCAGGCCTTTGGGTGTCCCCAGCCTTTTGTTGGGCAGTGTAGCTACTGCTGTTGAACAGGTGCTTCTACACTGAAGTGCTGTTTTTTTCAATTAGGGATGAATTCTAAATGATTAAGCAGGTTTCTGGTCAGTGAATGCTGATGTCTGAGTACCTCTGAGGAATCTCTGAGCGAAGGCTCGGATGGAGCAGGTGTCGGCCAGGTCCAGCTCCCGAACCTCCACCTGTGCCCCGCCCACCCGCCTGCGTATCTCCGCTGCTGTTTCCTCACCTTTCTCTATGTCCCGACAGGCCAGGATGACCCGCGCACCTGCACAGAAACACACACACTGCATCTACACCTCAACAGTCTCCAGCACTCATCTCTGTCTCTGTTTACACCAGCTAGAGTTTTATGATGAACGCTAATAGAATACGCAGTTTAGGGACGGGGTTCACAAGACGTGTTATTTTTGTAGACCGAGGCGACTTTTTTGTATTGTTTTTTGATGGGAGAGACGCATTTTGTGCGGCGCTCCAGGCGCCCAGAGTTGATCATGAGCATCTTTCTATGCTGACCAATCAGATCAAAGGTAAGGCGGGCTTTCAGTGATAGCTGTAACAGAGGAAGGATTAGTGATTGCAATCCTTTCACTTATGATGTAATCAAAAAGCAGCTTTTTTTTTAGATTAGCTTCTTTCTGCTGCCTTTTTTTTGAGAACTATGGTGCCTTTTATGTGTTGTTTTCAATAGAGAGATGTGTTTTTGTGTGGAGCACACCAGGCTCCCTCAACTGTGCTGACCCATCAGATCAAAAGGGAGGTGGGCCTTCAACCCCATGATTTCATGGGTTAAAAACAATCACGACATAAACAAAAAGCAGGTTCCAACTTAATAGTGGGGTGAGTGAACTTTCTCCTTATATGTATCAAAACATTAGCTAGCTAGAACAGCTTATTGACCAGTTAAGACGGTACTGTTGCTTGGTAACAGGGTGATGCAGAACCTATAGCAGCATTAAGAACACAATTTGAACTACCAAGGTAAAAAAAGACGGTGCAGTGCACTTCTGAAGGCAGAAAACTGCAGTGAGAACCCTTTCTAATAATAATATATACACATGGACACGTTACGTTTAGATAAATGAACTATTTTGCTTAAACTAAAGTCTTTATCTAGAGTGGAGTGTTCGTCTGAAGCTCTCTCTCACCCCGCGAGGCCAGGTCCAGGGCCGTCTCTTTACCAATCCCACAGTTCGCCCCTGTGATCAGCGCTGTCTTCCCATCCAAACGCGCTGTGCAAAGACACACTCCTCCTGCCGCATATTTCCTACAGATACACACAGATATTTAGAACAAAATATTGTTTCATTATTCCTTTCTTATTAAGCATTCTCTCATAATAACAAACAAGTTTCAGTGCTTGGACCCCTCATTTCATTCATACCATAATCATTCATGGAAGTCACTTGCTCATGTTTAGCAGTCTGAAGTTTCTCCACAAGGGGGAGTTATTAGCACTCAACTCTCTGTGGTGTGGCTCATTTTAAAGAGAAGAAACAGTCATGAACCCACACCAGCAGGAGCTCACAAGCTCACTTTCAAAACTGAGGTGAAAGTTATTTTTATCAAAAGATGTTGAGTTATATTATTTAATATGCGGTTAAAGTAAATGTTTCCATTAATTTAGCTAATAGTTTAAAAAAGCACATAGAATAGAAAAGTAGATTAAGGCTGCAGCAGACTGTGGGGTACAATAATCAATAATTCTGATTTGTTGACAAGAAAATATCAAACTCATTATTTTAAGCTGCTGCCCAGGCCTATTGGTGGCCCCAGACTTTTGTTGAGCAGTGAAGCTATTGCTACTCATTCATTTATTATTCATTTATTTCATTCTAAATTATTAATTTTACATATATAGAACCTTAATACAACACATTCTCCATCAGTCTGACGAACAATTTCACCATGCAAAGAACCATCTAAGCATGAAATGGTTCTGTGTAGATCTCATGGTTCTAAATAGAACCATTCCTTTATCAAAGAACCCTAGAAGAACAATTTTGAGTGTAGAGGACACAAAAATATTGACATATGTCAGAATTTTGTCTTAATAACTCAAAATCTACAGTCAGTCATTATTTTGAGATTTTGAGGTAAGTCAATAATTACATGTATTAAGTAATTATTTCGAGATACTAAGTCAAAATTTTCGAAGATCCAAAGTCTTTTGCCTCCCGCCTCTGAACACCATCTGCCTCCAGATGGTACGACCCGCGTGTAATTACCATACGCAACCTCTTGCAACCAATGAGGCTGCGCCTACACCGTGCATGCGTAATTAACCCCGCCCTCGGGTAGATCCTATTGGTCGCTTCTCTAAACTGATCATATTCAGCGGAGGCGGTTACTAATAGTGGACATGCACCATTCAGCTGTATGAGCTTATCTAAATCACCTCACTGAACACAAAGCAGAGCGTGAAATAAACGTAAAAACACAATAAGGTACTGTAATCTGTTGGATTAATAGTTATAGTTTTATTAATCTGCCTAATAACCACGTTTAATCGAGGTCCATGTCAATATGCCTGTCTATGCTCCACTGACTGCACTGCACATCAGTGATTAGAAGCTATTTTCTCGCCATTAGTTTCACCATTACTGGCGTAAACACCACAAATCTATGATTAATCCTGCTTTAAAACATTATCCACCTCAGAAGTCATGACGAGGCTGAAGTTGGCTTCCCATTCACCAGCTTCTTGTTCGAAATGTCCCGTTCCACCTTAAATGGAGGCACCAGAATGTAACTGCTGCACAATTTAAGGTGGAACGGGAAAATTCGACTAAGAAGCGGACTTCAGCTTACACACACAGTGCCTACCTGATGTGGGAGGACAGCAGTCTTAGTATTAGAGCCACGACTCCAAACAGTGCCACCACCACAGCGAGCATCGTCATCATCATCAGAAAAAATAAAAAACAGAAAATATTTCAGGTCAATGTAAACCAAGGCTGTCTGAAACCGTGTGGCTGCTGCTGAGGTGAATATATGGAGCGCTTTAGCTTTGGTAACTCCCACTCTCTCTCTCGCTACATGACAACACGCTGTGAATCATGGGATTGTAGTTTTTGTTCATCCACAGTGCTGTGGCTGTTTAATTAGCGCCTACAAAAAAAACTCCATTCAGTTTTATGCGTTTGTATGGAGCCCTGATGATGACATCCTGTGTAAATAAACATAATGCGTGGCCACGCCTTATTAACGCGTGGGAACGAGATCCTAACGCATGGCCACGACTTAGTAAGGCGAGGGAATGAGATGATTAAGTCGTGGCCACGACTTAGTAAGGAGATCACGGCTTACTAAGCCGTGGCCATTCATTAGGATCTCGTTCCCATGCTTTACTAAGTCGTGGCCACGACTTAATCATCTCATTCCCACGTCTTACTAAGTCGTGGCCACGCATTAATTTTATTTATACAGGATGTCACCAGCGGGGCTCCGTAGGGAGTCCTGATGATGACATCCTGTGTAAATAAAAATAATGCGTGGCCACGCCTTATTAACGCGTGGGAACGAGATCCTAATGTGTGGCCATGACTTAGTAAGGCCACACATTAGGATGTCGTTCCCACGCTTTACTAAGTCGTGGCCATGACTTAATCTCATTCCCACGTCTTACTAAGGTGTGGCCACGCATTATTTTTATTTATACAGGATGTCACCAGCGGGGCTCCGTACATTTGATTTATAAACTGTTGTTTATTATCACGTTTTAATCATGTTGAATTGTCTTTGTATTTTCTGATACATAAAGCGCTTCGACTGACCGCGGTGTATGAAAAGGTGCTGTATAAATAAACTTGCCTACTTGCATTTTCACCCATATGGAAAGTTAATGTATGCGAAATGTGTTTAGCAAAATGTATGGATTTTTTTCTGTAATTTAGATTCTGGAATACATTTTGGAATGAAAACTGATTTTGAAATGTAACAAAAAAATATAATAATAATAATAAATACATGTTCAAGTTTTTTTTTTTTTGCCCACAGGGCAAATTAGTACAGAAATGAAAGTATTAATTTTGGGCATTAGTTAATTAGAACAACGTGGCCATATTTTCAACAACTTTCCAGCCGAACGCAAGCAGTTTTTCCACACTTGCAATCATCACAAACGTCTGTTTGACTTTGTCGCGTGTAAAACTACATAAACCATAATGCATTGCGTGCTAAAGGACGCCGAGCGTTGCCTGAGAGCTTATGTCTGCACGGCTCTGCTTAAATCGAGTGCTTTAGCGTATCTACAAATTTAAAGAAGCGTTGTAAAGCATTATATATATTTTTTAAAATACCAAAATGATGTATAACGCGTCGTGCGAATGATGCAAGATGTTTATTTTTCATGGCTTGAATTTTGGCCACCTACAATCACGAGGTCCAATGAAGGAAGAAGGGTTTTGTTGTTATCGTTACTGTCGCAGCAGAATCGGAATCTGATCATTATTTTGTGTTTTTATCTGAAAAATATCCTTTCTGGCCGTTTTAAATCTTCATTCTGGGTCGCGTTTCTCGGCGAAAGTAACTGTCGATCAGGAAAACCGACAGAATGTCGTCGGAGGAGTTTGAGAAACTTCACGAGATGTTCAAATCAATATACGACGAACTGAAACTGATTCCTGATCGGGTGACTCGATGTCATGGAGGTGATATCAGATACGCACTTAATCAGCGTTTAATCACTCATAAACAGTGCACGGTGGTTAACAGGGGTGTACAGAGCCCCTCAGGCGATATGGTGATTATTTTTAATAGGGCGAGGTCACGAGTTGACTTCAGTATATTAATTCGTGGCCTCAAGATAGTAATTCGTGTGCTCAGTATATAAATTCGTGGCCACAATATAATAAATTGTGGCGTGAATCGTAATTCGTGTACTCAATAGGTCAGTTCATGGTCACAATATAGTAATTTGTGTACTCAGTATAGTAATTCGTAGCCTCGGGATAGTAACTCGTGGCCTCAATATATTAATTTGTGACCATGCCTAATAATATGTCACCTGGCAGTCACAAAGATTTGCTCACATGCATTTATTTCTTGTTCATTTCTTTATCAGTGTGTTTGATCTGTTTATCCTGTCTGTTTACATAAAGGAGGAAAATCGCAATCACAGTATTCCAGACAGTTCATTAAATAAAATTCCTTCGCTGTTCCAAACCCGTTGGGATCATCGTGTGAGGCTGTGGTGGAAAATGTGTGGAGAAGAATCCCACCACTATAGATGATGTGTGGGAAGCAGCTCCTTTAAAATCATTTAGAAGAGTTTGAGCTCGTCTTCAAGACCACATGCTTGAAAATGATGGTTCTTCAAGAGTTCTTTAGTAAAGGCAGTGATTCCGTTTAAAGCCTTGGGTTCCATATAGAACAATTTAAATGCTTAAATAGTTCTTTGCATGGTGAAATGTTCTTCAGATTGACGAAAAATGTTTTGATATGGTTCTATATAGAACCTTGGTTAGAAAATGGTTCTATATAGCACCAAAAATGGTTATAGAACAACCTTTTTTGTTGCTATAGTATAGTATGTTAGTGTTTGTTATGCTGGTACGAGTGGATCAGACACAGCAGTGTTGCTGGAGTTTTTAAACACCGTGTCCACTCACTGTCCACTCTATCAGACACTCCTACCTTGTCAGTCCACCATGTAGATGTAAAGTCAGAGACGATAGCTCATCTGCTGCTGCACAGTTTGTGTTGGTCATCCTCTAGTCCTTCATCAGTGGTCACAGGACGCTGCCCACTGGACGGTGTTGGCTGGATATTTTTGGTTGGTGGACTATTCTCAGTCCAGCAGTGACACTGAGGTGTTTAAAAACTCCAGCAGCACTGCTGTGTCTGATCCACTCAGACCAGCACGACACACACTAACACACCACCACCACATCAGTGTTACGGCAGTGCTGAGAATGATCCACCACCCAAATAGTACCTGCTCTGTGAGGGTCCATGGGGGTCCTGACCACTGAAGAACAGGGTAAAAGGGGGCTAACAAAGTATGCAGAGAAACAGATGGACTACAGTCTGTAACTGTAGAACTACAAAGTGCACCTATATAGTAAGTGGAGCTGATAAAATGGACAATGAGCGTAGAAACAAGGAGGTGGTCAGAATGTCATGCCTGATCGGTGTAGGTTTTCTTCATGTTCATATTCGTCCAAATTTAATTTCTAATTGCTTTGTTGGGTTGAATGTCTGTCTGTTCTGTTGATTAAACAAAAAAAGATCTGTAGTGATGCTGCAGAAATTCCTGCACTGTTTTTTAAGGAATGCTGTAGTAAATTCACACAGCAGCTACAGTGTCCTACAGGATGTAACATTTTATTTTAGGCCAAAAGGATCCAAAAAAGAGAATAACAGAGTCTAACAAACTCCAGTTTTAATGCTGGTAGATGCTGGATGTACTGAGAAGACCAGTTTGAGCCTTTTTCTTTGAAGTAGCAGCTCTCTTTGGATTTAGACTACTTTAACCACCTCAGCTCAGTAATGTAGGAGACTGAACCATAGTGCCGTTCTAAACCTTTAGTCTGCTGAACAGGTTTTATTTATTTCATCAAACATGCTTTTAATTTAGTCTAGAACAATCTGTATTTTACTCACAGCCGTAGTTTGTTTTTATGTTTTATTCTATAGATTGTAATGTTTTCATGGTGTAAAACAGAGTTTGTTTGGATTATTAAAGTATATAATGTTTTTTTCCTTAGAGGAGAAGAAGAAGCTGGTGAGAGTGTTTGATGAACGGCTTGGAGAGGCAGAGGAAGTAGTAAGTCAGCTACATTTACAGAAGATTGAGTAGTTATTTATATTGTTTTGTTATTTTACTGGCTTGTCATGATACCATTACGTTAAAGAGGCCATATCGGACATTCGTCTTGCATTTTATGTGTTGCCCACAGGTTTAATGTATCAAAAACAGTGAAAATGAATTTTTACATGACAATTTCCATCCTCTCTTTATCCCTTAGCATGACACAGTTTGTTTGTGACTGTGCCTTTAAGGCTGTTACATGTAAATGACCTCTGTTCTTATTGGCTGCACTAAATTGAGCTTTCATTCTAAAAGCAGTTTGGACTGAAACACTCCTTAAGCTGAGCTGGTTTTAATGACATCACATAGTGGTCTGTTTTGCAGCATAGTTTCCAGATATGGACTGTATGTAATGGGGAGTGAATGGTCATTCTGTCCAGTGGTCATACTATACTGCATTTTATACAACGGTTAGTTCCGGCCACGCAAGCTAAAGGGGTTGAGAAGCTTTCTAACTGTGCTGTTATTCCGCCACAACATCACAGGTTTTTCACAAACACTGTATCGCTCCACTGAGACGACTTTGACAGCTGTAGGAGACGCTCAAGACATTTGAACGTTTTTACTTCTTACTTTGCCACAAACAGAAAACGGACACTTTTAAGATCACATTTGACCGACAGCCGATTTGGTCAGACTCTGAAGATGAGACTACACTAAATTCCCAAACTGTCATCACCACTGAGCAGCTTTTCAGTCGGCAGCTGTGACAGGAGAACAGCTAAACATCTGGAATCAGCCAGAAATGAACCCAATACCATTCACCAAACTAAATGGGCTGTGAGATGCTTTACAGACTGGCTGGAACAAAACAACATTAATACTGATCTGGCAAAAATTGACAAAACTGAGCTAAACCTGATATTGTGGCAGTTTTATGACTCAGTCTGCACTTCAAAAGGCGGGGCTTACAGCAGACTGTGCAGCGAGTGGGCGGAGCTCGTTACTCTGACGTAGCAACAAGCTGCTTGTTAAGGAACTATAATTTGGTGAAGGAACTGCGAACATTAAAACATATTAAACGCCGCGTTCACGGCCCAGTTTATTAATTTATTACTTTATTTATTTAACTGTTGTATTAAAGCAATAGAACACTCGAGGAGTGCGTTATCGCCAATAACATCACGGCTGTGATGATCTACGGTGACCAAATCACAGCTGTGATGTTATTTCATGATAACACACTCCCTCTGTGTTCTACTGCTTAAACATACTGCATCAACTAAATTAACCTCTTTTATTTAAAAAAAAAAAAGTGAAGAAAATTTGTTTTTGTTCATCATACAGACCCTTTAACTGATTTCCAGCCTCCTAAGATTTAGACATTATGCATACAAAATGTAATTTTTAATTTATTTATCTAGTAGCTGTGTAGCCCATAGTGAAAACTCAGTTAGGTCAGAAATGAACTGCACTGGTTTATTTCTGCCATTGCAGTGCATTTAAATCTTACAGTAAAGATGCACAATGATATCAGAATCATATATTTATTTCTCCAGAAGAGCAGAGGAGAGCAGAGCATTTAGGTGACTCCACTAAAATATCTACACTTTATTAATTTTATTTATTTTACTGCATTTGTAAGATTGAAAGTTTTATTTTTCTATAAATGTTAATTGTTAGTTTCTACATTTTATGAATGTTTATGTTTTGATATCCACAGATATCGTCATGGTAATTCATATATAAGTGCATCTCTGTATTGCAGTGTAAAAACAGATTGGTAACAACCTCTAGTGGTTGTTTGAGTTTATTGTTTATTGTAAAAGATCTAACTTCTTGAAATTTTTTGAAATCCCGTGAAAATCCCTCTCTAACCACCAGGGGGCACTAAAGGTTCATAAACCCATTAAGCTGCACTCAGAGCTCTTTAATTGAAAGCTACATGGCCCTGTTATCTCTGTTTTTAGACGGTTATATAATCCACTGCTGTTTTAAATGATTTAGAAGGAAGAGTCGCAGTTATAGTGGAGGTTTTCAGAGTAACTACACTGAACCAGAGTTGATTGTATATTAAACGTTTTCTGCAACACTTTGCTTTTCAAAATTTTAAAGTAATTGATCATGTTGAATTGCTATAACTTCACATATTACATAGACAACAGTTCAGATTTTGCTGTTTATCTAAAATTGCAAAAATGAAGGAAGAACTGACGAAAGGCTTTGGGAGAAAAGCCAGAGGCCACAACTTACATCTCCTTGTTTTAACCACCTGGGCGTTTAACAAAAGTAAATTATGCCAATTTTTAAAAAAAAATCTTAGTAATTCAGCCATGAAGATGACAAAGATATTCAGAGTGGTTTGATGTGAAATGGGTCATGATAGAGAAACTTACCAGCTCACAAACACAAATATAGCCATTTTATTTATTATCCAAAACCACCAGTGAATCTACACGTCTTCTGACTTATTATATATGTTGTTGATGATGGCAAAAAAGTGGAAAATCTAAAAAAAAATGTTTTATTTGGGGGCTATTTTACTGACGTTCTACATGTACCCCTGTTACATGACTGGATTTTAAAAATACATTTTAGGCCAAAACCTTCTCAAAATTATCATAAAACAGCGTCTCAGACGTTTAGAAGCATTAAACGCTTCGGATGTCTGGTTCCTATCACCACCACTGTGAACATCACTGGCTCAGTAAGTTTCTCTAGAACAGAGCGTTTCACACCAAACCTCTCTGAATGACTCTGTTTACATCTTAAACACTGAATTATGCAGGAATTGTTTGGTGGAGTTATCCTTTAACAGTAGTTTTGGAAAAGAAAACGTTCAAAACATGGTTCAGGCAAAAGCTGGTCTTCATACCAAAAGTGCTTTGATGAACATGAAGCTGAGTTTTGAAGATAAACATGCTCAAAGCATTAGCGCATCCGCTTATGATAAGCTCATGTTGGATCAGTTGGATGTTCTGATGGTGGGAGTATCTATCGAGTGCTTCTTCAGACTCTCTGTTTTGTTGACTCCTCTCTCAGCTGCAGGGGATGGAGCAGGAGCTGTTCGGCGCTCCGGCCTCCTTTAGGAACCCCATGTCCACTAAAATCAGGCTGTACCGCAGAGATCTGGCCAAACTGCAGCGAGACCTGCGCTCGGACACAGGCCTGGGCTTCTCCGGCCGGCCGGGAGACGGCAGACACAGCGTTTATGGGGCACAGAATGAGCACAGTGTGAGTATAACTAGTCTCAGCCTCAGAGGCTCCGCCCACAGAGGAACACAGACCGTCTGATAATTACTGATGAGGATTTTGTCAGTGACATTGGGGTTGGCTATCTGCGTGTCCATACACCAGTTTATACCAGTTCAACAACTGCAGAAGTTTCAACACCCAGTCAAATTGTGCTTTGTTGATTTTCTAAGTGAAATTAAGTGAACGCATCACACACAAGCTTGAATATGACGTTTTTCTGCCAAAGTTTAGCTCATAATTTCTCTTTATTTGTTGACTTAATATATTGGGGGAAAAAACAAAAACAAAAGAAGGGCTATAATTTTTGCACAGGTTACATTTTGTGTGTTATTTTTTCTCCAACATGTTAAACTCAGCAAATAAACAGTGATTCTGAATTAAAACGTGGATGTGTTCTCTGTAGAGCCCATGTGTCAAACATGTGGGCCAGATCCGGCCTGTGACACGATCCTATCCAGCCCACAAAGACTATTTTAACCCTCTGTTGCATGGTGGTGCCTTATAGCAACAATGACTTTATCTTAAGTTTACTAAAAGGCAGTAATATTACATCTGTGCTTTCCTATTTAATTGTGGAAAAAGGGCAAATACTTTGACATCAGATGACCAGGAATTCTTATGATGTTGTTATTACCATACATTTCAAATTCCAATTGAAATTGTATTAGTTTCCAATTTTTGTAAATATTGGGTCATACATTTTACTAAGTATAAGTTGGATTTGTTTGGTCTTGTTTTCAATAAGAGGATGTTTTTAGAGAAAAATTAGATTTAATGGTCCTGTTTTTTTTAGATTTTTTGGTGCTGTGCTACGATTGCATTTTACCAAGTACCCCGCTTAAAAAAAATATATATAGTTTTTTTTTATATATATTTTCATTATTTAAGCAATTTTAAATAATACACACATTAAAACATTTTTATGATGTTTAAGTAATAATTCATGCAATAGAGGGTTAATTTTCTATTAATATTAGCCTGTTTCACAATGCGCTGCACTACAGTCCCCAGCATGCACTGCAACGTGACTCTCCTACCCCAGCAGTCTGTGGGACAGTAGTTACACCACAATTCTACACAGTTCCACATCAGTCATATCACCAAAAACACCAGGTGCATTTCAGCTGCAGTTCAATCACTGTAGACACCTAACGTCAGCTCAGAAACTGAGCCCAAGTCTTAATGAACCTGCAGCAAAGAAAGGACGCCAGGTGTCGAGTTCAAGCAGATAGGCAGGTTTAAAAGACTGAGCTCCTGGGGACGTTTACATTTTGAATATTTTAAATATTCATGTAATATTTCAAGGTCTACTACAAGTGCCAGTTCGTTCTACAGCACAACATTAATTAAAACATGAAATAAAAACGTAGGTGTTCTCTGGCCAGTGGACTTAATATGGTCCTTTTACTGGTTGAGTTTGACACCTCTGCTGTAGAGGATGTGTTAACTTTGTTGAAAATCAACAAAGTATGTCAATTGACCAGAGGCGCCCAAACTTTATATATTCGCTGGATTAAAAAAAATTCTGAATTTCGGGAGGTTTTTTTCTGAAGCATTTAATAGCAAGAAAACAAGGTATTTTCAGGAAAACCACTTTGGTCCAGCAACAGAACAGCAGTTGGTTGTTTTGTTTGTCAGTCATATTGCCCCGTCCTGTCAAAGTAGGCGGTTCTTGGCCACACTGAGCGATGAAACCTGCTCAACCCTCTGATGACAGGGCAGAAGTCAAGCTTGTGAGACTAGAGTACACATTACTGAACTTGGGTGTCTGTTCAAGCCTCCTTAAAAGTCAGATGAACAGTGTTGGACTGGATTCTCGCGATTCCTATCAGGCAAATACATTCTGTGTCTTTGCTTTCTGTCTGTTTTAGGTGATACTTTGGCATGTTTGGTGTTTGAAGTCTGCTTCTTTAGTTTTGCGCTGGATCTGCGAGGCTAATGTAGCTAAGACGTAATGGAAGCTTCTGCGCCACCAATTATGCAATGATTTAACTCCTTGGGAATCCGGTGGTTTCAAAATGCACTTCGTCATATTCTTTATTTTAATAACTTTCATATTTCATAAGCTTCATTCAAAATGTGGGGGTCATATGAGAGCTGTAACTGTCTTCTTTCCAGTCAAATAGATTCAGTCATTTTAAAACTTTATAATAAAAGCTGAGCTCACAATTTTTTTTTCTACTGAAAGTTGAACAATTTTTCCACAAATCTGAGCTACAAACTGGATCTCAGATGGCGTCTCTTCAGTGATCTGCTCTGTAAAAGTTATTTTTATTAAAAAATACAAAGACTTTTTAAGATTTTTGGCTTTCAGCAGTAAATTTGAAGCATATAGCCATATGTTTATGATCATAAAACACTTTTTCTGTTCATTTAAGGGGAACAGTTACAAAAAAACCCCAAATTTACATTTGTTTCATGCAGTTACTGAATAATTTGCCTTACGATTCGGGCATGTAAATTCAGATGGAAAAACCGAAATACACCTACGAGCATAAGAGGTTAAAGCAGTGTGTGAGATTTAGGGGGATCTATTAGCAGAAATTGAATACAGCGTACAAAACCATGTTTTCTTTAGTGTATAATCACCTATAACTATGACTCATTGTGATCTTGTTATCTTAGAATGAGCTCTTCATATCAACATAGAGGCCGCCATGTTTCTACAGTAGCCCAGATTGGACAAACCAAACACTGCCTCTAGGGGGCGGCTTTCACGTTTTTACGCTTGAAGTGGCAGCTCGAATTTGGTGGTTCTGTAGCTCAGGTTGCAAGACATAGAAAGAAGAAGAATCACTGGTTGCTATTTTGTGTTGTGGGAAGTTTGAGAACCCAGATTTTCACAAATGAAGGATCAAACTTATTATTTAGCACGAGAGAAAGAAAGAGAGGGTGAATCCTCGACGCCAAAAAAGCAAAACATCAAGAAGAAAAACTAAATCAGGACAGACAGCGACAGAAAACCTGACAGCCATCGTACGTTCTACTACACACTTGGAAAGGGACAAGTGATGGAGGAGGAATCAGGTGGTTGCAAAATGCCAGTAAATCTTACACACTGCACCTTTAAGCACACAGTTAGCACAGCGCTAATTGTTGAGGCATAAATCTCCCAGTTTTTGTGAGGTGCATGAGCCTTGTAGCTCCAGTACAGAACTAAAGAAGCAAACTTCAGACACCAAACATGTCTTGGCTGATTGAAACCATCTTAAGCTTTAACCAGCATGATGGGTGCTATCAGGATTAGCTCATGTCAGGTTACAACACACAGCATGTCTGAGCCATTTCTGAGAAGAGAGATGTTGTTTCTGTCTGGCTGGATAAATCAGGTTTGGTTCCATGCAGCTTCAAGATTGGATATTACTGCACTATTACTCACTATAGCGCTTAATGTTGTGCAAGATAAGTTGTTAACAATACAGTGCAAACTGGTGTCAGACAGCAGTATTTTTTCTTATTTTAAGTGGTGAAGATAGATTGGGCATTTCAAAAATTGTTTTGGGGCAATAGTGGGCATTTCAAAAAGTGGTGGGGACAAAATTGGGGATTTCAAAATGTGGTGGGGACAAAATTGGGCGTTTTAATAGTGATGGGGACACAAATGGGCATTCTAAAAAGTGGTGGGGACAAACTTTGGTAGTTTAAAAAGTGTGGGGGGACAAAATTGGGCATATGAAATAGTAGTAGGGGCAAAAGCAGGTGTTTGAAAAATTGGTGGGGACATAATTAAGCTTTTTGAAAAATGGTTGGGACAAAATCTGGCTTTTTTAAAAGTAATAGGGACAGAACTGAGCATTTACAAAGTTGGGGGCGGACAAACTTGGGCATTTTAAAAAGTGGAGACAAATTTAGACATTTTTAAAAAGCAGTGAGGACAAACCTGGGCATTTTAAAAGTGGTGGGGACAAACTTGGGCATTTTAAAAGTGGTGGGGGACAAACTTGGGCATTTTGAAAAAGTGGGGGTACAAAACTGAGCATTTGAAATGGTAGTGGGGACAAAATTGGGGATTTAAAAATGTGGTTGGGACAAAATCTGGCATTTTAAAAGTAGTGAGGACAAAACTGGGCATTTAAAAAGTGGTGGGGACAAGCTTGGACATTTTTGAAAAGTGGTGGGGACAAGCTTGGACATTTTTGGAAAGTGGTGGGGACAAACTTGGACATTTTTGGAAAGTGGTGGGGACAAGCTTGGACATTTTTGAAAAGTGGTGGGGACAAGCTTGGACATTTTTGAAAGGGGGGCACTGGACTTTTTGGAAAGTGGTGGGGACAAACTTGGACATTTTTGGAAAGTGGTGGGGACAAGCTTGGACATTTTTGGAAAGTGGTGGGGACAAGCTTGGACATTTTTGGAAAGTGGTGGGGACAAGCTTGGACATTTTTGGAAAGTGGTGGGGACAAGCTTGGACATTTTTGGAAAAGTGATGGGGACAAGCTTGGACATTGTTGAAAAGTGGAGGGGACAGAATCAGACATTTTAAAAAGTGTATGTAAGGGGGGGCAGAACTGGCTATTTTGTTGTAAGGACCTGTCCTCAGCATATCCTGTGTAGTTACGCCTGTTACTGACCGCAGTGCTTTAAAAAATGATGAAGTTGAACAGGATATTTTTCGTTGTTGTGCATCTGTTTCAGATGTTGCTTCATTTCCAGTGGGTCAGTTGGGTGAGGTTTACTGGTCATTTAGCTTAAGTTTCAGTTTTTTGGCCTCTTACAAGGAAATGCTGACATATAGATTTGTTTTGGTTCTGCAGTGACTCAGAAAACAGTGGACGCAGTGCTGTTACTCACAGTTAATTACAGGACATCCAGAGATTGTGCAGTGGCACCACCACAGCACCGTTACTCACACTGGGAAACTTTAACTGGTAGAAGTGACGCAATAATTCAACAACTGGTGTAATTTACAGTAAGACGAGTGTTGTACAGTTACTGGAATTTCATGTATATTTTCATTTTCATTATCATATATTTGCAAAGTGATGTTTAAGAAATAGTAAAATTTGAAATCTGAGATTCTTCAGTATAGCGGTGGGTATAGGTTAAAAGTCGCTGCCTGTGTTTCTGCAGCCTTTTCACATTAGGGTCCCCCTGCTTTGGGTAGTGATTTCACTAAAATGTACAAAATTTCTGTTTTTATTAAAAACTAAGCATATTTTGAACAGTCTGAGTGGCAGATGTTCAACACCATGCTGTATCATGAGATCATACTGTAAAATTAAGTGGTTACACACCTGTTCAAATGGTTTAAAGTAGAGCTAATCATCAAATCCTGCTTTCAAGGTTGTTTTCTCCTGTAATCCTTTGACTAGTAGTGTACACAGTCCTGTAGGGCAGGTGTATCCTTCACTGTGTGACTGCAGTACCAAATGTGAAGAGGTTTAACAGTGGCTGGAAACTGAATATGATCAAACTGAAGTGATGAAAGGCAAGAATGTGTGAGAGAGGAGACAATTCACTGAACACTGTTGTCTTCAGCGTGGAGACTCTCCCTCACAGCTGCCTTTGTGTGTGTGCAGACTCAGCTGCAGGCCCAGCGAGCTTTACTGATCCAGGGCACGGAGTCTCTGAATAACGCCTCACAGAGCATCGAGCGCAGCCACCGCATCGCAGCCGAAACCGACCAGATCGGCACAGACATCATCGAGGAGCTGGGCGAGCAGAGAGAGCAGCTGGACCGAACCAGGGACAGGGTGAGAGATGACTACTGCTGCTGCTACTAATAATAATAATAATAGTTTTGCTGACCCACTAGAACAGACATTTCTGCTCACTGACTGACTGACTGACTGACTGACCGAGGCCACTTTGTTGAGTGAAGCCTGCCACATTTCAGACTAGCTAGCATTTGCTAGTAAGCAGTGTGGGAGAGACACGTGTCCTCGCTTCAAACATGTGTTGTGTTGTGCAGAAACCTGACAGAAGCCTTTTATTTTAGAGAAAAGACAAAAAACTAAAAATAAAATGTTATTGCAGCAGTTTGATTATGTGTTTTCTGTAGATTCTATTACGTGATTTTTTTTGTTTGTTGAAAGTGTGATTTTAACGTTTTTTTTTTAGACATAGGTGAGACGAAAAGCTGGTTAGCAGGCTAGCCTGTTCACATACTTGTTGCTGTCACTTTTCTTACTCATTCTTTTCACTGTAAAACAAGATGAAAAAGGTCCAGTCATGTCATCAATCAAATGGATCTGTTGGCAAGTTTAGCTGAGTAAATGTGTGTGAGAAAAAGGTGGCTGTTTAGTGTGTGTGTGTGTGCGTGTGTGTGTGTGTGTGTGTGTGTGTGTGCGTGTGTACCTTATCATCAGTGCACACTTTAGGAAACTTTAGAGAGCAGCACAAATGCTGGCGGATATTTGAACAGTCTCACACATGTTGACTTGAACAACATTACCATCATTAATGGACTGAAATAACTGATCATTGATTATTACATTATTATACGTGGTTCAAAATCAAAATTGAAAGTGAGAGTGAATGAAGTAACAAGAAGGACAGTAGCAGCAGTAGTTCATCTGCAGCAGGCTTATAATATCATTATTTATACGAAAATGGTTCCACATATGTTGTAATAACTAAAGCTAAGTGAAGGGGTGATACGAAGGATATACTGTGGCATTCATGCATTTGTAGCTATATGTGGCTGTATTTGCGTTGTTCAATTACAAAAATGTTAGGTCTGCACTTAACTGGCCACATTTCAGCGTAACTAATGTTAGCTAGCAGGTGGTACAGCTGCAGAGATGAGAGGGGGGCTTCTGATAAGAAGGATTAGTTACATTTTTTGGGACATAAATAATTGCTTATTTATTATTTTGGAGGTAGTATTTGATTGACAGACAGGTGGGTAGACGTAGCTGTAAAGCAGAAGAAAGAGCTGTTGGAGTAGCAGAGGGTGTGAGACATGAGTTAATCTGAGATTTGTGTTGACCGTGTCCCGGGACAGACAGGAAGAGGCATCATTAATCTGCTTTCTCTCTCTGCTCTCTCAGCTGGTAAACACAGGAGAGAACCTGAGCCGCAGCAGGAAGATCCTGAGAGCCATGTCCCGACGGTGAGACGCTCAATAATCACTAACACGTCAACCGCTGCGCGTGTGGAAAAACACCAGTCTGCTCATTTTGTGTCCTCTGTCAGGCTGAGTATCATAAAACGGTGCTTTAATTGTATTGGATGAAATTATAGCGTATACCTCGGTCATTCTCAGGGAATCACCTCAGACCTTGTCCACAAATATTTGGATGTCATAATCATCACGCAGATAAACGCAATCATCACGCAATAAAAATATTCATATAATATTCATATAATTTGAGTGCTGTATGATAGTGAGATGACGTTATAATTTTTTCTATTTAAACATTTTTGTTTTAACCCAGTTCTCATTTCCTCAGTGCAGTCACGAATCTGTGTTTCATTACTAATATGTACTGCTAAAATTGGAAGCTGTAATAAAGGCAAAGAGCAGAATAACTAAATGCCGAATTAAAAAATAAATGGTATCATATGTAGTTGTTGAGGATAAATATTGATAAATATGCATGGAAAGTTTTAAAAAATGACTTTTGCACTGTACCATACATATCGTTGGTCTTGGTACAAAACCTCGGGTCTCCTTTTTTGTCATTTTTCTTTGTTTTCCTTCCATTTTCTCCCTAATTTCGTTGTATCCAGCTACACCCACTAATTAGGACTCCCCCAATCACACAGTAACACCAGCGCTAGGAGGACGAAGGCAAACACAGGCTTCCTCTGAGAGCTGTGAGGCGCCACCGCATCTGAGCGCGCTCAGAGGAAAGCGCCAACCGCCAGATCTGCTACGTCAGCTAACAGACGCCTGCGCTGACTAGCATCGTGCTGAGTGATTAATAATAATAATAATAATGCTAATATTTTTTATTTATATAGCATTTTTCATGCCGCTCAAAGTGCTTTACAGACAGGTGATAAAACATAGTTATACAAGAAATCATTCGTATTTATTTAGAATCGATATTGATTGGGGGAGACGGGGGGCCACCCTACCAGAGAGCGAGGCCAGTTGTGCTATCTTGGACTCCCGGCCACGGATGGCTGTAGCATCACCAAGCATTGAACTTGTGATCTCCTGATTGACAGGGCCAACACTTAGGTAGTTGGGCCACTTGGGAGCCCGTCACTTTTCATTTTTGTCATCATTTGAAATCACCCACTGCCCTTTACACTGTTAAAATTTTATGGTGAATGCACCAATAGAAATGCTCCAAAATGACCATTAACTTCCCCTAAAAGAACTTTTTCCTTCTTCTGTGAAGTTAACTTGTTGGAGTTAGGAGGTTTTGTTTCCAATGGCGACAGTATGTTTTTAATGTTTATTGTAAAATGTACTATTTTGAGCAACACCTCAATTCCAGGGTATCCTGTATTACGCTTGTGTGTACGTGACTTACTGTTTCTCTGTCACGACAGATTGATGACTAATAAGCTGCTGCTGGGCGTCATCATCATCATGGAGTTAGCCATACTGGGAGCTGTGGTCTACCTCAAATTCTTCAGACACTAGACGGCATCAGAAAGATAAACGCTCTCTCTTCTCTCTGTCTCACTCTCTCTGTCTCTCTATCCATCTCTCTATCTCTCTATATAAATCTCTTCCCTCTCTCTCTCTCTCTCTCTCTCTCTCTCTCTCTCTCTCTCTCTTCTCTCTCTCTCTCTCTCTCTCTCTCTCTCTCTCTCTCTCTCTGAAGATGCTGGATGATGAGCGGTGAGGCAGATCATCCAGCCTCTGTCTCCTACAGTATAGTTGGCCCCTCTGTGGCCTGGGCTTGTGCTCTGTGATTGGGCAGTATAAAGCCCCATGATGCTGGACCACATGGAGGTGTGAAGGACTGTACAACTATTTTAAGCCTTTTCCTGCCTCCGTTGGTACGAGGATGGCTCTGGTGGGGGCGTTTCTTTATCTTTGGTGCACTGATCTCTACAGACTCTGGATGAGCTTAAGCATCTACTGTGATCTGTCCAGTCTACCAGAGTGTTATCATTCATTTGGAAGAAGATGCATTTGCCGTGCCAATGCATGAACATTTGCACGCTCGCTTCATTTCAGATGGATGGACAGACAGCAATAGTGAAGGAATGGACGGGGGGTAAATGGACTTGTCTTGATATTTGTACCTGACTAATTTAATAGCTTAGCTAATGTGCCAATAGAACTGACCTTTAAGAAGTGATTTTTAACCTGAATTATTTAACAGAAGCTCTTTGTATTCATCTCAAGGCAATGTGAATATAGTATTAAAGGGGCCAGATTCTACATCCTTGTTGTATTTTAATTTTTGTCCTTGTAACTTCAGAGTAATGGGCGGTGCCAAACTGCTGTAGGCTCAGTAAACGGATATACACCGATCAGGCATGATATTATGACCACCTCCTTGTTTCTACGCTCATTGTCCATTTTATCAGCTCCACTTACTATATAGGTGCACTTTGTAGTTCTACAGTTACAGACTGTAGTCCATCTGTTTCTCTGTATACTTTGTTAGCCCCCTTTTACCCTGTTCTTCAGTGGTCAGGACCCCCATGGACCCTCACAGAACAGGTACTGTTTGGGTGGTGGATCATTCTCAGCACTGCAGTAACACTGACGTGGTGGTGGTGTGATAGTGTGTGTTGTGCTGGTCTGAGTGGATCAGACACAGCAGTGCTGCTGGAGTTTTTAAACACTGTGTCCACTCACTGTCCACTCTATTAGACGCACCTGCGTTGTTGGTCCACCCTGTAAATGTAAAGCCAGAGACTCATTTCTTGCTGTACAGTATGAGCTAATCATTGTCTAGTCCTTCCTCAGTGGTCACAGGACGCTGCCCACAGGACGCTGTTGACTGGATATTTTTGGTTGGTGGACTATTCTCAGTCCAGCAGTGATACTGAGGTGTTTAATAACTCCAGCAGCACTGCTGTGTCCAATCCACTTGTCCTGTGACCACCAATAGAGGATGATTAGCTCATACTGTACAGCAAGAGATAAGCTATCTTCTCTGGCTTTACATCTGCAGGGTGGACCAACAACGCAGGTGCGTTTAATGGAGTGGACAGTGAGTCAGTGTTACTGCAGTGCTGAGAATGATCCACCACGCAAACAGTACCTGTTCCGTGAGGGTCCATCGGGGTCCTGACCACTGGAGAACAGGGTAAAAGGGGGCTAACACAGTATGCAGAGAAACAGATGGACTACAGTCTGTAACTGTAGAACTACAAAGTGCACCTATATAGTAAGTGGAGCTGATAAAATGGACAATGAGCGTAGAAACAAGGAGGTGGTCATAATGTCATGCCTGATCAGTGTATATGTGAACTTAAGATGACTTCAATAACTTTTACGTATTACAGGTAAACGTATAACAAAGCAAGGAGAATGTGAGTTTCCATGATGCAGGTCCTGTTTAGTTAGGATGGTGTTTGTGTGTTCAGACAAGTGCGTCACCCAGGGTTATCAAAGAGGAGCAGAACAACACATGCAGTTAGTTATGTAAAGCCTGGGTTGGTGGGTGGAGCATGAATGTGTTTGTATATGTATGTGTATGTTTTGACTGGTCACACTCGGACATGGCTAGGAGCAGAGTCTGAGGAACACCTGTTGTTGTGGAATTAGCCGGCCATCTATAACATTTGATCCTGACCTACAGTAACCCACTGACCCACCGACTTCCATGCGCTGCCATTTGCGGTCAAAATCACAGCTGGAGCTCAGCGCTGTGCTACCATGGAAAGAAATGAAACGGCAGGTCAGCAAGCCTAGACTGATGGTGTAGAAGCCAATGAACTAGTTGTACTAAAATCTGAATCTCTTCACCACCCCTCCTTCCAAAAAACAATAAAAAATAAATAAAAATAGTAGCAAATAATAAAAAGAATGCTTTTACATAGCATGAAGCTCAAGACCAGTTTACACAGTATCGAACAGGGATGTATGATGGTATTAGAAATATATCAGTGTCAGCTAATCAGATTATTGCTTATAAAATATGAGCAGATGTTTAGATTTGTATTTATTGAAGTCGAGAAGAACAGAATGTTTAGGTGGTGTGCTGTGCTGTGTTACTGCACAAAAGTATCTGCATTTTAGTCATTGTACTCCATTTGTAACCCTCTACAAATACGTTTTTGCTAGTCCAGGTGTATTTAGTCCCAGTTTGTACATTTTATGAATATTTATATATCAGCAGATATGTATATGTAAAATGCCAAATATCTGCATCAGCCCACAGTTCTCATAACAGTGCACCCCAAGTATACCCAACACCCTAAATAACAGTAGAAAGCAACAGAATAAATTGGTTATAATAATAATAACAACAATAAAAGCAGTAGAGAACAGGGACCAGCAGTGAAACTCAATAATAAAAAAAAATAAAAGGAAAACAAAAAAGTATTTTTGACATATTTTGAAAAGGCCTGTTGCCCTTAACATTGTGTGTAAATTTCATGATTAATGGACCAAAAAAAAAGTCCCAAAAAGCCTTGGAAAAATGTCTGGTTTTATTGACTTACATTAAAAGAAAAGTAGTTTTTTTCCTTCTCCCGTAAAGTCATCATTTTGGAGATGCAAGGTTTTCTTCTGTCTTCTGACAACAGCGAAATATATATGCTAATATTAAAGACTACTTTCCTCTTTTGTAATGAAACGATGTGTTAAAGCTACGAGTTACCTTATACAGTTGTATGCTAATGCTAATGTTTGAGTACCCCTGGTCAAATTTCACATTTTGTTCATTATTGGAGTGAAAAGAAGTAAACACAACCACAGCAAATTATGTAAAATTAATTGAAATGGCAGTGAAGGGGATCTGTGGAAGTCAAGGTAAGATCTGGAATAACAACTTCCCTAATATAACTGCTCGTAAGTTGGCTAGAAAGGCAAAGCAAAACCCCCATATGACAGCAAAGGACCTGCAGGAAGGTAAAAATACCGATGCCACAGTGACCAAAGGTACGTTTGGAGGGAAAAAAATGAAAATCATTTGAAGAAAGGAACACCTTGCCAACTGTTAAGCATGGGGCTGAATCTTTAAAGCTTTGAGGTTGTGTGGCAGCCAGTGGCAGGAAACATTGCACAGGTAGATAGAAGAATGGATTACACATAAATATCAGCAAATTCTGGAGGCAAATGTGACAAAGCCAGTCAAGAAACTGAAGCTGAAAAGCTTGCACGACAAGAGAGCGATCCAAAGCACCTCAAAATGCACCATGAATTACCTTATGAAACAGAAGCTGAAGCTTCTGGAATGCCGCTACAGTCCCATGACTTAAACATCATTAAAAATCTGTAGGTCGATCCTAAACATGCCGTGCATGCAAGACTGCCCAGGAATGCTGCAGCACTGGAAGTATTCTGTGAAGTATTCTGTGTGGGTGAGAATTCCTAAAACAAGACCAGAAAGACTTCTAGCTGGCAAAAAGCACTTTCAAGCTGCAGTATATACCAAAGGGGGTTTCCAAACTTTTGCACATGCCACAAATCCCATTTTATTCATGTATTTTTAATCAAATATAAAGTAAATGTGGATTAACATTTACAGAAAACATAAAAATAGCTGCTTATGTTCACTTCTTTTCACTTCTAACATCAACACATTATATAGCTTGGCTGGGTGCCAAAACTTTTGCACACAACTGTATATAGAAGTAGGATCCTAAACAGTTCTCTGCAGTGGGGTATACAGATTTTGGCTTGAATGAAAAAGTGCACTGGTATCGTATCGGCCGATACCAAGTTATCTGCTATCTCCAGGTATCGGAGTCGGGAGAGAAAAGGTGGGATCGGTGCTTCCCTGTTGTTTGGGGACTGTAACTACAGTGAGTGAGTGCGTTTACATGCACTCAGTAATCCAATCATAATCGGATTTCTGCAGTAATCTGATTAGTCAAATGGTTATGTAAACAGCATGCTCTGATTTCTTAGATCGGAGTAAGGTCTAGAAATCTGATGAAGAAATCTGATAAAGAGGCTGGATTTTAGCTCAGTGATCAGATTTCTCAGTGCATGTAAACTCTTACTCTGATTTCTTTTGGATTTCTCAGTCTGAGCATGTGTGAAAACAGACTGTGGTACCAGAAATAAGCCAGCAGTGTCGCCACTAGACGCAGTAAAACACTTTTGGAGCGACGCTGAAACCGACTACATGCTTGACAAAATGAAGGATTTAAATATTCCTCATCTTCTAGATGATGTATGTTCATATTTTCAGGTAAAGTGGCGTGATGTTTTTTAAAAACCACAGCATGGATTTTGAGTTTTACATTACGTTTATGTCACGTCTTCTTCTGTACGTTTATTGGCTGGTTGCAAAGCAGAAATCTGATCACTGCCTGATTCATGTAGGCCTGGAGTTTCCCATTATCTGATTACTGAAGAGCATGTAAATGCGTTGATCGGATTACTGACAAAATCTGCTTTTCCACAGTTATTGGATTAATAAGTGCATGTAAACACACTCACTGTTACAGTGAAGCTGGACTACAGATTTCAGCCTGTTGGCTTCATGAATGGTAGTGTCCATTAGGCTGTTTCAGAGCTCACTGGTGGAAAATGAGAATGTAAACTGGTTGATTTTGTGTGAGCAGTGTTTTACTGCCTTAATAGTCGCAGGAGGTGCATGTGCCGTCAGGTACTGAATCAAGGCCAGCATGAGTTTAACAGTTTATTACAACATAAATAGTTTTTTTCAAACAGGACAACAAAATGGAAACATTACTTAAAAGAGTAAACAGATTAAAAAGGAGAATGAAAGTGAGCTGAACGCCATGAGACTTGGCATTGCAAAGAAAGGAAGTAGGTTGTACTTTTAAAGTACAATTACAAATTCAGGTACACTATTTTGAACTTGGTTCTTTGAGGAAAGAGATCATCTACTTAAAAGAATCATCTGCAACTACAGTCAAGTAAAAATCACTCAAGTAGAATCTACTGTTTTAAAAAAAAACAAACAAAAAAGTAACAACACTAAAGAAATTACATTCAAACCATGTCTGGTCCAAAAGTGCAAACATGTCTTGTTGAAAATGAAACTCAGTCAGTGGGTCTGCTGCCGATCTTTTCCAACTGAAAGCGAAGAGTTGCAGCAGACAGAACACGTCAATGAAGCACACACAACTTTTTTTGCCTCTCCTTTGGAGGCAGTCACTCATGAATATGCATATTTTAGGACTGAACCATTTCCGCAACCCAACTCACTTCAACAGATGTTAGTGGGGATGTACCAGTACACATTATTATTAGCTACCATATTAGCTGATACTACGTTAGCACTGATTAATCACTGCTGTATGTTACATCTGCATAGATCTGTTATGCTTTCTCCCATTATTGGCCAAGTCTGTTAACCAACTGATTAAATTTCCCATTTAACAACACTGTAGCATCAATACAGTCCTTATGTGCCCCCATCAGGGCCAGTACTGATTTTGGGTGATGGTACTGGTACGTCTCCATCTGTTGGCTGGTACGAGTTGGTGCCAGTCCTTTTATGTTCATGCTACGTTTCTACATCTATGCAGCTGCCGCTTTTTATTTCAGAGGGTAGCGCTTTCCCTCTATGCAGGTACCTCACTCAGACGGACTGCTGTGTAGTTTAAGATTGATAACTCTTCCTCCTGTGCACCATAAATGTCATCTTGTTTACAGTTTTGTGCAAATTGTGTTTGTCTGTTCAAAGTTTGGAATGCCAAGTGGTTCCTATGTTTTTCCAAGTCCTCGAGTGACTGGCAGCTGTTCTACAGTCTGAGTTGTTCCGTGTCCTCTTTGGGTGCAGGAATCTCCTGCAGGGCGACATGCGCGCCTTCGCGCGTCTGACCCAGAGCCGAAGCAATAACATCCACTGCTAGGCTGGCTGTAGCCTCCACCGCTTCAGGACCTCCTCCCAGCACGGGGTTCACCTCGACCAGGTCCATCGCTGACAGCAGCCCTGTGGAGAAAAGAAAATATCTTAAGAAATCTGTAGGACAGACGTTACTGATGTTCCGGCACCAAATACTGTTTTGATTAAAAGTACAAATGTTTTCTATAGCCGGGGTTACACCTCACGACTTTTACCCCGATTTTACCCCCGATTCTCAGTCTGGCCGAGTCTGGGCTGGTCGGCTCTAGTCCGTAGTCTGTCAGAGTCGACAGCTGGAGAGAATCGAGTCGTGTGTGAGGGGCGCAGACTCAGATTTACTGCCTCCCGATTGCGTTTCAAACCAGTCACAGTTTATCACAAGTTTTTCAACACAACTCTGAGCTAATCTAGTCTAAACTGGTCAACGACTCAATCTGAACGGATTCCCGCAACAGCCATTGAAAACTGAGCATGAAAGAAAAAAAATACAAGAAGTAAACAAAGCAAAAATGGCAAAAAGTCTCTCACGGGTGGAGCGAAGCTTTTTAATGAGCTCAATTTGAGGCACAAGCACAACCGAGTTATGTATGTTTAAAACTAAAAAATAGCAGACTGATCACATTTTAAACCCATGAGTCTCACTTAAGCATGTTTAAGTGTTCAGCACAAACGGCAGAGAAAAGCAGTAGCAGCTCCACCTTTGTTTATTTAGGTCTCCTAGTAACTGGTAACAAAAACCAGTCTGATGGTGTGAGATGCCCAGTCTTCTATAATCTGTTAAGACTTTAAAGTCGTGTAGTGAACCCAAGGCTTTAGTCTGGCTTAACGAGACTTGGGTTTTCACTGCATTGAAAAGTTAGCTAGCTGTGGCGAAGGTAAAAAAACAAGACATAAAGAATGACATGTATCTAGATACGCTACCTGTGTTGTGGATCTCCTCTGTGATGTAGATGCCCTCTCTGTAGGTCAGTCCCCCATTAACAGGAGTTCCTGTGGCGGGGGCCAGAGCCGGATCGAATGCATCGATGTCAAAGCTCAGGTGGATGGGACGTTGTTTTCTGTGAGTGGTAACGAAGGAGAAATGTTACCTTCACTAATTGTCACAGCACAAATTTAGCTAGGCTGATAGTCCAAGCCAGAGAATGTCCAGTAAGATCAAAATTCCTTGGCGCTTTAAACCTGAAGAAATCATTAAATAATTTTAAAAGTTAAAATCAAGTCAACTTTTTAAAGTTGCATTAAGAGATTACCGTTTAAAAGGTTACTGTTTCAGAGAGTTTCTATCTGTAGGGAGACTAGTTATAGTAATATATATGTTGCATATAAACTCTGTGTACCTTGCCAGGAGATGATCCAGTGTAACTTCCATAACTCTCTGAATGCCCATCCTGTCGATGTCCCTCATAGAGAAGTACTGTATTCCCAGGTTCTTCAGAATGACACTGAAAAGAACAGATAAGAACAGGTCATGACCAATTAGAACATTTTGGTGCTTGTCCTTTGTTCTGAGAGTTGGATGGCGTGATATAAGCTCTGCCTCATGGTCTGATCTTGCAGAGCTGTAATTATTGCTATCAGTATGATGACAAAACGTCTGCACCAGGAACGTCCGGTCTTATCTGCAAAGTTTTCATTCCAACCAGGCAGGAAGAACATGTGATCAGTTGTTTGGACTGAAGTGTTTTATGAGGGGAGTCAGGTGAGCTCGAACTTGTTTATAATGAAAACCTGCAGCCACACAGGCTCTATTCGGATACGATTGGAAGCCACTGGTCTACAGTGACCACGTCCTTTGTTAACTTGTCTGAGAGACTGCTGAAGAAGCTTGTCTCGTACACTCATTGTGTTCTTTTTGCAATCTCTTCTATCTTCCTGGACGCAATGGAGAGAACTACAACTAACAACAGGCGAGAAGAGAGGCTTAAAGTGTGGCTTGGGATTAAATGTGGTCCTCTAGAAAGTGTGGCTTCTGGCCATCTAGGTCTCCTGTTATCTTTGGGCTCAGTTTCACCCCATTTAATGTTTAACGTGATGTCAATCATTTATTTACCTGACAAACGTGTAACAATTTTAATTATAAATCACTTTCTGCAGGTTTAAATTGATGGGGTCAAACTGCCCCCAAGGATAAAGATCTTAGTAAATTTGAGGATAACAGGAGGGCTAGAAGGGGTTTTTAGCTTGCTTATTTATTTATTTATTTATTTATTTATTTATTTGGAAGAACGGCGTAGCCTACTTACTGCTCGCCTGGGTCCACATCTCTCAGGCCTATGTAGACCAGATCTCTGGCACTGAGAAAAGGCTTCATCCAGGAGAAACCAGGAACATCTGGCATCTGCAGCCAAACATAAAAAGATGAGGTCAGGGGAAAAACTTTTTTTTTTTTTAAAGGCTAATGTTGTTAACAAGCATTGACAACTAGTACCTGGCCAGATTGCATTGTTTGCTGTTTGATTTTACAGATAAAACACGACATGCAGTGTGAGAAACCATGCAAGTGAGTCTGAATGGGCTGTAATAGCTACATTAGCCTCACAGCTCCAATGCAAAACTATGCAAAACATGTCTTGACTACATTGCTAGGGGGGGAAACTTTCTTGAAGAAGAATGAATGAATGTTTTGAGAAAACATTGTTACTTTTGGTGGACAGATGCTTTCAGTCCAGGTCAGTTCAAATGCTGTTTGTGTTAAGTGATAAAACACTGTTCTACTGCTCATCTGAGGTATCAGTGTGTCTACAAGGAACTGTGCCAGGCTTGGAGATGTTCATATACGTCTCTGGGAAAAGTACCATGAAAGTGCTTTGAATGACCGCGGTTATATAACATCAGGCCTATCAGGATAGATTTGAGGGTTAGATATACAGATGGCTCACCTTGTCCTGCAGCTCTTTGAGCATGAATGCCACGGCTTGGCCATGGAGGTTTCCAGACGGTGAGGTCAGTGGGGTGTTGATGTCTGCATGGGCGTCAACCCAAATCAGACAAAGGTCTGGACACTGCTGGGCGTGGCCTTCCACTGAGCCAATGGCCAAGCTGCAAGGGTAAAACCAGCACGTCAGTTTCATTCCTGCTATACGTTTGTTATGTAAGTTTTCTTTCAGCCCAGGGCTGCATATGAAAGAAAGATTTATTGCATAGTGCGATCAGCCCAACAATAAAGAATGTCAGGCTGACTACGTGGCATCCTTTTGACATAAATGCACCTCATATAGTCTATTCAGAGAAACTGCCATTCAGGTACAAGTTCCTGGTAACCTGTTAAGTCAGTTTTATCAAGCTGAACAAACTGTGCTGCTGCCAAGGGCAATTCAGTTCTTTAGCAAGGGCTGTTATAATTTAACCATTATTAAATTTATAACCTTAGGCGGAAATGTAACCGTCAGTGGTGAGGACATACCTGTGGTCTCCTCCAAGCATGATGGAGGTGTGTCCCGCTCCTACAGCCCTGCTCACGGCCCCAGACACCAGTTGAGTAGCCGGTCCAACCGTGCGTGGGAAGGGAACATGCATGAAGTGGTCATCTTTCTCCAAGTGCTGGAAGCTCAGGTCTCCGAAATCATGAACTGGGAATTCTGGAGAAGCAGACAAAACAACTTCATTGACAGACTGCAGCTGGTAGTGGTAGTTTTTGATTAAAGCTCTTAATACAGCTTCATTATCCTTCAGGATTCTGAACTACAGGTTGATGTGATGTATTCTTGGGTGGGTCAGCCACAGACACTGTCTACCAATAGCATGGTTAAAAAATAATCCTAGCCAGGTAGCTGTGATCATTTTTTTCCTGGAAATAAGCTGGTAAAAATACATGACTCTTATCTTCACTAAATAAATGTTGAAAAGAAAAGTAGTACCAGACTGTTTTTGTCATATTTTCAGGATTGCTGCACAATTTCTAAAATAAATTTAATGCTTTTTAAATGTCTCCAAGGCCTCAACAATGGAAAAATAATGCCGATTCCGCCACACAACAGTGCACACAAACTCAAATATGATATTGTATCTCCATATTTGTCTGTTTTCATATTTAGGATAATGATCCCTTCACATTGTGTTGATGGTGCAACCATATCTGGTTATTAACTCCCTTTAAAAGTTTGGAGTAACAAGGTTTTGTTCAGACAGCAAAAATAGATTAATATTTACCATATCAGAACAGTGATCATTTTCAGTTGGGTGTCGGTTGAATATTTCTGGTTGTCAGACTATTCTGAATTGTTTAATATAGACAATGTGTTTTTTTAAAACCAGTTTTATTTTAGAATTTAAGACTTAAGACCAATTTTAAAATGTACAATTTAATATAATTTGTGACCTTTTTAAAACCGGATCTGTGGAGCCCTGATTTCTCTGCATTTTAATTGCTGTTGCTCTCTACACTTTTAAAAATGATGGGTTCTTTAGTAAATAAAGTGAAGTAGAAAATGATTCTATGTAGGATCATGAACACTCAAAGAACCCTTTGCATGATTAAAGGGTTCTTTGCATCGCTAAATAGTTCTTCAGATTGATGGAGAATGTGCTGCAGATTGTTCTATAGAGAACCTTTTCAAAAAGGGTTCTATACAGCACCAAAAGAAGTCCTTCTATTGTTATGATGTCAAGCCTGTAACAATAGAAGAACCCTTTTCAAAAAGACTCCATATAGAAGCATATAAAAACACGTTCTCCATCAATCTGAAGAACTCCTTCACAATGCAGAGAACTCTAATCATCCGAAGGGTTCTTCTACTGTTCATGGTTCTAATATAGAACCATTTTCTTTACTAAATGAGCCTTGAAGAACCATCATTTTTAGTGTGTAGGAACAGTCACAGCAGAGTTGTGTCGTTGTCTTGGCCTCTTATTTTCTATGATCACACTTCATGGCTGAAACCACCAGCGACGAAAATTAATAATAATAATAATAATAATAATAATAATAATAATAAAATAAAATAAATAAAAATGTCTGGTAGCAAAAAATGTCCGGAGCATACTGCAGTGCGACAGTTTCTAATTGTAGTAATCAGCGATCACTTATTTTCAGCAATGTTGGTCCCTCAGCTATTTAAAAACAGGTATGTGCCCCGCCCCGACCACTCCCACCTAACTCTGACCAAGCACACACCTCGCCCACTCCCTCTGGGTGGCAAGCAAAGGCAGCTGTTACTCGATCGTGTTTGGGGATGCCTGACGGGGCATTTTCCACCTGCCCCATTTCCCATAGTCCTGTGCTCAGGTTTCTCAGGGCCCCCAGAAGCCCAGACTGCTTACCATCACAGAACGAATGTGTGGAAACTGGGCTGCAGTGAGTGGGCAAAGCCACTGTCGGCCAGATCCTGCAGGGCGTGGAGTTGGAACGAGGTAAACAAAGTGATGTTTGTGGGTTTGTGTATGTGTGAGGGGTGGGGCCTGGGGTAAGTGTTTGTAAGCAACTATGCTGGATGGACCCCATTGAGTCGAGGGTGGGGCAAGTGGGCCGACTGGTTTTGTATTACTTGTCTCCTCCAAATCCAGTGATGCCCTCCAACAATTTACAGTCGCATCCAGACAGGAATAGACTGGAACATCACAGCCCCATTTAAACCAGTAAAACGAGCGCGCTGCAAACGCAGGCCATGCTTTTGGATGGAAAAGGAGTTCAGAGCATGTATGGAGTGCAGTGTGTGAACTGCTCTGTAGGTCTGAGCCACCGCTTTATGTGCCATAAATGCCAGATTCTTGTTTTAGAATCACCATCTTAGGGTAGCAGACAAGACCTAAGGGTGGGCGGTACGGCAAAAAGATAACATTGGGATACAATGTTTTCACCATGTACAACATCACGATATTTTATTTTTCCTAACATTTGTAAGCAACAACTGTAAACATCTGGAAGAGACAAAGTGCACCAGCAAAACAGTCAAGCCCATTTAAGAAAACCTACATGAAGACTTTTAAATGTGAATTAGGACGTCAACATTACGAACTGTATGTAATTACATATCAGACTTCTGCCATGACTCCTGACTGTCCGTCCAATATGGTCAAAGTGTTTTGAAGGCTCCTCATAGGCGGCCTGCTAAGCACGAATGCAACTGGACTCATCATTGCATCACTTTTTCATGGTGCAACACGCCTGCAGTGCTGCATGGCATTCGTCCAACATTTCATGGCCTTTTTTATTTTGCAGAAATACAGCATTTAAGAAGAAAAAAAAAATGGGAAAAATAACACAATGACATAAAAAGGGAAGGCTTAATGGGCTGATACACTCTTTTCTATGCCACTTATTCAGTTACTGTACATTGGTTGTTTACAGGCTCTCTATAATAGGTCTAAATCTTTATGATAGTGTTCTACATACTAAAATACCCATTATATACTCAAAAAAGCACATTGAAACCTAATTTATGATGACAATGAAAGCATCATCAATGCTTAACCCACTAGGCAGGGCTACATGACAAAAAATATCATGTTGCAATTACTGTGTATTACATCTGAGATCATTTTTTGCTATACACTAAAAACCCAGTAGTGAACTCAAGACTGGCCCGTATTACTTTGACCAAAAATTGTGTTTGTTAAGCACTGATTAATCAAAACACTCACAAATGTATGAGGCTGAATAAAAAATGGATTTGTGATTGGTTAGATGGCTTATTTGCATATTTGCCTTATGCAATCAGTATTACCACTATTGCGATAATGACTAACAAACTGTCCACTTCAGTTCCTAGACGTAATGTCAGCATCAGAAAGGGAACTGACTGCTTCTAGATGTTACACAGTTACCCAGAAATTGTGGCCACTCCGTTCTTTCCAGTACAAAAACACTCAGCTGATTTCGACAGGAGAGAATTGCATTCATCCGTTTAGGAAACCGCCTCACTCTGGTTACAGCTCCATCTACGCCACAGCAGCGGCCTGTCCTGACACGCCCAAATGCTGCAGCCGCAGTGATGTGAAACACGATGTCAACATTACGAACTGTATGTAATTACATATCATTTGTGTGATTGGAGGCTTCTGCTATGACTCTCTCGACTGTGCGTCCAGTATGGTCAAAGCGTTCGAAGGCTCCTCGCAGGTCAAGCACACATGCACCAGGACTCGTCCTTGCACCAGTTCTTTCATGGTGCGACAAGCCTGCAGTGTTGCTGGGCTTTTAACAAGACTTCACCCAGCACGTTCCCTTCACAGCACCTTCCACTCAAAGATTCAAAGATTTTTGCTGGAATCACAGGAAACTTTCAAGAAGTGTGAAAGTTGGGTAACCCAGTTAATATACGGAAAAAAATGTAATATGATAAGAAAAAATCTCAGAACGTGCCCTGATGGGTCTGAAGAGATGAAGTTTTGCAATGTGCCAGTTTGAATCCTGTCAATATCTGCATACTTTCTCAAAAAACCCTGATTTTTTGTGAGGGAAAAGCACTGAAACTGTTCAAAAGTTTGCCACAAATCGTGTTATTTTGTATACACAACAACAACTTAACAGTGTGCATTTAAACATTACTAACTCACCACTATTAACATTTTTTTAAATGTTTTCTTCAATATTTCATGAATTGTGTGAACAAGAAGGGAATAAAATGCCGAAGAACGCAGGATAATTATCCACTTACGTTTTTTTGTCACGTTATCTGCCTCAAAATACGAAATTCTGGATGTTAACTTTATTACAACTTAATTGTCGACCATTCTGACTCTGTAAGTTTCTCTAGAACAGAGCATTTCACACCAAACCACTGACTCTGTGACATCTTAATGATTAAATTATGCAAAAAGTTTGGAAAATCAGCTAAATTCTACTTCAAAGGCCGAGTAAAAAAAAACAAAAAACAAAAGGTTGACAAAAACAGCATACCTGACAGAAAGGTGTAAACCTAAGAGTAACACTGAAAAAGGTTAATATTAGCTGAGAACCTGAGATTAACACTAAAAAGCATGATTGGTCTGAAGTGATAATATTTTGCATAGTTATTTTTTAGATGAACATCTCAAAGAGCTTTTTTGAATCCTGTCAATATTTACATACTTTTACTCGCAAATAAATCTGATTTTTTCTTTTTTATATTTGAAAGTGAGGAACTAAAACCAAAAATTTGCCAGAAATCTTTTTGTTATTTTACATACAGAATAACATCTTGAACGGTGTGCATTTAAACATTACTAACTATTCACTGAAAGGACGCTCTCTCCAAAATTTCAAGAATTCTCTGAACAAGAAATGAACAAAATGCTAAAGAACACACAGTAATTATTGATTTACATTTACATTTTTTGTCACATTATCGGCCTTCAGATTTTAAAATATGAAATTCCAGATGTTAACTTTCCTATAACTTAATTGTCGAGAATCAGTTTATACATGTGGCTGCAACCAAACTGATTTTTTTATGTTGTTAAACTTTTGTACCAGTGCGCATATTTTCTATAACACATAAATATAGTACCACATGACCAAAGACTAAAATTAATATTAATATGATGAGGATTTCCTAAATTTCCGATAAGGACATTCGTAGGCCTACGCTGGCTGTACCTCTACCCTTCTGTGGTGAAGTGGTTAAGAGCTAAACAGGGTGTTGGTTTGATGCCAAAAGTGAGTCGCTTGTTCACATTCAATGGAAAAAAAAAAGCCTGGGCTTTAGATAGCCTGTACTATCCTATTACATGCTGGACACAGAGTTGCATAACATCCCTGAACACTATGTAATGTTTATCCCTTTGCCAGCTGACTTAAAGACCATCCACAGTGACTTTGCACATTCCCAGCATAAAGCTGGACACTGCCACAGTTACAGTTCCACTACAGCCATTACGCTGTGCCTCTTTAATCCCTTTTTAAATTAATTTAATCCCAAATTAAAGGATTATAAAAGGAAACCTGACTGAACAAAATCACAAATTGTCCTCTAAAGGTCGGAGCATCACCCCACACACTTCAGCCTTTCAGGCTAATTCAAAACCGCACTACAAGTGCTGATGAAATTCTGATATAAATGATAACGAGAAGAGCACATAATTTAAAAAGTAGAAAATAGACAGTTTAAATATAAAAGGACTCTATTTTAACAGTGAAATAACCAGATTAACAATAAAAAAAACTGTTAAGGTCAACAGTAAAAACAGAGAGGGTCAGTTTCCCAGGCAGGTCCACATTTTTACAGTTGAATTTACTGTTAATCTTTTCTAACAAATCTCTAAATCTCTCCTGATCAATCCAGTCACGGACAACATATCCGTTGTGAAAATCTCCATTCCATCATAATGGGACTGGAATTAATCCCTGTTCAGTTTATTGCAATTTTTCTTATTAATTCAGCGGGTGCGATATAAACAGAGTCATTCCGAGCGGTTTGGTGTGAACTGGTTCAGATTTCTTTACAGTGGTGGTGATAGGAACCAGGGGTCGCCATGACTACACACAAATATAGACATTTTATTTACTATCCGGAACCACCAGTGAACTTACACAGTCGAGTTTACATGGAATGTTGATGATGGAAAAACAGTGTAGATTGTTTTATGATAGTAAAACCTGCTCAAAGCTCAGACAGGGAATTCATAACCATTTCATGTAGTAACTCTGTGTGAGGGAGCTTTTAGAGGTGGACGTCTGGTTCCTATTACCACCACTGTGAACCATTCTGACAAGAACGGAGCGTTTCACACCAAACCACCCTGAATAAAATTTTTTAGATGAACATTTCAAAGAGCTCATTTGAATCCTACCATATTTGCATACTTTTACTCGCAAACACAGTCTGATTTGTTCTTTTTTTTTTGAAAGAGAGGGAAAAAAAACAAAACCATTTACACTCGTGTTCAAAAGTCTGCTGTCTTACATACACAATAACAACCTGAAAAGCGTGCATTTAAACATTACTAACTATTCACTGAAAGGACGCCCCTCTCCAATATTTCAAGAATTCTGTGAACAAGAAGTAAATAAAATGCTAAAGAACACACTCTAATTATTTATTTACATTTTTTTGTCACGTTATCTGTCTTCAGATTTGATCTCCACTTTTAAAATATGATACTGAATGTTAACTTTACAACTTAGTAAAAAAAAAAACTACATGTACAACATTAGCATTAAGCTTAAGATCAACATTAACGTTAAACCTAATAAATAAGGGGACTCCTAAGCACAGTAATGCACCCTTGACAGTAAAACCGGATCCAGTCAGATCCAGATTCAACCAAAACAGCCCGACAAGATTCGTTTTGAATGATCCTGTAAAGTTACATAAGACGAGCTGGCGCGCCCTGAGAGACAGACAGTGGGGCGCGCGCGTGGGAGGGGCAGGGGATGACGCAGCCAGGCACGCGTGCGTGCCATCTCCCTCGCGCGCGAGACACAACTTTAAAGCGTTCCAAACGAACAACGTGTAACGCGCCAACGTTCTAAGCCGAACGTTCTCAACGTACATGTGTTCTAGAACGAATCTGGGGAAGGCGACCAATGGGGAGCCCCCTCTCCCCGCCACGTGACCCCGAAAGCGGTGGCTGGTGTAACCGTCGCTCACGCTTCCATCAGTGTGGAGCTGAAAGCCGGCGGCGGTCCCGGCTGCAGGAACGCGGTTTAAACCCCAGAATAACTCACCGAGGTTAGTCAGTCTCTCCACCAGACCGGCGTCCCGGATGGCCTTGGGTCCGTACTCCACTCCTCTCCTTTTCTGAAAAACAGAAAGATACGGTCACGTCAGGTGGAAGAGTCTAGCTACTTTAACAGTCCTCAGCTAACGGTGCTCTGAGGAGCTCAGCTTCTGGCCCGAATTTTCCCGTTCCACCTTAAATGATGCAGCAGTTACGTAACTTCTGCACTATTTAAGGTGGAACGGGAGAATTCGGACAACGAAGCCAACTTAATCGTTTGTGCTACACTGAAATGTGTAGGTAGGACAATTTGATGGCCCAAATGTACTTATTAGCAAACTTTGCCAGCATTAAAATAATAATTAGGATGTTTTTGATCGCCTAAAGCACCTAAAAGTGGTAATACAAAGCTGAGTCTGCACTGAATTGACATCGAAAACTCACCAAATAAAAGGTTTGAAACATTAAGCTGCTGCGCTGTTTTATGAGAGCTGAGGTGAGACGTACCTGTCCTTTGGAAAACGGAGCTCCCAAAACTGCCACGGAGTGAGCCCGGCTGTGCTGACAGGAGCCCAGCGTGGACCGGAGGAAGCGGCAGAGAGGTCCCCTCAGCGCCATGTCGGGTTAAACTTACTTAAAATGAAAACAATAAACAAAAAATGAGTGTAAAAAGTCGATGTGGGTGCGAGTTTAGCCTCTGCGTAGCCCTCGCGGCTTCTCCCTGTCCTTTGGATGCTGAAACTGGGGTCTAGACCGGCTCCCAGAAAAGGGGGGTGAGATTCTGAGGGCGCCTCTGATTCAGCAGCGACTTTTATACTGTAAGTGAGAGCCGCGCGCCAGACGGTATGACACACCTTCGCTCCAGCCAATCAGAAGCGCCGTGCCGTGGGTTTGTTTGAGAGGGGGCGTGGCCACGAGGAGTGTCAGCGGGGTTTGGAAATTTCCGCTACCGCAGTGAAGTCACGCTGTCTGACTCACATATATAACAGCTATAGCATAGTTTCAGCGGGGTAAACAGAAACATTAGAGCCCCGCTGACATATATATGTGTATATTTATGATCGTGTGCAAAAGTCAGAGACTTTTTTTCTACACTCTAAAAAAAAAAGATGGTTCTTTAAGGGTTCTTCAGTAAAGACAGTGGTTCTATATAGAACTATAAACACTCAAACACTCAATTTGCATGCTTAAAGGGTTCTTTGCATCATAGAATTGTTCTTTAGATTAATGGAGAATGTGTATATGGTTCTGTTCAGGGCCTTTTTTTAAAAAGGTTCTATATAGCACCAAAAAGAGCTCTTGTATTGTTACAAGCTTGACATCATAACAAAGCAGAACCCTTTTTGGTGCTATATAGAACCCTTTTTAAAAAGGTTAGACCCATATACAACACATTCTCTGTCAGATTCATGATGCAAAGAACCCTTTAATCATGCAAATGGTTCTTTGAATGTTCACAGTTCTATATACAACCACTGTCTGCACAAAAGAACCCTTAAAGAACCATCTTTTTGTGAGCCTAGGCTCTATATAGCAACAAAAAGGGCTTTTCTATTGTTATGATTTCAAGCTTGTAACCATAGCAGAACCCTTTTTGGTGTTAAATAGAACCATTTTCAAAAAGGCTCTACGCAGAACCATATACAACACGTTATCCATCAATCTGAAGAACCATTTCACCATGCAAAGTACCACTTACCCATTAAATTGTTCTAAATAGAACTCATGGTTCTAAACAGACAGACTGTCTTTACTAAAGAACCCTTGAAGAACCATCTTTTTTACGTGTGCATGTTTTTTCAGGAGATATTTCTGAGGTGATTAAATATACAGAAGTTTCCAAAACTGGAGTTCAGAAAACTGATTAAAAGCTACAGAGAAAATGTGCCTCCTAACAACCACCTGGAAGACCTGGTAGACCCCAGAACTGCCCCCATCAGATAAACAGCACTTAACGCTTTCATCTCTGAGAGAGAGGAGAAAATCAAGCTGCTTCAGATCTGAAAACATCCACAGGTGTTTCTGTCCATCCTTCCACTGTGAGAAGACGACTCAGCGCTGTGGGTCTGAAAGGATGTGTAGCTGTCAAGAAGAACCTCACTGAGAAAAGGAGACGGACACATCAAACAAAGAAGCTGAACAATGGACTGACCACCCCAGAGTCCAGACCTCAACACCACTGAATGTGTTTGATTACTTCAGAAAATGATCAACCAGCTTCTAAGACTGAACTTTGGAGGTGTGTCTGCAGATTCTTTGAGGAGCTGAAAGTGAGTCTCCTGAAAAGAATGGAAGCTGGGATAAAGGTGAAGAGTGACTCACTGAACAAATGTGATATTATTTGATTTAGTTGTTGAGGCTTCTGTGTAATTAGTATTAATTAATGATCTTTCCTGACACTGAATAGTGTCTGCTTAATGGTTGTTTTACCTGGAAATGAAATAAATGAAGAGTGGTCTCTGACTTTTGCACAGTACTGTAAACATAGAGGTAACTAATGTAGAGAATTGTTCTAAAGGCTCAGAGAGCTTTAAAGAGTGTCGGCTAATATAAATAATAAGGTGATCACATTCTACAACCTACACACTTAAAAATGATGGTTTTTCAAGGGTTCTTTTGTAAAGAAAATGGTTCTATATAGAACCATGAACATTTAAAGAGCACGTTACATGATTAAAGGGTTCTTTGCATTGTGAAAGGGTTCTATATAGCACCAAAAAGTGTTCTTCTACTGTAACAAGCCTGACATCATAACAATAAAAGGACCCTTCGTGGTGCTATCCAGAGTCCTATACAGAACCATCTTCAACACATTCTCCATTACTGAAGAACCCTTTCATTATAAAAATAACCCTTTAATCATGCAGATGGTTATTTGAGTGTTCTATACAGAACCATTTTCTTTACTAAAGAACCCTTGAAGAATCATAATTTTTAAGCTTGTCCTTTGGCTCCACCGTGTGGTGAAAATGTAGTGCTCACCTAAATAGAGCGTATAATGAAATATTCATTTAGAAGTTAAACGAAACAGTGTGGCAAAAATTTTCACAACTTACCCCTTCACTCCACAATAGCTGATCAGCTAAGACGTGTTTGGTGTCTGCAGTTGGTTCTTTAGTTCTGCACTGGAGCTTTGAGACTGATGTAACTAAGAAGTAGAATCCTCAGCAGTCAGCACTGTGCAAACTGCATTCCTAAACATAGACATACAGACAAAGTACAGGCTATATGATATTTCCTTCACTGCCTGACTGTCCTTTTAACGCTCAGTTGTACTTGGTGTGTCTCATAAGCGTATATGTGCTGTACAGGAGGAACACTGGGATAAAGTATCGCTAGAGGGTTTTTACTTGATGTTGACACAGTTTCATTGTGAAATCACCTGAATCTGGCGACGTTATATATATTTTGTTTTTTATAATTTTTTTTGAATTTTATGTTTACATTTGTACCAGTGCAAATTACATTTATTTACAATTATTGAATGTATCATTATTCCATGTTTTATATGCGTATGATCATATTGGAGTTTGTGAAAGCAATTTAGTTTGAGCAGTGCAGGTGTGTGTGTGTGATAGAGTAACCAGATATCCCTGTTTTCTGAGTCCCCGTTTTTGCTGGCCTGTCCCCATCGTCTGAAGATCCTGAGAAAGACCTGCAGCAGACAGGCAGACGTCTCGCGTTGTGCTTGTTTTGGCCAACAGAGGGGGCTGCTGCTGCTATGTGCTAACCACTTCTCCCACTGGCTCACCTAGTTTTTGAGCAGGCATGTCATTCTGGGGACCTTTCGGGCCAAAGTGCTGCGGAGATCAGCGTTTACCCTCATCTAACGCTCTGAATTCAGTTCGTTTAGACCCTGCTAATTAGCTGCTGAGCTGAATCAGGTGTGTTTAATGGAGCAGTGAGCTGAAGTCTGCAGTGTTTTTGCCTGCGAGGACTGGAGCCTGACACGTGTTTTAGAGAACACTGCTGTGTAAAACTCGACCAGAAGCTAGTAAGTGTCAAGTGAGGCCACAACATCACAGAAAACTTTTCAAGACACGAAGTAACCCAGGGGTTAAAGCAGGGGTGGGTTTACAGGACGTGAATCATACTACCAGGTGATAGGTGGGCTCTGATTTGTACAGGCATACAGTCTACTTGAATGTAGCTGCCATGCAATGTACAAATAGTGCATCATTGTTTTAAACTGTGTCACTTTTACAGCCAACCATAAGATAAGATAAGACAACTTTATTGCCCATTAAATGCATGAATTGTCTTCGGTAGTCTGGCACATAAATAGATAGACAAACACTTAAAACACTTAAAACACAGCAACAATGCACATGAACTATGTAGGGCGGTTATTTATTATCCGTATGTGACATATGGCATATCAGTTTATTACTACACCATAGTTTATTATAGTACCATGTTACCATGGTCAAAATACAGGAAAGTGGAACTGTCCCCGTTTTTATTTCGTAGATAAAAAACTTATAATGATATTTTGACTGCCAAACTGGAAATATCCAGGTTTTTCATTTCAGAGATCTGGTCATCTTACTATGTGAGGAGGAAAGGCAGTTCTTTCTTGGTCAGTCAAGGCTGTGATGGAGTACTCTGTGTAGGGAGCTGCCTGGCCCTTGGCTAACTGCCCCTGGAGAGGGGATACTAGGTAAGAACTACAGAAGTGTGATAGTACAGGACCTGTTTGTACTCAGTGAGACTACTGTTTGTTACAGAACATGTTTGTTCCAAAGCAGGAGAATGTAAGATGATGATTTTGTACCAATCATAAAGGGTTTCTTTGTGTAACACTAACTAATCATTAGGGACTACTATTATACTGTATTACAGTGTATTATCCTGTGTTTTGTTCTGTGCTTTGCAGATGGTTTGTATTGCATTAGCACTTCACTGGGTGCAGTATGTCTTATTTGATCAATAGCTAAAGGCTACTCGGTGTCCACCATGTACCCCGTTAAAGGGAGCCTTTTAAATCAGCACTAATGTCAGAGATGATGTAGTGATCTGTTGTCTCTTTTTGTTTATCTATTAAATATGGCATAGTTTTAAAATAATGGTTCAGCTATAATGTCAAATTTTATGTCTACTTCAAACGTAGTGGATCAGCCAAGACATGTTTGGTGTCTAAAGTTTGCGTCTTTGGTTTTGCGCAGAAGCTGTGAGACTAATGTAGCTAACAAATAAATGGAGCTTATATCTCACCAGTGAGCATCATCCCTGCTGAATAAAATTTCACATGGTCAAAGCTGGTTTATACTTGTCATGTGCTTGTTTTGTTGGTCACCCAATAGGGTCATGCTGGTTGACCAGCATAACAGCATCCAAAACAAAACCTTGTATCTCCATTTTTAACGTTGTTCAGTTGTTGACATAATTTGAAAATGCCTGTTGCTCTTTACATTGTGTGTAAATTTCATGATGAATGGACCAAAAGAAACGGCCCAAAATGACTTGGAGAAAAGTCTGGTTCTGTTGACTTACAGTAGAAGTACAGTATGTTTTTCTTCTCCTGTAAAGTTAAGATTTTAGAGATTCTGTTTTGTTTTGTTCTGATAACAGCAGTGTGCCATTTTTGCTGGTGACCAGCATATTGACTTCCATTGCTGCTGACCAGCAATCTAGAAAAACTAGTTTGTCTCTGATGGTTTGCTGACAACTTTCACTGTTTTCACTGGACACTGTTGCTGGCATTAATGCCATTGAGATGCAGAGGAACAAGCCTGACCTGAATCCCAGAGAAATCAAGCAAACACGGTTCCTTTTTAGCTTGTCTTCAGAC